CTAGCCTCGATGTGAACGAAGACACCGATTTCATCACCCTCAATTCCAACGAGATTGAAATTCACAGCGCAATTGTTTCAGCTAAGGGCTCGGTGGTGGACTCCAAGCCCGAAATCTCCCTCAACAAGGATGACCAGACCGCAACCATCAAGTTCGGCCAGGCTATCTCCGCGGGGTCAGATGCCCAGGTGAAGCTCACTTTCACTGGTATTCTCAATGATAACATGGCCGGATTCTACCGATCATCATACAAGGAGAATGGCGAGACTAAGTACATTGCATCCTCTCAGATGGAGCCCACGGATGCCCGTCGGGCCTTCCCTTGTTTCGACGAGCCTGCTCTCAAAGCCAAGTTCACCGTGACTTTGGTTGCAGATAAGAGCATGACTTGTTTGAGCAATATGGATGTTGAGACCGAGACTGAGATCCAGGGTGGTGCGAAGAAGGCTGTGAAATTCACCACTTCGCCCCTCATGTCCACCTATCTCGTTGCTTTCATTGTCGGAAAGCTGAACTACATCGAGACAAAGAACTTCCGGGTTCCCATCCGTGTGTACGCCACCCCCGACCAGGATATCGAGCACGGCCGTTTCTCATTGGAGCTTGCTGCCAAGACTCTAGCCTTTTACGAGAAGGCCTTTGACAATGATTTCCCTCTGCCAAAGATGGACATGGTCGCCGTGCCTGATTTCAGCGCCGGAGCCATGGAGAACTGGGGTCTGATCACATACCGTATTGTCGATGTGTTGCTGGATGAAAAGAACAGTGGCGCGTCTCGAAAGGAGCGTATCGCCGAAACCGTCCAGCACGAGTTGGCCCACCAATGGTTCGGAAACTTGGTTACCATGGACTTCTGGGATGGACTCTGGCTCAACGAGGGTTTCGCAACCTGGATGTCGTGGTACTCTTGCAACGTCTTCTACCCAGAGTGGAAGGTTTGGCAGACTTACGTTATCGACAACTTGCAGAGTGCTCTTTCCCTTGACTCGCTCCGCAGTAGTCACCCCATTGAGGTGCCTGTTAAGCGCGCCGATGAGATCAACCAGATCTTCGATGCTATCTCATACTCCAAGGGTTCATCTGTTTTGCGCATGATCTCCAAGTACCTGGGCGAAGATGTCTTCCTCCAGGGTGTCCGCAACTACATCAAGAAGCACGCCTACGGTAACACCGAGACCGGTGATCTGTGGGCTGCTCTTGCTGATGCTAGCGGAAAGCCCGTGCAGTCGGTCATGGATATCTGGACAAAGAACGTCGGCTTCCCTGTCCTCAGTGTCACTGAGAACAAGGAAAACTCTTCCATTCACGTGAAGCAGAACCGTTTCCTGCGCACCGGTGACGTTCGTCCCGAGGAAGATCAGACCCTCTTCCCTGTGATGCTCGGCCTGCGCACAGAGAAGGGTGTTGACGAAGACACTATGCTGACGGAGCGCGAGCGTGACTTCCCCGTTCCTGACCTGGACTTCTTCAAACTCAACGCTGACCACTCTGCCATCTTCCGCACATCGTACAGCCCCGAGCGCCTTAAGAAGCTCGGACAGGCTGCTCGTGAGGGCCGCCTGAGTGTTGAGGACCGTGCCGGTATGATTGCCGACTCAGGTGCCCTCGCTGCTTCTGGTTTCCAGCGCACGTCTGGTATGCTTTCCTTGCTCCAGGGCCTCGACACCGAGTCAGAGTTTGTCGTGTGGAACGAGATCCTGACCCGTATCGGCACCCTGCGTGCTGCTTGGCTCTTCGAGGACGACAAGACAAAGGACGCCCTCAAGGCCTTCCAGCGTTCGCTGGTTGGCCCCAAGGCCCACGAGATCGGCTGGGAGTTCCCCGAGAATGACGACCACATTCTGCAACAGTTCAAGGCCCTTATGTTCGGCTCTGCCGGTATGGCCGAGGACCCGATTGTCGTAAAGGCCGCCTTGGACATGTTCGCCCGCTTCGCTGCTGGCGACCTCTCCGCCATTCACCCCAACATCCGCGGTAGCGTTTTCACCATCGCCCTGAAGCACGGCGGTGTCAAGGAGTACGAAGTCGTCCTGGACCGGTTCCGCCACGCCCAGACTTCGGACGAGAAGACCACTGCCCTGCGCTGCCTCGGTGCCTCGGAGGATCCCAAGCTTATTTCCCGCACTCTTGGCCTTGCCATGAACGAGGAGGTCAAGAGCCAGGATATTTATATGCCTCTTGGCGGTCTCCGCAGCCACCCAGCTGGTATCGAGGGCCGCTGGAACTGGCTCAAGTCCAACTGGGATGACATCTACAAGCGTCTTCCTCCCGGTCTTGGCATGCTGGGCACTGTTGTCCAGCTGACCACTGCCAGTTTCTGCACTGAGGCACAGTTGAAGGACGTCGAGGAGTTCTTCGCCTCCAAGGACACTAAGGTTAGTGACTTCACCATGCCCTCCCCGAGTTTTCGTCTCAAATTCATATTTTTGTAATATTTACTAACTCGGATCTTTCTTTGCAGGGCTTCGACCGTGCCGTTGAGCAGAGCCTTGACTCCATCCGCGCCAAGGTCAACTGGCTCAAGCGTGACCGCGATGATGTCGAGCAGTGGCTGAGCAGCAACAGCTATCTCCAGAGCAAGCTGTAAATCTAGAAAAAAAAAACTTGTTTGAACAATGTTCCTAGATCCCCTGGAACGCCAGGATTCTTTGTCTTTCAGGGCTCGCAGCGAACTTTCCTTCGACTGCACATTATTTTTACGTTGTGATCTACAGAAAGCACGCGGGATGTGCTTATTTGAGCTAAAATCATACTCTACTCAATTATTCAATATCCTGTAAAGAGCTCGTATGGACTAGCTGGATACATATACACCGGATTTTAGCCCGCGCGACATGGCTTTCCCTTTCCGTTTTAGTGCTCACCCATTGCCGCTTTTTGCTCACTGAGTAAAGCTGAGCAGCCTGATCCCACTCACTGAGCACGACCTGATTAATATATAAGCTCAAGGACTTGCTCACTCGGCGTCACCTGAGCAGCCTGAGCAAAGTGGGAGAGCAGCTAAGTCAGCAGGTCACCTCAATAAAATGCACCACACTAGCCCCATCTAAATGCAGCCAGCCGTTCACCCAGCACTCTTGACCGTTGTTCCTCAACGAAAGGCTGGTGTCATCAATTTGGCGGTCGATATCCACCCTCCATTTTTGGTTCTATAATATCTAGGAATATCTCAGAAAACCCCGGTTGAATGGTTTGTAAATCTAGTGTAGTGTTTTATTCTGATCTTTTTTTTTTGGTTGATTTTCTAATGGACTATCGCTCCTGCTGCCTGTCGCTTACTCCTAGGAGCTTAAGTGCTGGTACCTAGTCGCGAGAGCTGTGACTGTTAACGCTGAGAGTTTAAGTATATAAAAGAAACACTGATCCCTCCTAGAGTGAATATATCTAAGTTTCAAGTATTTCTCCTTAAGGGTCTTATAAAGACTGCTTATAAGTTTAAGCAACTGTCGGCATTCTGGGTCTGTATCTTTCCAGCCCCTCAGCTAGAGCAAAAGCCTACCTATTATACAGATTTTCTGATACTATAAAGCAAACCGTTTCCTATATATTACTGAGCTCTGAATTTGTTATATATGGCTAAGACCTAATGGGAAGATGTAAGTGACTCTCACTATTGTACCAGGGGGAGCGCGAGAATTTGTAGGGGGGCCTATGGCTGACTGAATTTAGTAGCATAAAATCCACTGATATTTGAGAGAGAAAAGATCCTAGCTTGATTTCTCGGTCTGATTACACGTACTAAAACCCACTTTTCTTGTATATGCTCTTTTTGTCATTTACTGTACCCAGACGTAAATAGTGTGCTTCCCTCGATTGAGCTGGACCAACGATAGCCCCTTCCACGCAAGTGTGCCTGATCCGCGACGCCCGTTCTTCTCTATTATTGCCAGACATCGACATATGAGCACCTGTAATTTCAGTGTTACATGAAACAGGTATGATCCTGTATGATACCTTTATCGTATGGTTTCGTTGCGGCTTATTCCTCATGGCCTAGTTAGTTAGTTATGATATCTATTATGAATCATGAAGCATACAGGATGGATGGAGACATGATCTGCGCAGGACCCACTTGGTGTATATGGGTTTCCCTGAACGCGAGGAAGCTACTTTTCGTGCTTCCTCGCGCTACGTCTTGTATCTAGAGTCGACTATGGCTTTTCTTAATATTTATTATTCATCTGGAAGACGCTCCGATCCTCATCTAGGTATACGTGAGACCCTCACACACAATACATCAGTTCCTAGGAGACACTACAGTTGCAACGTCTTGCTATAACTTATTAGATTATGCGCGCTCCTAGGAGCGTTCAATTTGAAAATTTCTAGCTGAGGTGATGAGAAATAACTTTAACAAGTTGGGTCTGTTGAGGTTTATGCATGTTTTTACGGCAAAGAAGCTTCCGCCTGGAGATTTGGATTTTCGTTCTAGGGATTCACTACTAATGGGAAGGGTAAAGGTCCTCCCTCCCAGGAACAGGCAGTAAGCAATGTCAAAGGGTGGTGCTTTTCCCGTCAACAACTTACGTCATTGGTATTTCTCGAACAGATATTTGACCGAGGCAATTGAACAACTCGCATGGTCTGTCCACAGCATGAACAGTAAGATTCTTTTAAATTCTATTTTCTCCACGTGTAAAATGGCAAAGATGAATTTGTAATAATAATCACAACAACAACTGCTGGCTATGATCTTGCAATTGTAGGGCTACCACGAGACAAGAAAATATTTAGTTCCTGATTGAAGCTGATGGGCAACAACAATTCTGACCATGTATTCAATCTTAGTATTCGACAAAACAAAAACCTTCAAATGTATGTATGGATGTACCGTTGTAAGATCAAGCTACTAAGCCTAATTGGGACATACCTATTTAGATCTCGGGGCCATTCAGCTTCTTACCTAGGTAGCTTCTAGAATTCTTCTCCTTGTAAGCCTCATTTCTTGTTAAGACCTCATTATTTTCCCATCCGACTAGCCCTCCAAGTCAAGCTATATCATGCCGTCAAAATTCAACTTTCGACAAAAAGTCTTCGATCTCCTTTTCGGGGCTCATCGCAATGAACTCCAGCAGGTGTCTAACATGGTACAAGACTTTCTGGATGGCCGCATGACTCGTGACGAACTCGAAGAAAAGTACAGTGACTCACGCAAAAAACCTCCCAAGCTGCCAACTCTCGCGGTCAGTGACCTTAGTACGAAGCAAGTCGAGAAGATGCTTCATCTACAACCAACCGAAGACGATGAGCTTGCACATGTCCCTCCCATCCCGACCCCGGCGGAACTTAAGAGTGTCTTGTTAAAAGTTGATGCCGCTCGTTCGGAAAGTCCACTCAATGAAGCCAGCATTCGCTGGACGCTCGATTTGCTACTCGTTTATGCTCACGCTATCGCCACTTCTGGTCAACCAGACGCCGGTCAACGGATTGGTATACAGACAGAAAGGCACTGGGTGTTTGAACCGGTCAGACATGAGCAGAAGAAGTTTGCTCTTGTTGGAAAACCAGACTATGCAGTCTGGTATGGCAAAGTCGATGACACAGCGGTAAACATCGTCGTCGTCGAAGCGAAGTCGATCGGTTCTGCAGGTAAAGGCATTCCCCAATGCCTTGGCTACATGGGTGAGTACCTCATGATATAATCGATGGCACACTATCTAGAATCTAACTGGCTTAAAGGCATGGTTCACCGACTTCGACAGCGCGAGAAGAAGAAAAACTGTACTGTGTACGGTATGGCGACTGATGCGCAAGCATTCTTCTTTCTCAAGATCGACGAAAAGTCAAAGGTTAGTTTGCTTATCTTCTAGCTAATTGCGTTATTCTAATTCTCGGTTAGTGGTCCATGGTTTCGGCTGTAGCTCTTACTGGCAAATTCAACCATGTTCTTGGCATGCTGGTATATCTTCTGCGAAAGGCGAGTGAGGCGTCTCCCACACACTCCAAGCAATCTTCCGCCCAGTCACACACCAAGGAAAGATCTGGGGGGTCTCTATATGCAACTCAGGACTATGAAATGGGGAATACGTAATTGGACACAGACTTCCAGTTCCTCTTCTCCTTGCGCTTGTTTTTGCTTTTACAAAAAGATGAGACTTGCATTTCTCCCAAAAAGAGAAGTCGATCTGTTTTGAGAGTCTACATCATGATGACCTTATTATTTTATTGTTTTCGCCCTAGTACCTTCGCTGGTAATTCGTATCCCCCTTTTCATACACATCCGCATGCACAATTCTGCACATCTCCACGTCTTCCGGTATTCCCAGCTCCTGTGCCATGTCCCTCATCCCCGTCCGGCTCCCTATGACAGCACATGTTCAATCCTGATGGTCTTGGCCGGGTGGATCGATCACGATCCTAGGTAATGGTGTCTGCTGAGGGCTGGGCTGGGTGGCTACCCAAACTCGACCGTAGTAGGCCAACCTTGGGTATACTGGGGGTACACTGACTAACTAGGAGGATTGGCAGCAGGCAGAATATACTCTTGTTGCTTATCGGCCAAGGTAGTAGCCTTTATCAGAATACCTCCTCGGTGATTTCAAGAAAATCATTGGCGTTGATAAGGATATCATGTTCCCCTAGTCCTGGGTATCGCTAAATTTATAGCTCGACTAGATATTAGATACCTTAAGGAAATCATCATAGCTATCTACTTAGTGCGTTATCGTCTTCTAGCGGCCATATTATAAAATACACTTCCTAATATAGGGGCAATCGATAAAAAGGATGGATTGTTTAGAAGGTTTTTTAATTACTGGCATATAGGTGAAAAGTGATCCACTTGTCACGTGACAAATTCGGCCTTTATTTTCGGGCGGTAAGATAAGCATGTCTATGCGCTCACTGAGCGCAGTCTGAGTACTCAGTGAGCAAGACCTAAGTGCTGACTAAGCAAACCTGAGTGCTCACGAAGCAATCACCCTGTACTATGAAATACTCAGTGAGCAGGACCCTGAGCGCCCTCATAAAGCGGCGGCACCCTGATCGGGAAATTCGTATCCGCGGCCTAAAATCTGGTACATACAGGTACATATGTAGGTATCTGCCCTGATTACAACAACTAACTACATACATTGATGAGCAATACACAAGTAGATTTTGAGGCAAATGGCATAAAAGCCTCCTGGGGTCATGAATGGTGTATTTGATTTTTAGCAAAACACACCTCATCTGGGCCATCCTGGCCGTCAAACGTACACTGAAACACCATAAGGAAAAAGAGGGGTGGTATCAATGGGAGATAATACAGAAAGAAGAGAGGCATAGCAGAGACAGAGAGAGGCCTATGCCCATCCTCCCTTGCCTCCGAACCCAGAACTGTCCTCGATCTTCTTGCCACTAAGACCGCGTGTGGGCTTGGACTGCGCCGCTTCGTGCTTGCGCAGTTCCTCAGGGACACGCGAGATAGGTGATTTGATCAGCATTTGTTTGAGATCGTACCTATAGAAGCGTTAGTAAATCGAGACTGCGACAAAGTGTAAAAGGGAGAGGAACGGGTGTAACATACATAACATCGCTATCCTCACTACCCAGGAAGGTGATAGCAACACCACTCTTTCCAGCACGACCAGTACGACCGACACGATGAGTGTAACTTTCGATCGAGGTCGCCATATTGAAGTTGATGACCAGTGATACATCTGGCACATCGATACCTCTTCCTGCAAGGTCAGTTGCGACGAGAACGTCGGTTGAGCCGTTGCGCACGGAGGCAAGCGCGGCTTCACGCTGTTCTTGAGATTTGGATCCGTGTAGAGTAGCTGAGGAGAAACCCATTTGTTTGATCTCGCGACCGATAACGTCACAGTTTCGCTTGATGTTGACGAACACAATAATCGGAGGACGGAACTCGCCCGATTGCAGAATTTCGCCAAGGCGCTTCTTGCGCTTGTCTTCGCCGGAGATCATCTCCACACGCTGTTCTACCGTGTCGACGGCTTCACCAACGCCACCAATGGTGATAATGGCTGGTCGGCGGAGGTACTTGCGAGCAATGCGCTCGACGGCTGCAGGCATAGTGGCTGTGTACATCATGGTCTGGCGGTACTTGTGTTGGCTCATCGCGCTTGAATCTTCAGCTTCCTCCGTATCGGGCTTTTGGTTCGTGACGGGGAGGGCATCCAGGATCTTGTTCACAGGCTCTTCGAAGCCAAGATCGATCATGCGATCTGCTTCGTCCATGATAACGTAGCAGCACTGGCTGAGGACCAGCATGCGACGCTCGATACAGTCGACGAGACGGCCAGGGGTGGCAATAATAATTTCGGCGCCTTCGCGCAGGCTGTATGCTTGCTCTTCAAGCGAGTGGCCACCGACAATACTGACCACGTTGAATCCAAGGGGCTGTGTAAACTTTCTGGCTTCAAGCTCGATCTGCTGTGCTAATTCACGTGTGGGTGCTAGGACAATAGCATATGGACCGTCGTTTTTGAGAGACGGATTCTCGTCAAGCCGCGGTAGCGTCGAGATGTAGACTAAAAGAGGGAGTAGGAATGCGGCCGTTTTACCGGAACCTGTCACGGCGACACCAATCAGGTCACGCGACTGCATAGCAATGGGGATTGCCGCGCGCTGAATAGCAGTTGGGTCCTTATATCCGACACGGTCGATAAGCTCCAACAAGCGCTTCGGCAATAGACTCTCCTCCCATGAACGCATGGGATTGGGCACGCTGCCGCCCTTGGTGGCAATGTTGAAATCTTCCTTGAAGATACGCCAGTCTCGCTCGCGCATGAGGTCTAAGCGCTTCTCACTCCAATGCTTGTCAATCTGCGTGCGGGTACTGTCCTCGCGTCGCCGGCGTTCCATCTCCATAATTTCTTTGGCTCGTGCGCTACCAGCCTCGTGGTCGCGGGTCACTAACGCCTCTGCGTATTTGCGCGCTACGTCATCGGCGACATCGTCGCCAAAGCCTGCCAAACGGCCCCGGCCAAAGAAGTGAGCTTCATGTCGGTGCTGGTATAGAGGATTGTAGTCGCCGCTTGTATCTTCCTCGGTATTCCACTCGAAGTTGAACTTGCGGTCTGCAGTACGTTTGCGCTTCTTATTTGCCGAGAAGTTTGACGTCTGTTCGGCTCCCATGTATCGGTGCTTGGTCAGCGTAGCTAGCGCTGCCGCTTCATCTTCTTCCGTTAGACGCTTTTCGCCTTTAGTCTTAGGTTGGGGTGGCGGCATATCCTGGTCGCGAATGTTCTGATTTTGCTGTCGACCTCCCTTCCGCATACCGCCAGGTCCAGTTGGGGGTCCGTCGCGCATCGATCGCGGTCCGGTGGGTACATTACGGACCCCAGATTCCCGGATATCGCGAGGCTCTTGAGGCCTGCCCAACGATGGTTCAGATGTGAAACCGTTGCGATCAGCGCCATTGGTGCGGGCCTTGGCTTGCCGCTCTGCCTCAACCTCTTGAGCCCGTTTCTCCAGCGCTAGTTTCTCTCGTTGGGCTTTGGATAGGAATTTAGGCTGTAAGGAGGAATGTAAGTAAAAGCCACGGAATCCTGCTTCATACATTTCATCATCCCCAGAGGAGGACAAGCTTACCTTTGCCGTTGCTGCATCTGCTTCTTTCTTCTTGCGTATCAACTCCTCTACACTCAACGGAGTGACAGCCGGTTTCTTTGCGCCCCATCCCAGCTTCTGCTTCTTCTGGGTCTCAGCAGGGGGAGGGGGTGGCACATCGTCGGGAGGAGGTGGAGGGGCGATACTGTCTGGCGGCGGTGGAGGAGCGGACAAGTCTTCTGGGGGAGGTGGAGGCGGGCTGGGCGGGCGCTCGATCGGATCTGGGGGAGGCGGAAGAAAAGCCTCAGAGCCGTTGGCCATGACTTGTGTATGTGAGAGAAATAAGGGCTAATGAAACCACCGGACTAGAGACGAGAAGGGAGATATCCAATTTCTACGGAAGATGATAAGAGCCAAACGCGTGGTCACGTGTATACTATCACGTGCATTATCTATTCACTATCTGCATGTGATCACCGCCGATAATGCGGGCCCGCTGTACGCCGTAGACTCAACTACATAGACCAAAAGGATAATACATATGTAGCAACTACAACATAAAAGTAAACATACTGAGAAATCTAGTTGCTGAGTGCAAGTCTAATAAGTCTACCAACACTGGGAGACGAATCAGTTTGAATCAATTTGAATTAATTTTCAGTGGTAAGACAAGCCACGTTAGAATACAATTGGTCCCGAAGGATCCAATCTCGAATTGGTCATAAGCCTGTCTCGAGCCCCAAGAAGGGACTAGACACCGGTATATCTGACAAAGTGAGAAGAAGCTGTCTTTAATCTGGGTCAAAATCGCTAGAAGGGAAGATTGCCCAGCACGGGCAACGGGGATGATACTACATGAAAAAGGAACTCACCCACCCAGGGAAATCAAGATGCCAGGGTAAGTAACGAAGACAAAAAACACCGAAAGAAAAGACACCAGCAGAACATCCAGAAACGAACCATTCGTGAACAAACGTATCCATACTTGCAGTCATCGGCTTTAGGGGACGGGCACATGACTCTTGCGTTTCAAGCGGCTGTACCGTTTGCTGCGGTCTGTTGGTAGTAGGCATACGCTTGTGCGGCCGCGGCGTCATCCGGTGTGGGCTGAATGTGAGGAATTGAAGCAAACTGTCCGTCTGCAGGGGTGGGAGGCACCGCCACAGTCCCGCCAGTCCGAGCAGAAGCGACAGACGAAGGGCCGTAGATTTCTCGATCTAGCGTCATGTATTCCTTCGCGGCATCCTTGGTGCCCCTTTCGAGAAGGTATGTCATGTAAATTTGCACAAGTTCCTTGACAGCGTCGACTTGCAGAACGCTCTTGGACCGGATGTCAGCAATGACCTGCTTGATACGTTCATACTGAACTGATTCGGTAGCCGCGCTAGTGGGTTGCTCAATTTCAAAGACGAGATAGCTGCCCCAGAAGGGCCGGCTGTCGAGGTAGTAATGCTGGTTCTCGTGGAAAACCTTACGAGCCTCGTCAGGGCTGCCCTTGATCTTCCACAAAAGGCGGGCCCACTCGGCAACAAGAGCAGCCTTTGTGGCCATTTCGCACTCTGGCGAATCCAATTGTGTCTTGTAGACTTCGATGGCCGCCTCAAGGCCCCCATGACGACGACACAGATTGGCGAGTGAGACAATGGTTTCGACATGGCTGGGGAGGTACATCAAAATGGCGCTATGGATATCCTTCGCCACATCCACGCGGTTTGACACCTCTTCGAAGTAGGCGTAGCGGAGTCGGACAGTGGGATTGGCAATCGGGACGTAGAGATACGAGGCACGCTGGTAGATGATGCGCACCTCTTCTTCCTTGTCAGGCTGAGCAGCCATCCAGCGAGCATATCGCAGCCAGAACTCATCGTAATGGGCACAAGTAACCAGGCACCGCTCATACAGGAACTGAGCCCGGGAGAAGGAACCCTCAGCTTCCTCGAAGTCAAGATACTTCTTCCAGTTCGTCAGCTGGCCTTCATCGAGCTCAGTGACATGGAAGTAGGGGCGCTTGATCTCCGATTCAAAAGTCCAGCGCTTGGTCGTTTCTGTTTGAGTGTTCGTGAAAATTTCTAGGTGGTAACTGTCCACGCGAAGTCGGAGATCCCGCTCGATCTCAGCTTCGGCCTTAGCGCCAGGAGCAGGCTGGGACGATGCAGCTTCGATCTCAGCGCGGAACGCGGCCATGATCTCTGTTGGGGCGAGCTCGGACAAAGGGCGGGTCTGCGCACTCTGACGGTACCGTTCGAAGTAGCGAGCATACTGGTGCATGGGGATGTGGATGACACGCCCAAGAATGGCAAAAATCTTATCGTGGGCCTCAACACGCTCCTCGAACTCAATGTACTTATCCCAGAAGGGATGGGAGAGGAAGTCAAGACCAACACTGCTTGCACCCCGTTCGAAAAGCCTGGGGGGTATTAAAGTTAGCAAGTTGCGGACACATGGGCTTGATGGCTGGGATAGGAGTGGTAAGAGACAGGAAAGGGATAATGAAGATGGCAAACACGAGCAGTAAACTCTGTCCGTTTGTGAAAACCCAAGTAATCAAATGAGTGCGGTGGATGAAGCGAAGGGATAGGTAGGCATCCGGTGCTCCGTAAAGGGCCATCGAACGAGAATATTCCTTGGCCTTCAATGCAAGAAAGTGGTGATTCGGCCAATCAGAGGAGAAATGCAGCCTGGGTGAGCTATGGGTGAGAAGTAAACTCCACTTAGGTCAAGGAAGTAAAGCAGCGAGCGGTCTCTCACCCATCAACAATGAGACCGACTGGATACCGAAATATCCAGGAAACACATGTGACCGGCATCACGAGAACTTTCGCGGGCTGCGTCGGTAACGGTTATAGGGAAAGGGAAGATGACCATTTCTACTCTCACTTACTCTCGAATGATGTCGGCATCGTGTGAAGTCTCCGCCTTGAACGAACAATAGTTGGTCCAAAGATCAACGGACGGCGAGATGCTAGCAATGCCTCGTTCATAGACCTAGAGCGACAAGATTAGAACAAAGCCATGGAAAAGAAGAGGGTGGTGCCCAAGGAGTGTGTATGCATACCATCTCAGCGGCCTCAGTGCCGGTGATGGAGAACTCTTGGTCGGCATACTTCTTCCAGTATCCAAAGAGTAAAGGGAACTTGGAGAGGAAGCGGTCATAGACTGCGCGGATGGTTGTGATGGCCTGGGGGCTGGAATTGCGATTGATTCCACCCTCGAGACCCTCGGCGGCGCGAACCAGCTTCTCCCAGGTTTCAAAGTTGTCGGGATCATCAAGCTGTAAAAGATAAACACGTCAGTCAATGGGGCGCACGTTTGTAAATGCGTCTGAAACACGTACCAGCTCGGCCTCGAGATTTCTAATCTCCGCATTCTCCTCTTCGGAGCCTCCGTACTGATAGTCGGCCATGGTCGCAGTGCTGAGGATGCGCGCGAGAAGTTGAGACCCCAGAATAAAACAATAGGTATGAAATTGTAAGTATTAATAAAATGGCAGCGATGGTAACAATGAAGATTGCGAGGGGAAGAAATTCTTGGGGCTGAAACAAGACTGAAAAGCCGAAGATAGGAAGTCTGGTGCCTGAGGCGAGCATCTTTGGTTAACTATGCAGCCACTGCCGGGGCTGGAGGGCGGTGTGGGCCAAGGCGGTGGGTGTATGTAATGACTAAGCTGGACTTTGGCGGGCCGAGCGGCCCCGGGGTACTTAAGACGCCACGGCAGAATAAACTACACACCTTAGGAATAAGGCGCCAATGCTAGTTTATGCTGTGACACCTGAGGCATCATTTCAAGGCCTTGGCGTGAGCCCGGGCGGTATCAACTTTTTGACCAGAACATTCACAAGCAACTCCGCAAACACCTGTGCACACAGGACCAAACACCATCCTAGATCCATCATGTCGGTTGCGAATCAGTCAGGCAAATTGTTGGAGAATCTCCCTCAACGTCTGGTGAATTTCTTCGCTCGGTATCCTCCACAAACCCACTCCGCAGCTGTCCGCCGCCCTGCCCCTGCGAACGGAGAGGGCTATGTACCAACGAAGGTAGAATCCCCGTATACACCAGACCGTGATGCCAAGGGTGCACCCGGAGAGAAAAAGCATGGCTGGACTCCTTCACGCGCACTCCTCGTGACTAGTGACGCAATCCGCAACCCATTTCTTCCACACAAGCGATACGGCAAATGGGAGGCACCGAGATATGGTTTGCGGCAGCAGGCCGATCTGATGAAGCTGGCCATCAAATACAATGTGGGGGCGCTTCTTCCTCCTAGTCGCAAATCACCTGAATTTAAGGAGACACGGCGCGCAGAGCGTGGTTTGCAGGTCAAGGGAACTGGTGTTGGCCATAAGGTCAAGGGTCACAAATGGGAGCGCACCATGGAATCGCGTCTCGAGGATCGCCGCAAGGCAATGGAGGGAATGCCGGAGATGGTCCGTATGTGGAAGCAGGTTAGTAATCGATTGGTCCTTCCCGTTGAAGTTATGGGAATAATGCTGACTCGGCGCAACAGAGAGGTCACGGCCGTGGCTGGAGACAATGGCCCAAGCGGTAATCGGGATGCCCCACCGCTACACATCACAGCATCACCTTTCCGTTCTTTATTTTGGCCAGTTTGTTCATTCCGGCTTTTCAGTGCTCTGTCGATTCCTACGCGAACCGGGATCGGCAATACTTGTACGAGCCATTGCAGGAGCTTGGGACGGAGTTTTGTCTTTGAAGTATACTATCAACCCCATCTGTACAATACAATCTACGGTCACATCGCCCAATGGTACCTAAGAAAATCATTTACATATATCCGGCCGGTTTATCACTCATCATCCTCAGCACCAATAAGAAACCAACATACTCTCGGCTAAACATGTTCAATCTTGCGAGCAATCCCCACGCCCAACAAGCAGCTAGGATGAGGGGTACACCCAAGAAACACCCCTGGAATAGCCAATAATAGTAGTCACAAACAATGAAGGGCCTAAGCACCCTACGAAGATCATCGTGCTGATCAATTCAAAGCTCAACACTATTTGGAATACTATAGTTGCACTACTATTCCAGGCCCCCTTTCGCATAGTATGAGCTTGGCGTGTCCTGCTCGATTTTTTGTGACAGCATTAGCACTTGAGTCAGATATGCATGGATTGTTTAGTGCATTTGACTCGACTTGTGCCTACATGTTTTCAGCCCAAGGCACAAGGAACTGCAAACTAAATTAGGCGCTCTCTTCGTATATGAATAGCAATAAAATCGAGTGTGTAAGCTGACAATGTGATGAAACTGAACGTAGTGCTTTAGCTTTAGCAGAATCCTGGAAACCTATGCAGGTTTGGTTACGCATTGTGTATCAGGGGGCGCTACTGGAACGTGTGAGATAAAATAAAAGAAGCAACTTCACAGGCAAATGGTTGTTACAAGTCTACAGCTAACAATCTGATTGTGTACTATAACATAGGAGTTTATTATTAGTTCCAATAGTACTCATCATCTTGTCGGCTGATGTAAATATATCTCACCGACGAGGCCCAGGGATGACCATGTCCGTAAAAGGTATAGGCAGTTCTCATATTATGCATGTAGTGCATGAACGTCACGATGTAGTAGTGGGGTCGCTATACGGGATGTAGATCATCGTGTATATAGTGCCGAATAGTGCGTGTGATAGGATGAGAACAATCAGCCGGCGTGATGAGGTTTGTTATGGGACCGATTATTGCCACGTCCCATATATCCCCGGCACGTGTGAGGGGAACTCTCATCTGCAGACCATCTCTCTTCATCACTTCACACATCTCGAATAGTTGAAAGCAACCTATAAAAGCTATCTACCAGACTTTGGGAATGTGCTTTTTTTCTAAACCTCCGATAGCCTATCCCTTTGAAGCGGACTGGGAATCATACCCGGGCTAGTTGATTTGTTGGCATCGGTAACCTCCGATGAGAATATAGCTATCTTATATGTGGTAAGGGCCCCCTCTTTCTCCAAATCCATTTGATATTGTATAGTCGCACAACTATACAGTCTATTTCTGGATATCTCTATTCATGGTTTGCTGATTATTGTGCTAGAAATATATACAGAAAGTCCGCTCTTTCACAATTTGCCACCTTGATTTCAAACAAAGTGCAACAAATTCTGGAGTGCATTTGTGCAAAGTTGAACTTCAGCAATGGCAGAATCAACCTTTCAGGGGTCTGTCCATCCCAGCTATAGTCAAGGTTATTCCGCCGATGTGGACATAATCCGAGAGCAAGAGTACCCTCTGCTAAATGGTACAAGTGCCCATTGCTATCACTCAATCCTCACTAACCACTGTTCTATTAGGAACAACATACCTAGACTATGCGGGGACAACACCGTATGCCAAGTCCATGATCGAGTCTTTCTCGCGTGATCTTACATCCAATCTGTTTGGAAACCCTCATTCGATGTCTGTATCATCGCAGCTTTCTACGCAAAGAACAGAAGATGTTCGAGTCCGTGTATTGCGATTTTTTAATGCGGACCCGGATGAGTTCGACCTTGTCTTTGTGGCAAACGCAACTGCTGGCATTAAGCTAGTCGCAGACTCACTCCGGGACTCCGACCATCGAGGATTTTGGTATGGCTACCACATTGATGCCCATACCAGCCTCGTCGGGGTACGAGAGCTGGCCGAAATGGGCTATCAGTGTTTTCAGAATGATGATGAGATGGAGGCTGAGATTTCAAAGTTGGCCGGCAACCAGTCAAAGGCGCCCAGACTACTTGCATACCCAGCCCAATCCAATATGAACGGCCGACGCCTGCCAATTCGATGGTGTGAGCAGGTCCGATCCGCAACAAAGGGAAGTGGAGCAAATGTATACACTCTGCTTGACGCTGCGTCGCTGGTATCAACCGCTCCACTTGATCTAGGTCCGTCTTCATCTGCCCCGGACTTCACTGTCCTCAGCTTCTACAAAATCTTCGGCTTTCCAGATTTGGGTGCTTTGATTGTTCGCAAAAGTGCTGCACGGGCCTTTGAGCGACGAAAGTATTTTGGCGGAGGCACCGTCGACATGGTCCTAGCCACTGGGGTGCAATGGCATGCGAAAAAGGAAACCTCAATCCATGAGCGGCTGGAGGATGGTACTCTCCCATTCCATAGCATCATAGCTCTGGACACGGCCTTGGACACACACAAGCGCTTATTTGGTTCCATGGCGAACATTTCGGCACACGCTGGGTTCCTCGCCAAGCAAGTCTATGATAGGCTGTCTTCATTGGCGCATTTCAATGAGAGAAAAGTGTGTCAGATTTATCATTCGCACACCTCGGCATATGGCAATCCAAGTACCCAAGGCCCGATTATTGCGTTCAATCTTTGCAATAGTCGCGGCGAATGGGTTCCTAAATCCGAGGTGGAAAAGTTGGCTACGGTGCAAGATCTGCAGATACGCACTGGGTCTGTTTGCAATCCAGGAGGAACTGCCTCGTCGCTTGGGTGGACTGGTCCCGAGCTTCGCCGGCATTACTCTGCGGGATTACGTTGTGGTGATAACCATGATGTTCTCGGAGGACGACCAACAGGAATTCTTCGTGTCAGTATCGGTGCCACGACAAACATGAAGGATATAGACTCCTTGATAAACTTCATAGAGGAGTTTTACGTGGAGAAGAGTCCACCTATAGTCGCTTTGGACCCTCTAACAGAAGACAACGAGGTCGTTGCTCCTCATTTCTATGTTGAAAGCTTAGCAGTGTTCCCAATCAAGAGTTGCGGTGCTTTCAAGATACCCGAGGGAAAGCGCTGGGAAGTGAAGAAAGAGGGACTGGCTTGGGACAGAGAATGGTGTTTGATTCATCAAGGGACTGGTGCAGCCCTGAATCAGAAAAGGTACGTTGTGCCCAAACAAAGTATCCAAATTCCCAAATTAACGGTAGTAGATATCCTCGTATGTGTCTCATACGACCCTCGATTGAGATTGAAAGAGGAGTTCTCCGTATTACTTGCGGTGCAATCGCCGCACCCGATCAAGTCAGCCTTGAGATTTCACTTGGCTGGGAGGACACGAGTCTAATCTCCACATCCTTCTGTCCAAGCTCGACCAAAAAGCCTACAACAGTCTGCGGCGACCGAATTTCTCTCCATGCCTACACGTCCCCGGTAGTCTCTGCGTTCTTTTCAGACTTCCTAGGAGTGCCCTGTACTCTCGCGCGGTTCCCTACACAGACAGCCAGCCGGTACTCACGCATGCAACGGACGCCGAATACGTGGAGAAACCGTTTTCGCAAGCTGATCATGCCAGGATCATTCCCACCTGACTTCCCTCTCCCGGCACGTGAGGGTGGCCAGACACAAATCACGTTATCCAACGAGTCGCCTATTCTAATTGTCTCGCGTTCATCTGTCAACCAACTGAATGAGACAATCAAAGCAACCACCAAACACGGCCGCAGTAAGACTGTTGCCGCAGACGTATTCCGGGGTAACATTATCGTTGCTGAACGACTTGCTCGACGTGGCGATGTGGAACAACCGTATGCGGAGGACCGGTGGTCATCCCTTCGGATTGGACCAGACCAACTTCGGTTCGATGCCCTCGATGCATGCCAGCGATGTCAAATGGTCTGTATAGATCAATTCACCGGCGTCCGGCGTGATGAGCCATTCTCAACGCTTGCCAAGACGCGAAACATTGGCGGGAAGGTCTCGTTTGGCAAATATTCTGCACTTTCTCCGGAAGAACTAGAGGGTCCTGACTCGGAACTACCTGATCGCAGGACGATGATGGTAGGAGATGTGGTTGTGCCATCATATCAAGATGATTGAGATTTTGAATGTTTTCTCTTTTGGCATTTGTGGGATTTCAATCGTATTTTTGGATGGAGTTCGGTGTCTGATAGTACCATTAACATACACACTCTGTATATAGCTGTACGTACATAGTACCAAATGGACCAGGTTGTGACTTGTCTATAGTTTGACTAAGAACACTAGAAGCTCTGCTCCGGAATATTGAGTCTTCTAGTTACTAATGTGATTGACTGTTTCCGTTTGCCTCTGTTGATACAAGGTAAATTCTTCGCCTATTGTTTTTGAGGGATTTGCCAAATATATAGAAGTCTTAGCCTCGACTTTCAAAGGTTTCCGAATAGAAATTTTGATTTTGATAAACGCAAAAGTGATATTCATGCTAGTTCCTACTAAACAACATCAACAGCTGCAGCTGCAGCTTTGTTCTGGGCTTTGGCGAAAGGCGCTGCAAAGCCATAGGTCTCGTAGCCTTTAGAATAGTCTTTGCCTTTCTCACGCTCTAGGAGATATATATCAGGAACCCGGGCCGTCAAGCAATTGAAGAGTTCAAATTTTAAAGAATAACTCACCATGCTCAGGTGGAAACATCTCCATTCGATGCTTGTAATATTGCTCCCTAAGATCCTCCCCGTCACTCCTGGAGTGAAAGGTAGCGTAAAGGCTTGACCGACTCTTATCGGTCCTATTCTCAGCCGACCGATGGGCAAGATGTGACCCAAAGATTAACATATCACCCATCTCAAGTGGGACAGAAGTCCATTCATGCGCGTGCTCCCATTCAGGCTTGATTCGCCCAGCTTCCGCAAATTCAACTTTCATCTTGTGTGACCCGCGGACAACCTCCAGACACCCGTTCTCAGGAGTCGCGGCATCAATGGCTATGTTGGCGGTAACATGTTCGATGCGGCCGATGTGGTCGTAAGCTGGTGCATCTAGGTGCGCTTGGAAGCCGTTTCCCTGGGGCTTTTTATAGTTGATCTTCTCCTTGAACAGGAGCATATCCTACAGTTAAGAGGGTGTTAGCATCATCTCCTAATAGAGCTTCAGTTTTGGGGACCGAGGGAAGATACATCGCCTGAGACTGCCTTCAGAATCTCGGCCAGCTGCTCGCCGCAAACCAATGACTTAAACTCGGGGTGGTAGTCAATGAACCTTTCTGTGCGCATCAACTGGCGTTCGCCGTTGATGTTGATTTCGTCGTAGGGCATCCATTTGCCCTTGATACGAGGCCATGCCTGGACTTCTTGCATCCACCGCTTGAGTTCTGTGGGGTCGACGAGCTTATGCTCGTTGGCGCGTAGGAGGAGGTAACCATTCTTGTGATAAGAAGCTATTTGTTCAGGTGTAAGAGGTGACATCTTTGAGTAATCGGATCCGAAATACAGAATTAAGCAGATAATATAATGATTTGATTCAAGAAATCTGACCGAAGCGAAATGTAGTAACCATCGAGCTTTTAATAGTTTCGAAAAGCGTCACATCTTTAGAATGCGGAGCCATCCCGATAACTCGGCCCTCAATTCCACTATGGGTACTCAACCCTGCGGCATTTCTCAATAAGGTCTGTTACATGGGAATTGGGTGAAGGGGTCCGTCCCGAAGCCAGACAGAAACCCTTGGGATACAGCACAGACCAACGGGCTTCGTGCCGAAGATGAATGTGATTCGCTCGAATCTTGGGGGATATCATGAGTTATCAGAGGAGGTTTAGCTTAGAACCTCATTAAATGCACGTGAATAGACGGACTTCCTGCCTTGCGAAATATCGCCAATGCTACCCATGCACAACCTTGGAAGGACTTTAAGTATGTCATCAAGACACTACTACGTAACCAAGGAATCTATTTAAGACGAGAGACTATTTCTTGAAAACAACCAAAAAAAAACTTCAAAATGAACTTGAATATGACATTCCCCCAGACTGAGCAAACTCTCACCTCGGTCGAGGAAGATACCCGAGCAACCATAAAAACATTGTTCCAATTTCTGCACGTACAGGGCCAGGGTGACTATCTCGGCGAGCAAGTAACTCAACTAGAGCACTCGCTACAGTGTGCATATCTTGCTACACAGTCTCCCAAATACAGAAATGACCCCGAAGTTATCCTGGCTGCACTTTTGCACGATGTCGGACGATTCATCCCCGCGACCGAGAAGATGGAGAAAATGATCACACCTGACGGCCAGTATATTGGAAGACAAAGTCATGAGGCTCTGGGAGCGTCTTACCTGCGTCAGATTGGGTTCAGTGAGAAGGTGTGCAAGTTAGTTGGTGCGCATGTAATGGCTAAGCGTTATTTGGTCGCGACAGATCAAGGCTATTATGATGCATTGAGTGAGACCAGTAAAAAGACATTGAAGTTCCAGGTAGGTCATCTTTCACTTCTTTTTTACTCATACTTGAAGTATATTAACGGCGATTAGGGTGGCGGGTACAATACTGAGCAGGTTCTGGAGGCGCAACAGGATCCTTTGCTTGAGGCAAAGCTTTCTGTCAGACGATGGGATGATCTCGCGAAAAAGCCGAATTTTAAAGTCCCTCTTTTGGAAGCGTATGAGGAACTTGCATATCAATGTCTTATTGGTGAGTGGGATCGCATCATTCCAAGCCTGGAATATAGATACTGAGCACTAATCTAGACTCCCGGTCAAAAGTTTCGTTACATTCGAAAGAATATATAGCCTGCCAACACAGCCCACAGTTGTAATTTGTGGTAATGGCTGAAGTTGAAGATTACGTGATCTTATGCTCAACTGATCAATCTGATATTTGCCTATCTCGATGCCTCTGGGCAAAGAGGTCCCATCGATGTATTATAATGTAGCCACCACTCGTCAATATCAGGAAAGTTGGTTTGGAAGTCAAAGCTTGCCATATTTTCCATCCAAACTGCATCAAATACTGGGGGCTGTTCCTGAGCAGGAGAAGGACGATACATTGTTTCGTGGACTGCGTGATTGGAGGCCTGGCATATACCCAACAGCCGTTCCAATCCTTCGCTGATGACTACAAGGAGATGGTGCTTATGCATAGATCGGGTGACGTCCCGAAGGGCAGCCACAGTCTCAGTGACCAGGGAAATGATCTTGCCCGTATCAATTCTGATCATGAATGCATACTTCGTGGCAACTTTGAGGAGGAAAACAACGGCGAAGGCGAGCATAGTATCGAAATATAAAGGAAGCCCATTCAGGAACGATCGAAATTCGGCATCACAGACGATCATCCGAAGGATTGACATAGCCGACAATACGCCGGCATTGGCGATCTCCTCCAACTCAGGCGACATGTATTGAGGTGAACTCTCTGATACCGGTACACCACGAAAGGCGTGCGAGCAAAGGTATAACTTTGCAAATTGAAAGTGAAAACCAACACCCTTTTGCGGATAATTTCCGACATTCTGATTCTCCTTGAAGCTTTCGTTCCAATCTGCAAACCACGTATCCAAAGAAATGGAGCATCGACGCAGGTGAGGTAGGGTCTGAGGCGCAATAGGCGTGTCGACGTCAACTCCGAAGGTGTCAAACACTCGACCCAGGATTGACCATTCTTTGACCTGACTGATTAATCTAGCATCGTCTTCTGTGGCGTGTGCAGTTTCTAGTATTCGACTAGCCGACTCGATTATGAACCCTTCTCTGGACATAGGAGGTCGACCATAAGCGATCGAAAAGTGGTGGTCGCATACATAGACGAGATAGTATAGTCGAGCTTGAAGATAGCCATCGCGGTCTCCTTTGAGGGCTTTGTAGATACCGCTATGAAGATTTATGTCCGATGCAATGCGAACAGCTAGTTCTGTTAGCTTCGTCTCGCCAGAAGATTGGAGGCACATACCATTTCCGATCAAGGCCCAAGAAATTTCATGCAGCCAAAACGCACCAACACACAGGCCACGGATGTCATCTTCATTCACATTTCTTGAGAAAGTTTGGGCTGCGACAAGGTTCTTATATTCACCGTAGCAGGCTTCAAAGAGATGGCCGAGGGATTGAGAGTGCAAAGCAGCCACGGTACAAACAGCCGCCGTTAACAGTGGAGATGCGATTCGAACCGAGTCCAAACTAATATGGTCACCAAGAATGCGGTAGAGGAAATGATCAAGTCTGAGATGATATGTTTCGAATAATGCAACGGCTTGGCGTAAAGAGATAAGCCCCGTGGATATCAAATCTGGACGACGTGCAGTTGATAAATTGTTCGATAGACCTGTCTTCCCACCTTCTGAGACGCAAGAGGCTGGGATGGAAGCTGGGCCGCCCCGGGGATCCATTATCACTTCCCATATCTGTGGTGGCTCATGGTTCTCTTTGGACTGAGATGATTGACTTGAGACAGAGGTTTCCTCCCTGATAACTTCTTCATTAATAGCTTCAGCCGGTGAGCTCAAAGAATCATCTTGTATTTCAGGAGCAGCTTGCACAGCTTGCAGCTCGGGTATGTCAACTTTGGCAGCAATCTTTGCAACGGCTTCTTCTAACCGCCGCATCTTTTGTACCACAGCGCCTTTCCATCTGGACGCTATCAGGAAATGCCAGTGGACGAGATTTGTCGTACTTACGTGACATCGTCTTCCAGTAATGTCTGCAGGCTTCGGTTCACGTTGCAGGGGAGGCCTCTCTTCTTACACCGCGAGCATGGCATTTGACCCTCCCGCATATGACATTTGACCTTCCCCGCATGTCAGTTATTTGCTTCGTTATCTCCGGCAATAAAACCTCACTTTTTGCTTTCGACATGCTACACAAGCAGTAATCTTGCGAGTGATATCGGGGGGCTTTCGATCGCCGAATGATTCTCGCAAGGCACTTACGGCCGGCGGAGAGGCTAGTTCGATGTCCATATGTTCAAGGCTGAAAGTTGCAACAGTAATCTGAAGTTATTCAAATTTGCAGTGCTTATCAAATATTAATCCCCAGTAACCTCAAACCAGAATTAACACAATGAGCATGACCTTTCCTGAATAATGCGGACTTCGCACCGAAGAGATACGGGGACACCCGCAAAGCCCCACGTGGGGGGAACGTCAATCCGGACTGGTCTCCTGTAGGTATCCCCCGTGGTAGATTTGGCGTTTCTCATTGCATCTTCTCAGGTATGACAATCCGTATACAGAAAGGCTGTCCCCGAAATACTAATGTCTTTGAGGACAATGGTATAATGTATCTCTAAGTTCACCATCTGAAAAGATGTATATCTCCCGAAATCTCGGTTTGTTTTCTTTCGATAATTTCTTTAATCCCAAGAATCATTTGATTTGCTTCAATGGCATCTCTGGGAGCCAAATTGAGATTTGTGGTCACTGCGGGCGTTGGATTCTTCGCGGATGGCTATCTCAACCTAACGATTGGACTTGGTGACTGGCTTCAATTGATGTAACAAAACCGAAGGCTAATACTGTACAGTGGTACCAATTCTGGGTTACTTATACTTCCAAGATGGCAAGGTCCCGCCAGTTGACAGCGACATCATGAAAGGTAGCCTGAGTTTGGGCATGGTTGTTGGCCAGCTTCTTTTCGGGGTTCTGAGTGACGTTTTGGGTCGCCACACTATATATGGCAAAGAGCTCCTCCTAACTATATTTGGAACCCTGATGGTAGTCTTGTTGCCTTGGAACTGGATGTCGGCCCAGTCTGTGACCGCATGGATTGCAATATTTCGTGTTGTGACCGGGGTAGGAATTGGGGCCGGTAAGTCATGTGCCTTTGGCATAGAGATATAACGGTTCTAATCCGAGGAAGACTATCCATTATCTTCATCTTTATCGGCAGAAAAGTCACCATTTGGCTCCCGTGCTATCCAAGTGTTGACTGTCTTTTCAAATATCGGCCTCGGTAATATTGCAGCCAGCATCGTGTTTCTGATCTTGCTCAAGACATTCGAGGGGTCGATAGCCAACAATCCGAGCCATCTCGAATGGGTCTGGCGTTTGCTATTGGGCATTGGAATTGTGCCGGCGGTATTCACTCTTTATGCCCGCTTGACGATCACAGAGACATTGCCCTACAAGCAATGTGAGACCACCCGCAGTGTTGTATTTTGAAGACAGCTAATGCTCTTCAGACATCTGTGATGATGCCGTTGGGCAGAAACGGACGTTCCAGCAGCAGTGGGAAGACTTTCGCGAGTATTTCGGTCACTGGAAACATGCCAAACTCCTGTTCGCGACGGCGGCCTCCTGGTTTTTGTTGTAAGTCAGAATGACCTTGGAAAAGAAAAATCCCCCAAACTAATACACATAGCGATATCGCATACTATGGTATCAATCTCAACCAAAGCATTATCCTAGCAAGAATCGGTTATGCTAATGGAACAACACCATGGAGGACCCTGTACAACACCGCTGTGGGTAACATAATCATACAGGCCGCAGGCTATCTCCTCGGAGTTTACGTCGGCATCTTCCTTCCTGATCGTATTGGTCGTGTACGCCAACAATTTTGGACCTGTATCATGGTGTGCATCCTTTATGCCATATGGGCTGGAGTCAGCACACAGAGCGCGCACACTCCAACAGCTGGTTTGATGATTATCTTTGCACTCTCGCAATTTTTGCTGACGGTTGGACCTAATTGCACGACGTTCCTGATTCCCGCAGAAGTGTTCCCAACGCGCGTTCGAGGCACATCACACGGAATATCTGCTGCAGCTGGAAAATGCGGTGCAATTGTGACTTCATTTGCTTTCGGTACTATTGAAGATGTAATGGGCTTGGAGGGTATTCTTGGTTTGTTCTCAGGGATCATGCTGCTCACTGCTCTTGTAACTTTGCTGATACCCGAGGCCAAGAATAAAACTCTTGAGGGTATTGAAAAAGGTGAGCTCTAGTTGAACAGAGCAAGCGAAGCTGTCGCCAAGCTTCCACACTCTGGCTATGTTACCTATACCAACGTTGATGTAGTGAGCAGGGGGGTGTATGCAGCGAAGACCAGCTTGGGTGGTGACAAAAAAAATGGCAAATTATCGACACAGGCAGGTTAAGCAATTGTAGTCTCACCGTCTTATGTCAAGGAACAGTCATGATTGCAAGTAAGCGACGTCAATTTCAATGCTCCGTCCCATCGTTCCTTCATAACGGCAATGATATCATCCGATTTTATCAGTTGAAGCCTATATGCCTCGCAGTAATGCAAATGGAATTCCTCCTAGACTCGAAGATCGCCAAGTAATGGCCCCATAGGTCTCGAACCTTGCATGGTTTGTTTGTCTGTGATGTTTGTACAGTTTGCAAAATGTCGTCAGGAAATGCCAGCTCCAGGGCTTCCCGAGGTCCTGCAACTCCGACATATCCGAAACTCCGAGAATATCCCTGATACCATGGAAGTTTTGAGAATATTATCTGCAGCATTCTCAATGCAGTAGATATATCCAACAAAGTCCTCTCTCTGGAGTATAAATCGACATCGGCATACAGTACATAAGATTGATATTAGTCTGTTTTGATTGGCTCGATGGTCAACCCCGCTTATGGACCCGCTTAATATGATCAACATCACCTGATGACCTCAGTAGGGTCAAGCAACATCTTGTATTTTGCATTTCGCAACATATTAACCCTTGTCTTTGACTAACCTCTTGAGGATAATTTATGACATGGCGGACCGTTTACACTCTCGCGAAGGGTCCGAAACTTCCCTCAACAATGCATCCATTGCTTCCCCGCGATCCAGCACCGAGTCCCGCTCTCCCTCTACACGAAACCAACTCCGCGTTTCCCACATACCACCAGCAAACCACCAGCACAGACAAAGCTTGAGCGAGTCACTTCGCGGCCCACCCGGTTCTCCCCGTGCACGCCGACAGCCATCTCTCCCACAGTCTGCCATCCAGAGCCTTATCGACAATCCCCCGCCACCGAAGAATAGTGACCCTGCCTTTATTGGTCGTGATTGGAGAGAGATCTCAATTGGCGAGCTGGTTAGCCCAGATGATTTGAAGTTTGTGGAGCTTGATACGGGCATCGAAGAGGCGACGAACGTGAGTACATCACAAAAGCAACACTCCCTGTCATTGGACTAACATACTCGTCCAACTAGATCTTGATTGATTCGGGTGCGGCCGTGCTGTTAATCCGCGAGACCTCTGAAGCCACTTCTGCCGTCGGCACATTTGACTATGCCGATCTCAACTCCTATCTCCTGTTGGCAGCGGGCCTGACACACCCCGACGAAGCGCACCGAGCGTCATATGAAGAGCTAGCCAAGAAAGCTCACGACGGCGTGCCTATTCCGCTAAGAGATGTCAAGAAGTTTGGTATGGAGAAGGAGCCGCTGATAAACTTGCCGACGTCAGCCAATGTCTTGACCGCAGTTGAGATCTTTGGTGGTGGTGTTCACCGGGTTGTGGTGGTCAATGAGTCAAATGACCAAGAAGTGGTTGGGATCTTCAGCCAGTTCCGACTGGTCAAATTCCTCTGGGAAAATGGTCGCAGCTTCCCCATCATTGAAGAGCTCTACCCAAAGGCTCTGCGTGAGCTGGGGATTGGATCCCATGAAGTGATCTCCATCAAGTAAGTTATTTTGGTGTTTTTTTGAAGAACAGTCTAACCGCCAATTTGTCATTTACAGTGGTGATAAACCCCTCTCAGATGCTCTTCATGTGATGAACAATGAGGGTATGTCCTCAATCGTAGTTGTTGATAGCTACTTGAACGTGCTTGGGAATATCTCCACAGCGGATGTTAAGGTATGTGACGAGAGCCACCTTGGCTGGCAAGATTTACTCACAATTTCGCAGCTTTTGACCCGATCATCTTCATTGCCACTTCTCCAAAACACCTGCACTCACTTCATCTCAGTCATACTGTCTACACGGGGGGTGATTGAGGGCAAAGACTCATTCCCGGTCTTCCACGTCAATCCTGCATCGACCCTGGCTCACACAGTCGCAAAGATCGTGGCAACTCGATCACATCGGTAAGTACTACACACTTTGGATCTAAGCAGAAGATGTACTGACTGCTGCTTTAGGCTTTGGGTCACCGATCCATTATCTCCAACCTCATCAGGACCGCCAACTCCATCGCATTCTTCAGTACACATTCCTCTTTCCAACAGCGTCAGCCCGCCTACCGGATTGTATACTGGACCTTCACCACCACCATCTCCTTCTGCACAGCCCTCTCAATACACCCCTCACCTACCGGCTCCTAACCTCCCCTACACATACCCAGCTCCAGGCGTGTCGGTGCCAGTGCCATCCCCCATATCGCATTCTGCTCCCTCGTCAACCCAAGACGGAGCCCGGCTGTCCGGTCGCCTAGTCGGAGTAGTCAGCTTGACTGACATCCTGAATTTGCATGCCCGAGCCAGCGGGCTAAACCCAGCTGACCCCGCTGAGTCACGTAGCCGCCGCCGCCGCAGTAGTTCCTCGAGCCAGAGTGTCCGCCGCAGTGGTGACATTGGCCGGGAGCTTTTCAGCCGTGGCATGTAAAAGCATAAACTGCGTTTCGCACTTGGGCTCTATTGCAGAGCATATTCTCAGTACACTTGTATTTTGAAAACCCCAACATACGCACTCGCTCTGTCCGACGTGCTTGGGTCTGTTAGAAGCCCAGCCAGTCATGAATATTTGTCAGTTCATCAGTCATACAAATAGGACGCAAGCGGATGGACCTCTAGGCTTGGCCAGCCTCTCGTTATCGTCTTTCGCAGCGGATATGATTTCCATCGTGGATTAGCATTACCAAATAACGTTGGAACTTCAATTGAATATATCCCTACGTAGCAGTCACTCGCGTACATCCCGGGTGGACCCTGTGATTTGTTGCCTCTGAATTCCGCGTCTCTACCTTACCAAATGAACCAGATCTATACATCCACAACAAGCTAAGATCGACCATTATCGGACAAGACCGAACCCACGTCTCCCCGCTAATCAGACAAACCCAAGTCCGGGCAAAAGCCGAATATTCACCTAATTCGCATGGTGCTCCACAAAAAGAAAACTGTAAAATAGCACCCTAATCCCACACTCCAACCCTCCTCCCGGAGAAACATATCCAGAATCCACAAACCAGTCTTATTGTGTCCCATCCAACACCGTCCAGCGGCGCAAGCACCACACACGCAATGCTATCCACTCCAGCACATCCAGGACCACACTCAGTCCTCGTATTCTGTCATTTAGATAGGCATTTTGCGTGGAATTGGGTTTGAGCCTGATTCAGGTAGTGGCGTTGATCAGCTGCAGGGTTTCCTAAATGTTATTGTGTTGTGCGTAGATTTGGTGTAAGCTGGTTCATTTCTGCGATTTGGCTTCCTGCCTCTCACTGGCTCGTCATCTTTTTCGCTAACACTCATGTTTGCACGGTGTCATGTGCGGCATCGCCGGATTAAGTATGTCGGCGGGTTTTGATTTTGGCTGTTTTGGAATAGAAAGATATTGCTTACTGAAATTATGCTTGTTGGATTTGAAGATAGTTTTCTATGCATGTCACGAGGATATTGTTCTACTCGACTACGAATAAGATCTAGAATAAAACGATAATCTTTAAAGAGAAATATTGAGCTTAGACCAAGATCACCCTGTAAAATCTGGGGAAGGTCAATCCCACGAACCCACACTTGTTCCCCACCTTGCCCATCTAGCCGGGTCTCGTATTGAGCCACTTTTGCTCCACCGTACCGAGAGACCAGACTAGACGCTGATCATCGACATACCCCTTGGGGAATTTCGGGGTGCATTGGGGATTGTGATTGGGTACTGTAGGGTTTTCTCAATTAGGAAAGTCTTGAAAGGTAGTTTAGAGAGGACGTTGCTCAGGTTTAGGTTTAGTTTCATTTTGAATAAGTCGAGAATATTGAGGTATAGACGGAGCACATAAGGAATAACAGAAGTAATCGACAGACGAAGATAGCGCCATTTGACCCAGTGCATTTCCAAATCGACCGACCTGGACTCCATGGCCTGATCGGTCTTACTAAATGGTGGATGCCTGGTCAGGCCACCATTAGAAAATACCTCAAATGCAGGTACGCATGCCCTAAGTCTAAAAAGGAGTTAGTCAAAAACAGAACTCGCCAATTATCCCCTATCAAAGTCTATATCCATCGCCATCACTATCACTATCCATGGACCTATCACCGACCTGAGAACTCACCCACATACTAATCAAAAAATCTGACAGGCCACCCACTGAACCCCCAAGCCACAAACCCCGCGTTGAAATCGATAAGTAAAATGGAAAAAGAAAAAAAAAACCTTGGGAGAACCGCCACCAATCACCCCTCCGCAAGTGTGCACGGGGCAGCATTGCAGTCTCAACCGCAACCAACTATAAAACTCCAATCGTTAACCCACCTGGGCAAGCATTTGGAACCCGTGGGTGGATGCTGGACCTAGCCCCGTTAGATCTGCACGGGGATCCCCTACTCCACCACGAGTTAGAGTTCTGTTGAAGGAAGACTTTTATCTTGCAGGGTTTGTGTGCCGACAATACCCATCTCTCAACCGCTGGTACGTTTCCCTCGGACTTGTCTCTCGGCCGTGGTAGAGGTGTCGATGGACTCTATACTTTTCATGGGTCAGTGCGGGCGCTAGTTTGCTGTTGGCCAATTAAATTGGCTTCCGAGGCTGATCAAGCTGCAACCTTAACCCCGCAATCTGGGATCCTGCAGGTCACTTTTCTTTTTCTTACAAATGGCTACTTTCGGGGTTTGCTGAGTTGCTGGGTTATTAATTTTAGTGTGTGAATATAGATTATATCTATACATGTTGCTCTACTTACTATTTGTAATAGCATTGCTAGGGGCTAGTAGGATATCAATATGTTGCATTGATAGAAAAAAAGAAATAAGATAGGTCGATCCTGCACGATCGCCGTTGATCCGTAATCCCGAGAACGCTTCAGCAGGGGTGGAAAGACACCAATTCCGCGGCGCACGGGGCACTTCAATCTTAATTTACTTTCCCTTAACGCCAAATTTGAAATCTACATGAGGAATCGGATCATTTACACCAGTCGGCTCAATTTGTAACTAGGCTAAGAAAGACTACATGGTCAGTACCAGTCGGAGACAATCCTGAGGTAACACACGAGATTGAGACCGAGATACGAGATTAGGGAAATTTAAAAGACCACAAAGGGAAAGCAGAGTTCCCCCTGCACCCAAGAGAAGATAACAAAAGTACATGTTTCCATTATCACGCAAGGCCTGGCCTGGGATCTACTGAAGGCTCTAGGGTTATGACATAGCACCGTTCACCCGCGGATGGTCACAGCCTGACAAAATGAAGACCGGGGTTTCCACGGTTGAAGATGGTCTGCTCGCTGGCACTAGATTAGGTACTTGGTCCATGAGGAACTACGTGGGTGAGTTGGGGCCTCAAATACTTCATAGCCCTGAGAGTCGTGTATTTTTTTAATGTGGGATGAACCTACGTAGGTAGGGCTAGAGACTTTTTGTCATGGGTGAACCTTTGTTGTGGAGTACTACTAAATGCGGTATTTTGAACGGGGAAGTGTGTGAACCCAATGGTTGAAATTTAATGCTCGAAGCTAAATACTAAAAATCATACTAGGGAAGAGAAAGGTAAAAATTCTTATGTCATGTCTGGACTCGGGAAAGCTATAGCTACAGCTCAGACAAGCTACAGCTACAGCTATAGCTGGTGGTGGAGCATAGAGTCTGAGACCCGATTTATCCCATAGGAAATGACGTACCAATAATCGCGCAGTGGGTTCTGAGAAAGGGACGCAATTTTTAGAGGGATTGAGGAATGCCGGATTAGGACACGGACATGGCGATGGTTGTTTGCGGATTGATGCAACGTTAACTCCACCAAGGTAAAAGCTTAATATGGAAATTGGAAAAGAACCTTGGGAAATGGATAGTAAATTCAAATAGTGAATTTGTTTCATCTTATTGTACATTAAAGGGAAATAAAGTAAAAATTAAATGATATATTCATCTGATACTCACAAACATTTTCAACCCTGACCCCTGTTCAGGATATTCAAATGAGAGCTAAATATGAGAAATAAATAAGATATGATACAGGAGCAAATGTGCAAAAGCCAACCCCATATATAGACGAAATGAAGATAAAGATCAAAAACAGCCAACAGCTACCTGGGTATATCAGGTATCATAGATCATAAGAGGCATGATAGACAGATGAGGCTAACAAGAGACGCTGGTGAAATCATCAATAGCGATAAAATCATCAAAGCCAAAAGGTTGATCACGATCGGATAGTGGAACAGTCGAGTTACCCAAGTGGGAAGCGAACTGGCTGAAATCCGTGAAATCAGGATCCATCCCCTCATGCGAGACCATAATGCCATCACCCCCGACCTTCCCAACCGGCGATATGGTAGTATGCACGGTGGCAGTTGTCGGCGACATCGGGGTGTTGGGAGTGGGGCAGAAGTCCGGAGTAGAGTGAGTGCCCGCCGACAGGGCCTCAATCTTAGGAGAGCCCATACTAGAGGGGGCAAGCTGGGAGTGGGAGAGGTGCGTGCTCTGCGTAAGGAGATGGAGGTCGTGGAAGTTATTCGAGGGCTGGGATTGGCCGCGCGAGTGACCATGGGTAGGGCCGTGGCCGGTGGGGCCCGACATGGATGCTGAGGGAAGCGGTGGAGCCTGGTGCTGCATAGGCAACTCCGGTGCGGACGCAAGGCGATCTCTGAACTGATGCATTTGGACTGCGGTGTCGTTCATCTGGGCCTGCTGCATCATTTGTTGCTGCCACATTTGCACGGCATGCGTGTCTGTGGGGGTTTGCCCAGGGGTTGGGTTTTGCTGCTGCATCGGGGCCCATGCGGGTACTTGGGAGTTCCAGGCTGGGGTTGAGACTTGTTGGTTCATGTAGGCTGGGACTTGTCCTGACGAGTCTCCTGAGGCTGAGAACATGCTGGAGTACGGCGTCTCGGAACCGTCCATGCAGCCCACGTAGGGCTGGGTGCTTTGGTCGTATGATGCCGTGGGCGATAGTACGTAGCTATCACTTGTTGGCATTGGGCTTGCCATTGAGCCTTGACCCTGGGAGAAGGAAGAGCGGATATTGGACAAGTCCAAGCTCATCTTGCGGGGACCACGATTGGCTGCTGGGCGCGGGGTCATGTGGCTGGCTCGCCGGCTGTGGATGGAAGATGCATTGAATTGCGTGCGAGCTGCAAAGGCGGCCAGTAGATGGTTTGTGAATTGCTTTTCGATTTCGTTGTTCTGATGTTGCAGCATAAGAATGCGCTTTTCTTGGTACCGCTCATCGACCTCTTCATACATGGCTTCTTTATCAACAATCTCCTTGGTGATGTGGAAAGCCTTGCCCGTACGCTTCTTATGCAACATAGAAGCCCGGTTCGCTGATTCCAGGCGAGCATCTAAGCTGCGATCCTTTCGCCGGGATGCAGCAATAAAGGCTCTGGGAGATTGTTAGTCAGGTCACTATTGTTTTCCCTATGTAATTCACATACCTCTCTTGGTTCTCCTCCCGCGAACGGGGGATAGGTGTGATATCTTGGTCTAGATCTGACAGAGGCATATTGGATAATATGCTTAAATGTTATGTCAGAGAATTTACAAGGGGGGAAAAGGTAAGATTAAATACTAAAAAAGATGAGGGGAATCAAAAAACTTAACAAGCTCGAGTCCAGAACCAAGGAACCGAGCCGATCACAGTTTGGGCTGCAAAACTTACGGCCGGTCCATGGTTTGCCCACTCCTTCCAGGCTCTAGAGCGCCACCGAAATATGGTGCCACTGGATCTCTAGGGATACTATTTCCAGGTTCCTAAGGCATACATATTGTTATCATTAATTTCAGATTAGGGCTAGAGGTCTAGACCATTGAGCAGTTAAGTGGGGAGGCGTTACTCTCTACTCCAGATCCCGAATGTATTCCCGATGTTACTCTATCGAGCCTGCAGATCATCTTCCTGAAGCGTTAGACCCCCCCCCCTTTCTTTTTCTTCTCTCTTCTGTGAGAAGTCTTCGGTAGCACACAGGAGAATGGTACCACGTGATAGCCGGATTGGTGAGGTTCTAGAGCTACCTATAGACCATACCACATGTTACCCAGTTCCGACATGAATTGCAAGGAAGATAGTCAAAGATCCTCTAGATCTATAGACAAGGTTACTGCACATCGGCTATGCAGTATTTTGGATACTCGATCGTCGATCGTCACATATTAGTGGGACCGATCGCTTAATACAACAGGTACATTATTATTGTCGCCTATCCAAAGGGACCACCTGGCGTAGGACCTGGATGTAGCTCTCGATCTGTCGGGTACATAGTATGCCTATCCTATTGCACAATCTGTACTACGTACGAACCGAAGAATAACCTGCAGGCAGCCAGGCAGTTATGATTATAAATAGTTCTTTAGCACTACGTAGAGTCCAAAAAAGGAGGTAGAGAGCGGTATTGAAGGAGACTGAGCTCCCGAACTATCGACATAAGGTAGGCACACGAGATTGATAGCCTAAGACATCTAGCACACTTTCCATCTCAAGAATATACGAAATCATGCCAAGTGACCATGGCAAGCACTAATAGCTGACACCGCATAATACACGATACAACATATGGGATCAACTGCCAGCTCAAATCCGTCTCCAAGTCCTTCAAATCCTCCTTCCTCTTTTGACCTCGGGATATATACCTGATATAGCTCTATCTCCCATGGAAAAACAACGCCATATTCAACATGGGGATTTGCCCTCGGTCTAAGCCACTAATCTCACCCGGCCGAGACTCGGCGATTTCGAGTTCAAATACCAACGCCACTGAATATTCCGATATCAGATTTATTCACATAAACCCCCAGCCTATTTTGTCCTAGAGACCTCGTATTGATTGAGACCAGGTGGAGACTGATCAGGCCGATCACCAAAATCCATCCCATCTCACATTCTCAGTATCTGCCTAGATCGGTAACACCCCAGATTCCACCAAAAAAGTTAAATTGGTCGATCTCTCGGAGAATCGTTGGCGTCCAGCATAGAAACCCCCACACTCACAGCCACAGTGCCCAATATCCATAAACCCACACTATAGTTCATGGTTCATACACACTTCCGCTCCGACAAGTGTGGGAAACTCGCACCGAGGTCTGCAGGCGGAGTTCCTTGTGTCCGGAGCTCCAGTCGTTACTTGGTTAGGACGGGAAGGTCACTCTGGGAGGGGTGATGCTATTAGAGTATGGCAAGGAACATCGGCCTCTCTCTCTTTCGCTTGGAGAGGACGGGGATTGGTTCATTGATTCGTTCCTGGCTACTTTCGTATCTGTATCATTGCGAATCAATCCATATCAGTCCTCTCATCGCGAGAGCAAAACAATTGCAAATGAAATCTTGTTTATAAACAGCATGAATAGGTAAAAGACGCTAAGTTCTCAATGAGTGCAAAGCCAAGGGAAAAGGACATCAAAATCAGAGAAGAGCCAAATCCGCCGATGATACTGCGCTGGAGAGTAGCCAGCATCAATACAATAAGAGCCACGGCTCAACGGGAGTGGATGCTAGATGGTCTGGGGCAAGCTCTCATCCAAACAGATCCGGAGGGAAATCTCGGACACAAACAAAAACAAAATAAAGTTCTGCGATCGGCGTTCGCTTAGGCGATGCCCAGCGGTGGCACCATCCCCTGTTCCTCGTGGGCCTCGCCGCCAAGCTTGTAAGACACCTTGAACCGAATTTTCACCGAGTTGCCCTTGCCAACATCAATTCCGTCCATGAGCATCTCCTGTTGGACCCCATTTTGCTGCTGGGGTGCAATGTCTCGGCCTGATTGCGGCCGAAGCTGTAGCGTATAGGACTAATTAATTGTCAGTAAACTCAGCTAGAAGCAGTATGGCAAATGGCTTACCTTTTCCACAGCGACCTGGAAATGAAGATCTCCAATAGGCTGGCTGGTTGTGTTTGAGAAGATGGCTACAACGTGGATTTGGCGCGGTTGGTTCGGAACCCGGCGCGCAGCAAACTCAACACGGAGCTGGGAGTTGAGGACTTGAATCTTATTGGTTGATGGAAGTGCATTACTCGCTGGCAATGAGGATGCAAAGTCCCACTCATCATCTTCCACTAGAGCTTCCCTTTGCGCCGGTTGCGGGGAAGGACCCGTGCCTCCAACCAGGTCAAGCAATGATGACGAAGCGGGAGCATGTTGGCTTTGCGCCGGTGGTAGGAAGGGACTGGATGTGGCCCGTGGGCTGGCAGAGACGAGCGATGCAAATGGGTCAGCCGCAGGTGGCGGAGGAGTCGCTTTGGATTGGACCTGGGGCGAGACCCCCATGACAGGTGTGGGAGATTGGGAAACAGGTCGTGAACTGTTAAAAGAAGCAAGGATATCATAATTGGGTTTGAAGGCTGTTGGTGCCTGCTGAGGTTGTGATGGAGCAGGCGGTGTTGAGCTTGCTGACATGGACGGGAAATTCACTTTGATATTGGTCAGTGCTGGTGCTTTGGGGAATATGGTGCCGCGATACATACCGGAAGATCCTAGAGAGATACCACCTCCGGGAGAGGGACCTTGCTCACCTAATGAAAGGCCGAGCAGGTCATTCTCCAAGGAATTACCACCCTGGGATGGGCCGGCCTCGTTACCGTTGGAGCTGGGTTCAGGCTCCGGGTCGAAATCGATAAGAGAGAGCTCGTTGTTTGCGTTTGTTGAGACTCCGGTCGTGGTTCCCAGCGTACCCTTGGGAATCTGAGATGCAGCATCCAGATCACCCTTCTTGACCAGCTTATACCGCTCGATTGTGCGGTGTATGCTGTCGTTTATCTCCAATAGCTTGTGCACGGCCTCGGGATCATCCGATTCCTCCTCGCACATTTTCTGGATTTTGGGGTGAGCGCTTTGCAAAGCACCCGCAAGTTCCTGGTAAAAGCGTCAGAGACCAATCGACTGGCGAACAAACACGCGGGATATTTGATATCATTTACCTCGAAAACATCGCCTTCGATGAGAGCTTCCCCGGGCTGTTGATTCTGCAGCATCTCTTCCAAAATCTTGGCCTTTTGTTGCACCTTAACAACCTCCTCCGCGGCCTTTGCTCGATAGTCAGTTTTATGCCGATTGTCGAATCCTGCCATAACCTTCATGAGCCGGTTCGCTTCCTGTAGATCGGCGGGAGTGCCTCTCCGAATCAACTCTTGGAGTTTGGCAGATTGCGCTTCCTTCTCTTCCTCTTCCATCTCATCGGCTGAGCGGAGATTCTAGGCAACGTTAATTTGACTCCGAAAACGATACCATGTGAGGGTCACATACATCACTTGGGTTCAAAACCGCGGCATCTTCTCGGCGGACCTCCGGGAACATATACCCCTTGTAAAGCAACAGACGATGCATATCCCGAATGAAGCCTAGGTCATCCTTGTATCGCGACGTCTGGCAGATAGTTTGGCGCCACTCCTCGATCGACTCCAAAATGCGGTGCTGGACCCTGGAGGATCGTATGGGTGGTCGCTCGGGGAATCTGCGGACCAATTCATTCAAGAATTCCTTTGTGCCGATCTGTAGATGGAACGGATATCCGCAGTTTTTGACGACAATATCGAGTAGCTAAGACCGTGGTTGTCAGTCTCCCCCGCGTCAGCTGTCATTTGAGCTCCCACGTACCGCCAACGCTAACAATGCGACATTCTGATTTCGGGAATTGATGAGATGAACGATATCGAATGCAGCTTCTCGGGGCCTAAGAAGTGAATTTATGAGTGTGCGCCATACAACATGGGTGGTTCCCACTCACGCATTGCCTTTCTTGGAGTTGATTAGATCCGCAACTTCGAGGTTCAGGGCCAGGTTCGGCTCGTAGTTTTGAGGATCGCAGGCATTTCCTGTGAATGATCAAAGCATCAGTATGAATTATTTTTTGTTACATTCATTCCAACACTATACTCACGAATTGCCCGCTGCAACGGCGAAGCGCCTGGCTCAGCGTAGACACCGAAGCGGTCCCTAGCCGCCATTCGTGCAGATGCAGCCTCCAGGATGACGGTGGACTGGAAAACAAGAGAGAAAAGGGTATTAATCGGATAAAGAGGGAGGTACTGGAAAGCACAAGGATCCAGAGGAGATGTGTACAGTCGCGGACGGGGGAGGCGGCGGGCGGAGAACCCGTTTAGCCTGCACGTGTGGCGCTTATGCTTGGCCTTGGGTCTTCTTTTTTTCAATCGCTGCGTTTACCACTACGGAATACTACAAAAAGCCTCAGGGTATTCTCGTATATTATTTTTAGATTTCGATCACATCATCCACCATGGTTCGCCACAAAAAAGATAACTTCGCGCGAGGAGGCAAGAAATTCAACAACCCCCGCCCCCGAGTGCCCCGCGGTGATGAAGAAGAAGTTGATGGCGCGACCTCCTCGAGGCCTCCTTACAAGGCTGCCTGCTGGGATATGGGACACTGCGATCCTAAGCGATGCTCAGGAAAGCGATTGATGAAGCTCGGTCTGATGCGGGAGCTTCACATTGGCCAACGGCACCCTGGCGTGATCGTGTCGTATGTTTCGCACCGCTTTTTTTGGTTTCCTTGGCTTGCATACTAACGATTTACTAGTCCAAATGCCAAGCGAATTATCTCTCCTGCGGACAAGGATATTATGGAGCAGCACGGTGCTGCCGTGGTGGAATGCTCGTGGATGCGAGTCAAGGAAGTGCCCTGGTCGCGGATCGGCGGAAAATGTGAACGACTTCGTATGTGATAAGAATTGGACAACGACGAGCTGGATCCATGAGATGCTAACTATCTTGATATATAGTTCCCTACCTTATCGCCGCCAACACGGTTAACTACGGCAAACCATGGCGTCTGAACTGCGTCGAAGCGCTCGCCGCTTGCTTCGCAATCTGCCGTCGCTTGGAATGGGCAGAAGATCTACTCAGGCATTTCAGTTACGGGCCCTCTTTCTTGGAAATCAACAAGGAACTTCTAGCACGCTACGCGGCCTGCGAAACAGAAGAGGATGTAAAGAGGACAGAAGAGGAATGGTTAACCAAGATTGAACGCGAATATGAAGACAGCCGCATCGATGGAGGTGATGATGTCTGGACCAAAGGCAACACCAATCGCTTGCCCGCGCGAACTTCAGACGACGAGGACGAGGAAAGTGGAGACGAAGAAGATGACGATAAGGATCCATTCGCGATTTCCGATGATTCTGAAGACGAAGAACAAATGGCCGAAATCCGCCGCAAGATTCTCAATTCTAAATCATTCAAGAATCCGGAAGAAGAGGAAAAGCAGCAGCCGGAGAAGATTTCTCGACCGGAGCAGCTGTATGTCGACTCGGATGCTGAGTCCGGCTCAGGAGGAAGCGAGGACGAGGCATTCGATAATATTATCAATGCGACGACGGTCACTGATCGCACTGGAATCAAAGCAATTCAGCAGCGTAAAGCAATTGAGACGCTGTCGGGCTCGTTCTCTCGGGCGGAGATTTCTGCCCCGAAGAAAGCGTGAAAGTGAGGTCCTATTGAACATCGATTGCCTTCCCACTCAATGCGCTCAAAATATATCACCATTTTCGGGAGTATATTGGGTGTTATCTCTTACAACGCCCACAGACAGCTCTAATGCTTGCGACCACTGCCCTAGCAGGTGCAGTTGATTCGTTCAATTTGAGTCTGCTATTCTGCTACCAGTATTAGCCCTCGCGGTCTCGTCATTAGGGACCATTTTTCTGAAAGTGCGTCTCAACAGCATTACCAAGTTTCCTTTTACTAGGCCATGTGACCTATGCAACTATATCCCTTGGTTAGGGCAAATATGTTTACATGCTCTATGTGTTATGACTCACGTCTCATTTTGTACTCAATATACTGGAAAGCGAAACAAATCGGGTATCATCCATGGATGACATCAAATTTACTATTTTTCTTCCAGGGTTTAGTGCCTATAGTTATAGTTTGGTCCCAAAGGACATAGTCTTACGCAGGCCAAATATGGAATCGGAGCAAGATCAAGGTAACCATGTAACCTCTGTCCTTCACTCACAGGAATCGTCCACCTTACAGATACGTATCATCACTCACAATACCTATCTTTCAAATACCCCCTTTGACGTCTCTCTCATCAACTCATTCAAGCCCATACAATAACAAAGATTGCTCACTGGAGCTGTCCATCAAACAGCGAACGCCGGCGACAGGTCAGCCCATATCAACGAAATGGACGCGAGTGTCATCCTTGGGCTCAAAGTACAAAACACAAAGATGGCATGCGACGTCGAAAAGCAGAACCAAAACATGGACTGCTTGTTCCTCGAAGAACCCAAATAGATAGAATCTGCAATTAATGCGCAGCACATGATCAATGATTTTAGACTGTCGTGGAATTCCACGCCGTCATATCATGCCGATATGCTCAAGGGGCCCCAGGAACAGAATGTATGGTTGAGGCAAACGATTAAGGAACAGGAAAAGATCATCATTAACCTCGCACAACGCCACGAAGAAGTCGCGGGCCAGCTTGAGCAACATACGGCAAAGGTTGTGTGCATGCTCAAGGAACAGACAAAGAAGATTGCCGACCTCGAGCCTGAAAAAGGAGAGCTAGTTCATGATCTCAAGGAGCAGACCAGAATAGCGTCTGTGCTGGAAAAGCGAGATACAAAGATGAAGAAAGTCTTCGGTGACACTGCCAGCATAATGTTCTTAGAGTTCGAGTATCAGGAAGAACTGATCAGCAAGATGGCACCAAACGACGGGGAGTATTTTCAGCCAACCCACGAGACCTTAGTGGATTTGGTTGAAAACATTGAACAATGGACAGCAGACGACGAATGTTCAGATATGATGTTCGAACTTGAAGATGAGCCGCAATTCGAACAGCTATATGCGGAGCTGTTGTCTCGATTTGATGAACAATCATGCCAGCTCAAAATACAGGCAATGAAGCTCAACAGACAGAAAAGCTTGATTGACGAACAAACGAGTACTATCTCCGAGCTCGAGGCGCAGAAACAAAAAATTGCTGGCGATCTCGAGGAACAAAATGGAAAGCTGGCTTTGATCCTTGAATATTCACAAGGAAATGGTGTGAAAGCTGTTGAACATTGGACCCTCTCATGATTGTTTGCTTGCACAGCAGATTGTTTGCAAGATATCAGGGTATAGATACCCTGCTTTTTACTAGATTGATCAACATTATCTTCCTCCCCTTCGTCAGTGGCCGTAAGAAAAGGCACCTCTCATCTCCTCGGCCGGATACTGGTATATAGAACCGAGCAGCATGAATTCAATTGAGGAACCGTAGGTATGACCAGTAGTCGGAATTTTCTCGCACTCAAACATACCCGGAATACCTGATTCGAACAAAGATGAAAGATTTGCAGGTTAGCAACCTGCCCGAGTCAATGAAGAATCTGAATTCAAGCGAGATTATAATCTATTTCCCCCTCACTTCACTGCACTCTCATCTATGGCCCTCCATATCTACACCCATCAAGTCTCATTGGCTCTCGTTCATGAATGTATATTAAACAACAAAGAATTAGGTTACACGCCATTCACATCACTCTCATCTCGACAGTCAATTGGCTAGCCAGGTTGCGGAAAGATATATTTAGATTTTGCCCAACCATTTTACAATCACATTGTATCCTAAAATTAAGGATCCAAGATCAAATTCTTCTCACTGCCGTTGCTGCCGGCAGAAACTGACGCTATGGTGCCGGTGGCATCGCGGACAATCGACTGCATGATGTTTGGGCCAAGAATGCGTTAACGAGTGTGAGGAAGCGTGGCGGATGAACGGGTTTGCATCAGTATAGACCGGACGGGTGGAAGTTCGACTGGGTCGGTACTTCCGCTTGGGAGCGTATCTAAAGGCGTTTTGACGTTGAGATGATGATGGGCTGGGTAGCAAGGGTAAAATCGTCGAAGGCATGTTGGAGGAACGAATCTCTTTGCCTGGTATAGATTAGGATTAGTCTCGCTCTGTAAATGTCCACAGATATTTAAATGCCTACCTGCTCACTTCTCGGGCTTCGTGCTGAATGTAAATAGATTATACAACCTGGTTTATCGACTTAAGATATTAAGTCGATTGAGCTCTGTGTTTTCTATGCCAGGGTAATCATAATAAGAAGTCTTGATGGGATGCCTAGGAAACGCAAGACCTAGAATATGCAAGGGCTAAAATAAATCCATTTTTCGAATTGAAGCTGATATGCAAGGCATAAATACAACTTTGTATACATGTCTAAGATCTCAGGCCAAAGAGACCTGATCAAATAACCCGTTCCGTGTTTAATCCTAGTAGTTCCCAGGAGATATACGGGGCTATTAGAGATGCCTACTACAGAGGCTTTATGGGGTGCATTTTCTCTTTCAGTCTATTCTTTATGTACCTGTTCTAGATCGAAGGGGCACCTTAATACGAGAGGCTAGACAAAGAAAAAGGCATCGGCCTACATAGTTTAACATAAGGAAATTATAGGCGAGACACTACTCAATAACACTATGAGTATCTTGGAGCCCGTCTAGTGGCATAGATGTTCAAAAAAACGAACAATTGTCCATTGTAAGCTATATAGACTGAAGTTTTGAATATATGTGTCGGTCTAATGTATATGAATATTGAATAGTCATATATTATTCAAGACATCATTCACTTATAAAATTCCAGGCTCTATAAAAGCACTAAATTCCGCGATGGCGGGGCAAAAGTCCGTCGTCATAGATATCATAGATACTAAGTATCTCACGCAGCAATCCTCTTCTACACGACCCTTTTAACTTAAAAATAGGTCTAATAAAAGGCCAATATTCTATCCAAGTTGAGTTCGCACACGTGGCGGGTGTAGTTCACCTTCACCGGGGCGGAAACGCTTTCCACTTTTCCCACAATCCCGCAACCCACTTTCAACCACCACCCTTGGAATACCCTTGAAAAATAGTCCAAAATGCCCGATAAAGACTCCAGCACACCCCGTGTCTTCCTCTACCGACACGGTATGTTTCAGAGCGTCAATTATTCTCTTTCCGTCTAACTAGATTCTAGGGCAGACGGAATGGTCCAAAAACGGACGGTACACCGGTATCACTGAACTTGAACTTACCCAAGATGGTGTGGACCAGGTCAATGCATCTGGCAAGATGATTGTCGGATCTGGCAAGCTGATTGACCCGGCCAAACTTGCACATGTCTATATCAGTCCTCGCCGGCGGGCTATGCAGACCTTTGAGATTGCTTTCTCTGATGCCGATAAGCAAGCGCTTAACGATGCCAAGAAGGTCTCTGAGACTGACAGACTGGCCGAATGGGACTACGGTTTGTATGAAGGTCTGTTGACTAAGGAAATCCGGGCCTTGAGAAAGGACCATGGTCTGGATACCGAGAGCGAGTGGGATATCTGGAGAGACGGTTGCGAAAATGGAGAGTAAGTCTTTTCTTATAAGGAACCTTTCTTGAATTTATGTCCAGTCACCTACGATCAAGTACATCTGACCAGGTCAATATAGGTCTGCACAACAGGTGACGGACCGTCTTGATAATCTCATTCAAGAAATTCGCACTTTGCACAAGGACAACATGCACGGAGAGAATCCTTCTGATATCCTGCTGGTTGCACACGGACATTTGCTTCGTGCCTTTACCAAGCGCTGGCTGGGATATCCTATGGAGTTCCCTCTTTCTCTGATGCTCGACCCTGGTGCCGTTGGCGTCCTCAGGTAATTCTCTTTTATCCCACTTTACTGGGGCCTGAAAGTTGACCTTTTTCCTATTTGCAGTTACCAGCATCATAGCATTGATGAGCCTGCTATGTTGGTTGGATACGGATACCCGTTGCAGGATTGATCTGAGATGTCTGGATAGTGTACATTTCAATAAAGTTCACATGACCACTAAATATAGTCATGGTATATGGTGACTAACTTATCATCGAGGGATCTATTTATGCATCTTCTTATTGTTTATGCCCTAGATAGAAACCATGTACGTAGTACCTACCTAGGTAGGTAGTGAATCAGATAAGCATGAGATCATGGAGAATGCTGCAGAGAGAATTTGATTTTCCCACGCGGCTGGAAAAGACAACGTCATATAATTCAAGAGCCTCCAAAATCTTCTCTCAACCCACATGGAGGCTGTGCTTCAGATCACCCGGGAAAAATAAATACCAGTTCATCCAGTTCATCCAGTTCATCCAGTTCATCCAGTTCAAGTTCGTCAGAAGCTCAGCCCTACTGCCAAGCCATCCCCCGCAACGGGGTGCTCCGTTCGCCTGACCAGACCAACTGATATGGCCCTGCCCCTGTCAGCCACCTAAATGCTGTGTCTTCACTCCAAATATGACATCAATACGAGAGAGCCTTCAAGGGCAGACAAGATCAGGTGGGAATAGAGGCTCTTGGCTAATGGGCACCGGATGGCACTAACACTAGATCGTCAACTAACGCGAGCTGCTCCGTATATGATCGTCGTCTCCCCTAATGAGTTTCATTTATTTCTTTGCGTCTTTGCTGACATGTGCTTTTCGGGGATTTTCCTCGGTACTGCTTCTATTACTATTTTATCATAGAAACGCTTCAACTTTCATATTGGAAGTCAAGTCGGCGCCGATACCATGCCGCACCACAAACAAGACGAGTTGTCGGTCGCTGATGCCAGAAAGGAGGTTCATGAGGCATCAACTTCCGCATCTCCACCACCAGCACAAGAAAAACGTGGCTTAGCCTTGATAAATTTCTTCTCATCCTTCCTCGGCCCTAAGAACCCGCTCGCGCATCCAGCAGACCCACGCAAACACACGGTGTGGTTGCTAAACAATACAGCGTACCAGCCCGTAAATGAGGAGACAGACGAGATTCAGCTGTGCTGGCACGCCGAGGTAGTCGCCTGCATTTTTGAAACAGAAGGCCGGAAAGACGTGGGCAACCTCGTCGCTGCGATCGCAGACTACATCGGGCTGGATGGCGAGCTGGGCGGCGACGACGAAGCACGCCAGCGCATTACAGAGCGCGTTCAGCCCTTCCTCAACCAGGTCTCGCCAGCGCGCACGGTTACACTGCAGGTACCCATATCTCGGCCGGCGCAGTCGCACGGACTCGGTCCATCCGATCGCAACGGCATCGTCAGCCAGACGGTCGATATGGGCCGAGTGGGGATCTACGATGGAGAGGTTTTGCGGCCGCGACTGCAGCATTTCGGTGACGAGGCTGTGTCGATGAGCACGACTTTTGCTGCGCCCGAGGGCTGGTTGGTCGTCTCGGATATTGACGATACTATCAAACACACTAAGACGCTTGATCCGACGGGAGTTATTCGTACGACGTTCGCGGATATCCCTGCGCCAATATCTGGTATGCCGGAGCTTTACAGATATATCCATGCTGAGTTTTGTCCTGCGTGGTTTTATCTCTCCGCGTCACCTTATAATCTTTATCCTTTCCTGCACGACTTCCTAGATGAACACTACTGCCCGGGTACGCTGGTGCTGCGCGATTACTCGTGGATGGATATCACGGGGCTTATCAAGTCGTTCACCGAGAAGACGCAGGAATACAAGGTTGATCGGATGGAGAAGATTCGGCGGTGGTTCCCGCGTCGGAGGGTGCTTTGTATTGGGGACTCGACGCAGAAGGATCCGGAGGCTTATGCGGAGATGTATAGTCGGTATCCCGACTGGATTCATGCTATCATTATTCGCAAGGTTACGGATGTGGCACATATGGAAGAGAAGAATGAACCAGAGAGGTTCGAGAAGGCGTTTGAGTATGTGCCGTCGCATATTTGGACGGTCTTTGAGGATCCGGAGGAGTTGTATGATTTTGTTGATGGACTGGGTATGGAGGACCAGGCTTTATAGATGTAATAATCTGTACATATGTAGTTGGATTGACCATCTCGTTAATAATATTTTGAACTCAAACATCTTGTTCCTTCCTCGATCTTTGATGCGAAAGTGGATATATAAAGTTGATAAATAAAAAAAGTCATCGCCTGGATTGACCGGCGATCAGAACGGTACGTCGGGTCCAGGCGATACGGAAGGCAGGCAAACATCAAAGGATAGCAGGCTGGGGGGTAAGAAATACACTGCAAGCTACCAACTCGCTAGACTAAGATGTCCACCGTACCTTGAAGGGCCAGGGCAAGTGACGATCTATAAGACTCGTGACGATAAGGTCTTGATTTTGTTATTCCATCACACTATCCGCCTTCCATGAACTACAGACTCTATATACTATATTATCATGTCAGACCAAGTCTAATAGGAGGACAAGATCAAATTGCTACTCATTGCAAGGGAATTGATCGGGATGATCAAGTGGCGATGTTGACCTAAGCTCTACTACATACGTCAAGATTAGGAAATGGCCTCCGATCTATAGTGAGATGGCAAAAGAGAAGACCCTACTTCTAAGGCGACAGATTTCTTACAACTCATTGGAGAGACTTAAAGTTCTAATTAAGAAGATGCATCAAGATCCCAACAACACCATGCAGTCAGACATACCACCCACGCAACCCATCGTGGAACGCGGGTCCCCAAAGCATCCATCGGCGCCCTCAATACGCACACCAGAAGCCATGAGGCAGCCCTCTGAACCCTCTAAACGCACATCAGAAGCAACAAGAGGCACTCCAGAAGCCACAAAACGCACCTCGGGAGCCAAGAAGCCCACTTCACATGCCCCAAAGCCTACCTCATCAACGCTGAACGACTCACCCTTCACGCCACTGTCTATGCGAGCACTCTACTACGCCCCAGATGTATTAGAAAAGGATGCACCCGACGGAATCCCAGAAGGAGAAATCAGCGATGCTACCTCAGCCGACACAAACACAAGTGTTATCCGCCAGAAAGGAACAAACCTTGTCTTCGACTCTGGCTTCCCAACTCCGCAGCCCTCTCCTCAGCAATACCTGCTGAAGATCATGACAACCGCCTTCTGTCACGACGAGATCCGTCTCGCTGAACTCCTCAACCCTCCAAAGGCCGCGCCACAGATCCCACTCCACAGTCTCTGCGGAACAGTCATCAGCACGCCGCGCGAAGACGACGAACAGGAAGAAGGCCCAAAGTTCAAGATCGGCGATGTAGTCTTCGGTGTGATTAGTTATACGCGTGACGGCGGAGCCGCAGACTATGCAGTTGCGACTGAGCGCGAGTTAGCGCTGAAACCAGACAATATCACTGTTGCTGGGGCTGCAGCTCTGGCGTTACCGGCGTTGACGGCTTGGCAGGCGCTTTTTCGGTATGCGGGGCTTGACCCGGACGTGCCTGGTGGCATGAACGAGGGCGATGATGCGTTTGGGAATGAGATGGGGCGATGGCTTTGGCAGCGCCAACGCCGTGATACTGTAATCGGCAGCAAGGATTATGGCTACGGACACCGGAAAAGCACGGTCGTTGGTGCTGGAGGCGGTGCTGGAGGTGGGAACGGCGGCTTGCTAACTGATACTACCAGTGGTGCGGGCAACGGAGCTGGGAACGGCCGTTGGATTTGGCAGTGGAATCGCGGCGGCAACACTCTCAATGACAATACCAGTGGCACCGTCGGTGCCAGTGGTGCTGACATTGACAACATCCCTCCCGCTGCCAGAGCAGCTAATACCCCTACCAATGCTAAGAATGTGCGTCGCGAGAGCCTAATCAGTCTCGTCAGCGGTAACCCCAGTGGCAAGAAAACCGTTCCTCGCGCTGCCAGCACAGTTGACCCTAATCCCAAAAGCACTGTCCGCCGCAACAGTTTGATCACCCTGATCAAAGGCACCACCGACGCTCCATCCACTCGTGGAGCCAGCACAGTCGATCCCACTGCTGGTGCTGATACTAATAGCAATTCCCGCCGCGCCAGCCTGGTCAATTTGGTCCGTGGCAGCCCTGGTACTGGACGTCGCAGCAGTCTTATAGGAAGCATAATTGGCAGCACGGATTCTAACGGCAACGGGACGCAAAAATTGCCCAAGATCCGAGTGCTCGTCACCAACGCTCGCGACAACGACATCGGCCGCGTCGCGGTGCAGATCCTGCGAGCAGATTCGCTCTTCCCCACCCCCGTCCGGCCGTGGATCTGTGTAACCTGCACGCAAGTCGAAGCCGATATCATCGAGAAGGACTGGGAAGTGGACGAGATAGTTATCATCCCGCACCTCCCATCGCCAGACGAATGTAATATCGAGAAGGTGTTCCGCGCGCGCCGCTGGCAGCCGGTTGATATCGTGCTCGACTGTGCCGGCGGCGAAGTATTCCGGGCTGCTCATGCCGCTGGTGTGGTTAAGGACTACGGTGCTGTGTTGACAGTTGTAGATGGGCAGGTTGCGCAGCAGTCTCCACTTGTTCCTGAGAACGATGTGCTGGGTGAGAAGAAGCGTGGGATTAAGAGCCGGTTTGTGCCTGTTAATCCTGACGGGTTGGCTATGGAGCGGATTGCGGAGTTGGTGGAGGAGAATCTGGTCTGCGGGAGGGAGATTACTGTCGTTGATCTTGCGCGTGCGGCGGATCTTTTGTCTGCTGGAGCTGCTGGGACGGCGGGGAGTCGTCGTGGTGGAATGGTGGTTGTTAGGGTTAATAGTATTGCTAGTACTTAGATTGTCATGTTTATGCATTTTAATAGATATCAAAAATGCCGAGGAAAGCAACCTAGTGTATCAATTTGAAAATATTGCGCCACGATCACTTACTTAGTAGGCCACCATTTGCGCAATGCAACAAGTTCAAGAAAAGAAGAGAATAAAACAAAGGGTGAAGTAAATCAAAGTTGATGAGATATCCCATACAAGAATAAGTTTTGACCCGACGATTGCATATGAAAAAGAAAGAAAGCGACGCTCTGCCCCCCAGATCACTACATGAACAGAAGAAACCCGATATTTTGTGGTCGAGGTGCAAGGCAAGAGGGTGAGAGAAGGTGAGAGAAGGCGAGAAAGAAGAAGTCGTGAACAAAAGACAATGTATTACGCGGTACCTCCGTTAAAGTAAAGAATCAAGTCTGGTAAAAACGCTCAAGCATGCGGCGACAATCTGTTCGTTGATTAGCATAGGAAGTGGTTAACGTAGGGGTGTAGCTTACCTCCATCTGAAGCTCTTTGTCCTTGTTTCGATTGATCTCCTCATTGACCACTTGAGCCAAATTAGCTCCAATCGCCTGCGAACCTCCAGCTTTCCGGGCAAACGGCCATTGCGAATACTCGGCCAGCAATTCATCCACCTGCGCGAAAGCTCTCTCGCGAGCCTCATGGCTCATGGTGACCAAAGCGTTCTCGAGGACATTGGCAGCGTATGCGGCACAGACCATGGTGATTGAACGAAGGTATCGGTATTCGGCGTCTTCGGGGAGCCACGGGCTAGGAGGTATAATCACAGTGCGGTTGCTGCAGATGTTGCGTACCCGTCGGTGGAGGTCTTCTTTCGCGCCACCGTCGGCCACGGGATGCGTCGCCATATCGAAGAGAAGGAAGTTGCGCTTTTCGGTTCGTAGAATACCCTTGTCCACAAGACCCTTCGCCAGTCGTTCCCGTACCTGCTTCAATTGATATCCGATCTTCATCAAATTCCAGGTTTCACCTACAAACCGTCCCGTCAGTAAGCACGTCGCGACCCAAATTTCTCCTTCGGGCTGATCTCACCACTCAGCAAATCAATCCATGAGTTGACACTCATCTTCTCGCTTGACTTCATCATCTTCAGTGTCTCGTCCAGCAAGACCTCCCCAGTCAGTGTATCGTCGACGACCTCGATGATGCGGTCGGCCAGGGGGAAACGTCGCCGCGACGAATCCTTCTGCATGCTTATACGGCCGCGGAGCGCGAGCTCAATTACGATACACCCTCGCAGGGCATAGGAGATGTTCTCGTTCCAGAAAGACAGATAGCCCTGTTGCGGCGCGGGGAGGTCAGCGATCGGAACCACGAATCGGCCAATCGGACATAAGATAATATCCATTAAGACTCACCTGTTTATCCTTCAGGCCCAACAGCAAGATATCCTCCATCAGAGTCAATTTGGGCTGCTTGCCCCGTTCCTCGTTTTCGCTGATGTCGCGGGGGTCAAACGCGATCTTGTGGCCATTCTCTGCATTGGTAAACGACGTCTCCGGCCCACGGTTATCCATTGCAGAACCATTTCGGGAGACTGGCGATGACACTCGGCTGTCATCTTGTTCGTCTGCCCCAGCGACTCGACCGGCGCCTCTGCGGCGAGTCAAGCCCCCGGCTGCTGAGGCCATGAGATCGGGTTGGGTGGGGGATCAAAAAGGGATCGAGAGAGATATGGCCGGGTATGACCAAAGGCTTCCGATCTATATGCCGGTGGTTTGAATGATCTGGATGGTGCGATGTTGAGAGAGACCGTGAAGACCGAGAGTCTGTGGTTGAAGTGGGACTTTCGGTGTCAGGGGAAACCAGGGACCGAGTGGGCTAGCCAAAAAGATAAAGTGTCGGTTATATTCAATTTAACCCGCCTAAATACCAGAGGAATAGGCGACTGCAATGGAGTTGTGAAAAGGGTGAAGGTCAAAGCAAGTTCGTTCGGTGAGGTGGCTCTTTGAGTATTTGCGGGTGCGTAAACGCCCATTAAAGGACATCGGGATGGTAATCTCACAGTTATGATTCTATTTTATGGCTCTAATCTTTTTTTAAATTAGCAATCTAGATTACTTGGCGTATATCTACGATCTTTTACTTCCATTCGATATGCTTATGTACGTTGTTTTTTGTCTATGTTGACTTTTAAAAGATATAGCAAAGCTAGCTCTACCTACATCTACGTACGATCATATGATATACAGAGGTAACTATGTATCTAAATACATACATGTGTATGTATCTATTGAAAGTCGCCCGATGGATCATTAAGCTGGGAACATATCAAAAATAACATATACCAAAAATGTCCAGACGCATTCGGTGATTATCACCACGTGGTAGCAATACTGCTTCAAAATTGCATGAATTGCACTCAAATGATATACACGATATAGGAAAGAAAAGCCACTGGCATGTATTCAGCATACAAAATAGCATGTCGGTTGAGCGTCACTGTGTCCAGCAAACCCCACAGATGCCAACATCCTGATTCTTTTTCTATCCGATTCTCCAACCGATCCCAAGTTTTCAAATTAAATATTTAGTGGGCTGTAAAGAAGTCAGCAAATGTCAAGGAAGAAGAGGTGGTATGGGATTCACGTACCATCGGGCTGGGCCATGATGTACTCGACGGCCTTCTCAACTATGCGTAATATTCATGTCAGCTCTGGTTGACGAGATATAAGGGCATCAAGTCCTAACGTACCACTGTGGATCTGATCGGCCTCCTTGTCGGGGATCTCAATGCTGAACTCCTGTTATAACAGTTAGATATCCATCATACAATATACAATTGATGCTTTTCCGAGGGAAACAGGGCGCGTACCTCCTCAATGGCCATCACAACCTCGACGGTGTCCAGGCTGTCCAGACCAAGGTCGTTCGAGAAGTGGGAAGCGCCGTTAATCTGTAGGTCAAACGGGTTTAGTTGATGAATGTTTTCGGTCGCCTCTCCTATAGGGTATAGCGATATGAAGGTCACGACGGTCCATCCGACAGATAATCACTGACCTTGCTGGCATCGGAGACCTAAACATGACACAAATTCAGTTAGTATTTGGCTTTTCGTCTATAACCGATAGATCGCGAGATTCCCCGGGAAAACAACATGACGCACCTTGTCGAAGTTCTTGAGCAGGTTGACTATGCGGCCCTCGGCCTCGGTCTTGCTCAGGCCGGCAGGGGCGGAGTAGAGGCGGACACCCTGAACGAAGCAGGGAGTGAATTGAGGGACCTGGGCAGCAATGGGGGAGCTGCGGATGTGGAAGGGAGCCGGGGTCTTGATGACACGGGGGGCGGAAGCCTTCAAGGAACGAGCAATGGCGGAGCGGAACATGATGAAATAGATTGATCGGACTAGCGCAAAGGCTGAAAAGATCTAAAGTATTAAAAAGAAATGGTGGAGAGTAAAAGGGTAGAGATTGGGGGAAGACGGTTGCCGCAGAAGAGGAAAGATGTGAGGTCGCGCCCAGCAAAATCCTGCGGGCCAATCAACGCCGACAGAAAGGAATGACCTAAGCCCGAAACCTGCAAACCACCACAACCTAAGACTTGCTCCCCTACCATCTCCAATTGAACCTCGACTCCCCATCCCTCCAACTCACTCTCCTCTCCAAAACCATGGCCGCCACCCGCTCGGTCGCGAGGCTAATCGCCTACCGTCGGCCGACCCCCTTCGGTTTGCTGGGCTCGACCGCAAACTTCTCTTCCTCGACGTACCGCGCAGCAAGCCCAGCGGGACCCCCTCAGGCCGGGTTCCGCCTGCCCCCGCCCAAGCGCTGGGATCAGGACTCCGAGTCCGCCTTGGACAAGGCCAGCAAATACTTCCTCATGGCTGAGATCTTCCGCGGCATGTACGTGGTGCTCGAGCAGTTTTTCAGACCACCGTAAGTCCTTGTCCCACACCTTGCCGGCGATGCGGATCGCAGTCCAAAATCAATGGCGTCGAATTATATCATCTAATTGTGTTGCCATCTTCTAGTTACACCATCTTCTATCCCTTCGAGAAGGGACCTATCTCCCCCCGTTTCCGTGGCGAACACGCTCTCCGCCGCTACCCCACTGGTGAGGAGCGCTGCATTGCTTGCAAGCTCTGTGAGGCCATCTGCCCGGCCCAGGCTATTACCATTGAGGCCGAAGAGCGTGAGGACGGAAGCCGCCGGACGACCCGTTACGATATTGATATGACCAAGTGCATTTACTGTGGATACTGCCAGGAAAGCTGCCCTGTGGATGCCATCGTTGAGAGTGAGTCCAACACCCTCCGGTCACATCTCAATTGCCATTCAGACCAGATTACTAATACTTTGTCTTTCAGCTTCTAACGCCGAGTATGCCACTGAGACCCGCGAGGAGCTTCTGTACAACAAGGAGAAGCTTCTCTCCAACGGTGACAAGTGGGAGCCTGAGATTGCTGCTGCTGCTCGCGCAGATGCTCCCTACCGATAATCTATTTTCCTCCAATCTGATTGGTATCTTCAGGCAAATCCACATCTATCCCAGATGTGTGGACACGAAGATGCTGGTCGCAATACCCATCCATTCAAGAGGCACTACTAGTGCCTTGAAAAACAAGAAAGATTTTAAGCCCCATCACATCACTGTACATAACTTGCCCTCGACTGTGTTATCATCTTGTACTAGTCAATTCCTAAAGGAGATGTCTTTCCCTGGAACACTGGCTCCCTTGTCTCTTTTTATTTCCTATGTTGTGGAATCTAGCAGCTCTTTTCTTCTGGTTGAGATTCAATCCAAAACACATAAATTCAATCAATCCGGTCTTATATCTGCGCGGAACACTTTTCCGCTAACCGCATACATATAGTACATATTGAGATCTAGAGGTTTACATAGGCATAAAGACACAAGAAACACATATACAGCTCGATAAGAAAATGATATTGTATTCACAGATAAATCAAATCGCTACCGATGCTGTCATGCATAGACATAAATTGACAGACCAAGCTGCCAAAGACACAAACGTAAACACCAGGCACCTTGATCTCCGGACGGATATTTCCCAGTTCAAAGTCTCAAAACACTTTTTTTAGTTGGTTCAGGGGCTTCCGTGTGCAATCTTGTTTCAGAGATGTAAACATCCAAGAGACAAAGACACGTTTCAAGGGTATGCAGAGAAAAGAAAAAGAAGAATCTAAAAGAAGACGGGTTGATGTAAAAGCAAGCGAGAAACGAAATGAAATTAAGCCGCTGGATAGAAGCTTGTTTATTTCTTCTTGCCACCACCCTTGAAGCTGCCCTCGAATCCAGGACGAGCAGCCTTCTTCTTTCCACCGCTGCTGGACTTCTTCTTGCCACCCTTGGTGCCCTTCTCGTCCCGACGCTTGCGAAGGTTCTCATCGCGCTTGGTCTGGCGCTCGCCCTTGAATTTGGCGACGGCGTCCATGCGGTCTCCCCACTCGCGCTCGGACTTCTTCTTCGCTGTCTCCTTGCGCTTGAGGGCCTTCTTCAGCAGAGAGGTATCGTCGCGGACACGCTCGCCGTGAGCACGCTTCTTGGCATTCAACCACATGTCCTTTTCTTCAATATCGGCACGCTTAGTAGGGTCCATCTCTTCGAGGCGGGCTTTCTTGGCCTCGGCGACCTTGAGCTGGGAACCCGGGTCACGGGCACCGCCGGTCTTCGGCTTATCGCGCACGCTGGTACCGGTGGCATCAGTCTGCTGGCCGTCTGCGAACATCACACGGCCGAAGGAGAAGTTGTTGCTAGCGGAGCTGACGGACTCGGCAGGGGAGCGGGGGGATGCCAAGAGAGATCCAGAGCCACCGGGCGAGAAGCGGCGGGCCATAGCCTCATCGGTCTTCTTTTCTTCCTCAACCTTGGCCTTTTGACGCAATTCTTGCTTGTGTGCTTTTCTTTGCTCGGCCTTTTGTCGGCGGGCTTCGATCAACTCTTGACGGTTGCGTGCAGGCTTGCCATTGAGTCCATCTGCATGGCGCTTAGCCCGAAGCTCATCTAGACGCTTCTGTAGACGCTGCTTCAGCTCTTCGGGTGTGTGCTTGAGAGGCTTGGGCTCTGAGGGTTTGGCTTCGGTGGAGGCGGAGGGAGGAACGATGGAGGAAGTGGAGGAGGTGCCGGATTGGGGATTTGAGGCATCGAAGGTAGGAGAGTCGGTGGTAGATGGGGCAGAAGAAGGGGTTTCCTGTTCAATGTTGAACTCAACGGAGAAGCCTTCCTCAACAACACCGTCATCCTCTTGGTCGTCATCCTCTTCATCCTCGGACACTTCAGTGTCCTTGGTTGCCTTGCCGTTAGGCTTGGGTGCAGATTTTTCAGAATCCTCAGTTGGGGTAGTCGATGGCTTTTTGCCCTGCTGAGATTTTTCCTTCCGGGCAGCATCCTTAGCCTTCTTTTTCTCCATCTGGGCGGCCTTCTTCTGGGCCTTCTTTTCTTCCTTTTGCTTTTTCCGTGCCTCAGCCTCTGCTGCCTTGGCAGCGTCTGGCTTATCAGTCTTCTCGACCTGCTTTTGCTTCTTGATGTTGGTGGTTCCGCGTTGCAGTCCTTCCTTAGGGGTCTCTGTGCCCAACTCTCCGTCGGACGAGTCGGACTCGAGGGTGCCGTCCTCCCGCTTTCGCTTGCGTGCGTTTTCATCCATCACGTCTTTGGCGGTCTTAGCGGCTTCGGGGTTCAGCTTCGCCCGCTTCGCCTCGCGTGCTTGTTCTTTGGTTTGCTTTTTGCGTTGCCATTGATCCTAAAAATTGAGGATGATGGTCAGACAGAGATCTTCGGAATGAACGATAAAAGCAAGAACACAAGATTGACCCCAATCCCAACGCAGCCAACTTATCAGATGCAACAAGGGCTACCTACACTTGTATCTTCTTCGCCATAATAGTATTTAGCGGGGATCAAAGACAGCAGACCGTCAAATGCCTGCGCATGGCTGCGCAGCCGTTCCTTGGGGGCAGTCAGCTCGCAATCCTTGCGGGGCATTCTCCGAGTGCACAAACCTCGATATCATCCATGATCTTTTCCCGTAAACAGAAATTGTAATCTGGAGGGTAAAGCTCGACAATCAAGCGCAACGAAAAATTTGGGGGGAGGAAATCTTGGCGCTACAATTGTCTCCGCTTCGGCTGGTTCACCGCCTTCACAAAACAATTTTGCTAGGTTGGTCTGTGCGTTGGATAGAGAGGTTACCTGGAGGTCGGTTGATTGTTCCCTCGACCTTATGCTTTCTATTCATTCCTTTTGATTGTGCTCTATTCTACGTTTCTCCTTTATTGATTCCTTGATTATATTCATTGCTTTAATTCCATTCATGAAGATATGCTCAATGACAAACAAAGTGGACATGCTTTTCATCTCTATATCAAAACTGATCCACGAGGCCAGTCCTAGCATCTAGTCCCGGGCATTCCTCGCTTTTGATACTCGTCACATTCCCATATGGCCAAGGATCTGTCCAAATAAGGTCGAATCTGAAACAGTCAGCGCCAGAAGAAAACATAAGGCAAACAAACGACCTTCTATCGAAGACAGTCGCGAGTCGAAGATTCCATGGGACAACTGTCTCCCAGGCATATTTCTCCAAGTGCGAAACTCATCCTAACAAGCCAAAGACACATGAAAATACAATCACCTACCGCTCATCCGGATATTCAATAGGCTCAAGAGCACCAAGCTCCTCCTCAATCCCACCCATTTTCGAATGCCGCCATGCAATCAAAATGTTGCCCGGTCCATCGTAGGACCTGATCGCCTTTGCCACGCATCTCACTTGGTTCCGCTTGCAATGTGTGTCAACTGTGAGACCGAGATCGTTGGCAAGGGGTAGAACGGTTTCAAATGAACGTCCATGCGCGCCATCTACATACAGAAAGCATATTGTCAGCCATTTCTATGAAACCCAACACCCCCCCCCCTCGTTCCCGTACTGTGGTATTGGCTTGCTGTCGCGTCTTGTTGCAAACCTACCCTTTTTCACACGAGGTGCCATAATATGCCCGATGCCGTACACTGAGCCTTGACCGAAAACATGCCTCAGACACTGTGCCCGTTTGACCCCGTCTGAGCTTAGACCATGCTCGTTTGGATCCTGGGGCTTCTCGCCGTGTCGAATTATATAGACCGTTGGGTGTGGTTTAGCAGATGCAATGCCGAGACAAAAACACAGAGCTGAGAGAGCCGACTGCATTAACATTTTTAGCACATGGACTAACTATAGCCCACTTATACAAGTAAGCTCGTAATAGCTAATGTCTGGACAACGAAGCAGTGAAGAATCCAGAAGAATGATCCCTAGGAACGATTATAAAAGTGCGAAAAAAGCAAAACCTCCATGAAAACTGGCCCATGCCGATCGGGTGCCCTTGACTCGAGTTATAAGTGCAGGACAACCATGATCCAACTCCTGTTATGGAGTCTCACACCGAAGAGAAAAATAGGGCTGATACATTAAAAAAAGCAAAAAGTGGATCAGCAGGTTACAAGTAACATTCCAATGATCATCCGGCAGCAGGGGCGCCAGGGCTGAAAGGGGCATAAACTGCTGGAGCTCAGATGGGCAGTTGACAAACTAGTCTCTATGTGCAGGTGGGCGTTCGTTCGATGTGCTATAACTCGGCGGTTTGATTGGTCTAGCATGTTCTGCATGTCCACTGCACTCCGTCGATCAGCTCGGGTAGGGGATGACCTAGGAGATCTGAAGTGATGTTAATAGAGATCAAAATGTCCACTGGTTTAAATTAAAAGCATATGTCAAATATACTATGTAGTTTAAAAACGTATAAATCAAGGTCTAATGACGAGCAAGACCGTGTGTTCGGAGTATATCGCGGACGTGATTCGGACTCTTGCACTTGGCAGTCAGCGCCTACGCTGTACAACGTAGGATATACATGAGAACCCTGGGGATGGATCAAGCTACTGTCATCCGATCAAGTCCCATGTTATGTATAGCCCAATGTTTAAACTAGTCATGCGTCGATCATAATCGATCATCCAACACACCAGAAATGAGACCACCCGAGTGGTTCACGGGTTCAACAGGTGGTCTGTGGTCAAGTTCTTCATGAGAAAAGGTGATTTGATGACGATCTCTTTTGCCAGTATTCATTGCAGACAATATGTATATATCATATTCTGTAATTCTTGATCGCACGTTCTTTGACATATATATATTAGTGACATCCCCGAAGTCAAATTATATATAAATGATTTACATAGGTTGTTACCTCCCGATTCACCATCATGTGAAGGTCACTTGAACATGTCATCATTATGATTTCAATGCAATTTGACTGTTTTGGGGATATGGATTAGGTATCTTTAGGCAAATGGTATGTGGGCCAATGTTGGATCGATATTATTAGGTGATACTACGGAGTACTCCGTACAGCTATATATTATTAGATTTATTCTGATGTCAATAGTCACTTCGGGCCACAGTTCGGAGTAGCAAACTCCCAAGTGTCGGAAATAAGGGCTTAGTGTAGGCAGCCACGTAAATTGCCCCAATACAGGAATGCCGAGACTGTAGCGGGGAAAGGATATTCTGGAAGATCTGTGGAAGCCGAGGGATCCGTGTAATCTATTTTGGATCATGTAATGTATAAACTGGAGGCTGAGTCTGATATAGCCACAGTTAAATACAGTAAATTAGGTATGTTGCAGTGTGGCGGTGTTAATCGGGCTGAGTGGGGGATTCGATTTCACGTTCGAACTAGTAATAACACGGTAAAAACAAAGATGTACAAGGCTGAAAGGCTGACGCTTTCTCTAAGGCTGCGCCCCTCGTTCCGTAAGTTTTCGCTTGCCATGTGGGGTTCTTTCCGTCAGCCCTGTGGTTACTCCGTACACTTGGAGTTACCTCTTATAAAAGGTTGCCCCCTCACTTCACATCTCTTCTTCACTTACTCTCTCTTCCATCTTCCATCTTCTACCAAGCCAATTCATATTACATCATGTCCGGCTACGATCAATACAACCAGGGCCACGGCCAGCAAGGTTACGGCCAGCAAGGTTACGGCCAACAGCAAGGCTACGGTGGTCAACAAGGCTACGGTGGTCAGCAGGGTTACGACCAACAGCAACAGTACGGCCAGCAGCAGGGTTATGGTGGCCAGCAGGGCTATGGCCAGCAGCAGGGTGGTTCTTCCGATTACTACGCCGGTCAGCAACACCAGCAGCAGGGCTACGGCCAGCAGCAGGGTGGTTCATCCGACTACTACGCCGGCCAGCAACACCAGCAGCAAGGCTACGGCCAGCACGACCAGAACCGCCAGGGGTATGTAGTTTCTTCACCTTTCACTTCGTTAATCATGTACTGACAGACCATAGTGGCTACGAACAGCAGCAGGGTGCCCCCGGTGAGGCCCAGGAGGGCGAGCGTGGTCTTGCCGGTGCCCTCGCCGGCGGTGCTGCCGGTGGCTTCGCTGGTCACAAGGTCAACCACGGTTTCCTCGGAACAATCGGTGGTGCCATCATTGGTAGCATCGCTGAAGACGCCGTCAAGAAGCACCGCAACAGCAACAGCCAGTCTCCTCCTCAGTACGGTGGCCCCCCTCCCAACGGTCAATATGGCGGCCCTCCTTCCAACAACGGCAGCAGCCCCTCCATGATGGATCAGCTCGGTGGCTTCTTCAAGAAATAGAGGGTTTCTGAACTTTCCTCTTACGTTTTCTGCCTGATGACACGGTTTTCATGAATTTCTTTCTTTGCTCTTTTTATCGCAACGGGTCGGCCTGCATTTTTTTCTCTTCCGCCAGATCGGTTTTATTTTTCATGGGGTTTTTTCTTCGCCCTCGAGAGGCTTGTACCATGACAGAGCTGCGTTGATATCGGAATTCACCTTTATGTGATCTGACCATAATTTTCAGAATCGCAACGTGATTACCTTGCTGAAATTTTCCTTGTAGAAAGCAGTAAACTAAACCGTAAACCGTAAATCATAATGATAATAGTCACTGCTGTGAAGTAGTGTAGCAGGCGGAGAGGCCAAAAACATCACCCCAAGTGGAATAGCGTAAGGCCTCAGGCAGCAACTGCCAAGCCCGACAAAAGTTCGAGCGGACAAGTCCCTAGTAACCTCCTTGCCAGACAACATCTGCAATTTAGCATTCCCAAAATGATTATACGGAAGCTTTGTATGCGCCAGAGTGAGTGTGGTCCAATTGCTGCTATCATCTCCAATGCCCCTGCTAACAAGATCCCACAGGCCGCCAGCTCCTTGCTCTGAGCCGACGAGCCCCGGTTTCGAGTCGCTTCCAGTCGACATTGCCCGAAACTCCAGTCGAGACATTGCAGACATCTATCAGAGATGAGATCTCCCGTCCAGATAACCCTCTCCTTGAGATGGTGCAGGCGCAATATGAGGCCAGCACACCCGCACAACAAGAATTCACATCAGACGAGCCGCAAAGTGAGCCGCGAATCCCCTCTCGGAGATTCCTGCAAGGAACCAACTAACTTTATCTTTCTTTTCTTCCCCCAGGAAGCAATTTCAAAAAGCTCGGCACAACCGTGAAATCCTCCTACAACCCCGAAGATGTCATCCGCAATCCCCCCAAGCCATCCCAGATCTCCCTGGAAATGCTGCTCGCAGCAGGAACCCACCTGGGTCACTCGACCTCGCGCTGGAATCCACAGAATTCGCGATACATCTTCGGTATCCGCGAGGGTGTCCACATCATCTCCCTGGACATAACAGCCGCGCACCTCCGCCGCGCCGCAAAAGTAGTTGAGGAAGTTGCCGCACGCGGCGGACTAATTCTCTTCGCCGGTACGCGGAAGGGCCAGAAGCGGGCCGTTGTTAAGGCTGCGTCACTGGCAAAGGGCTACCACATCTTCGAGCGGTGGATTCCGGGCTCTCTGACGAACGGCGAGCAGATTCTCGGACACTGTGAAACAAAGGTTGTCAACGCGCTGGACGAGGAATTGCCCAACTTCAAGGCCGATCTTGCTGATCGCCCGTCGCTCAAGCCCGATTTGGTTATTTGTCTTAACCCCCTTGAGAATGTTGTCTTGCTGCATGAGTGTGGCCTTAACAATGTTCCTACTATCGGTGTTATTGATACCGATGCGGATCCTACGCGTGTTACCTACCCGATTCCCTCGAACGATGATAGTCTGCGCGCTACTTGCCTTATTGCGGGAATTCTTGGTCGCGCTGGTGAGGCGGGTCAGATGCGTCGGTTGAAGATGGCACAGGAGGGTCGGACTTCTTACACTCCTATCACAGCTCAGGAGCTGCGTCTTGATCCGTTCACGGGCATGGCTCCTGGTGGTGAGGGGCAGAAGAAGTAGGGGGATGCGTTTCGTGTCTTCTGTCTTCTGAGTGCATTTTGCTTTTCCTTTTAGTATCCGGTCGATTGCATTGAAACGACGGGACTCTGTACTGTATAGATGATTCCAGGTCTTGGTGTTGAGATATGTATTAACAACTTTGAGTCAATTTTGGTTCTTTTTTTACTTGATTCCAGCTTGTGAGGGGACGATACACCAGTAACAGTTTCTCTAGGGCAAAAGCCTCGAGTGATCTTCGGTACATGTAGTTGGGCCAAAGATGGCCCTTGATAACCACCAAGCTAAATTATGTTCCGTTAGCAAACTGTATGAAAGGCATCACTTTGCCGGCCCTATAACCCGATCAAAATTGTTCTACTTCAGAATAGAAAACTAGTAGATATCATAAAGGCAGGGTATGATATTCTACTATTTCTGAGTTTACTTAAGAAGAGACCGGTATAGTTAGTTGGAAAATTCCGATCAATCTACAACCCTAAGACATTTACCCTGCCACCTTTACCCTGCGACCCTGCGACCCTGCGACCCTGCGACCCTATACGATGCTGACTTTTTCCACCACATCCCGAGGCCACTTATCATTAATAGTAGCCACTATAGCAGTGGCAAACCCCTGCTTCGGGCACTTCATCTAATTTACGATCTGATTTGGTAGGGGAGGATTAGTTTCATCTCTCTTTCTAGATTTCCTCTATTTTGTTAAAACTCCGATTGTACTATGTGCTATTCTTGATGGAAACACTGATCTCCTAGAGGTTGGTCTCAGGCTTGGGTTTAAAACATCATAAGTCATAAATATCTTAAAGTCTGCTAGTAGAAGTAGCATTCTTTGGAATGCCAAACTTCGAAAGATCCTCGGTACTCTTCCCATCAATTGCCAATTCCGCAAGAGCACGACCAAAGGCCGGTGCGAATTTGAACGCATGGGCAGCCCCCAGACCAACAATAATATCTTGGTGCTTTTCTAATGGGCTGATGATGAACTGTCGATCCGGAGTGATAGAGTATTGGCAAGTGATAGTGCGAAGCGGTTGACGGCCCTCGTCGGGCACGAAATTGCCCATAAACGAACAAAGCTGCTCAAGCAACTGCGGCGAGTGTACATAAGTACGTTGCTCAGGTGTCATGAAATTGTTTGAAGTATCGCGGGCAACCTTGATAGTCGGCTCGCCAAAAGATGGGAACCCATAGAAACAGGGATCGCCGCCCCAAATCCATACGGGAAAGCGGCTGGGTTCCCAGGCTTGTTCATCCGTCGGCTTGAAGTATGTTACTTGCTCCTGCATCACCGTCAAGGGAATGTGTTCGCCAAGGGGAGCAAGTAGCTTGTTGGTCCATGCGTCGGTGGCAAGGATGACTTTGGCTGCGTGGAATTGTCCCATGGATGTTTCGATCACGACACCCGTGCCTGATTTCTTCGGCGTCACGCGGTCCACTCGTGTGTGCTCCTTCAAAATTGCACCCTTTGTTCTTGCTAGACTTTGCATAGCTAGGACTGTCTTGGCCGCATGAGCAATGCCGGTGTCGGCCGTATATACCGTCTCGACAGTATCCGGGATATTGAACTGAGGCCAACGCTTGTTGACTTCCTTGGAATGCAGAACCTCATATGGCACATTTTTGGCGGCGAGGCTTGTCGTGAAGTCAACTCGTGGAGGGTTTGCACCCTTAGGGAAGAACATAACACCACCGGTTATCGTTAGCAACTTTTGGTCTGTAGCCTTTTCCAGGTCGGCCCAGTCCCGGTAGGCGGATTTGGCTAGGGAGACGTATTGAGGTGCTGCGTTTGCTGTTCTGACAATCCGCGATGTATCGTGGGAGGCTCCGTTCACATGGCCCAGCTCGAATTGCTCGAATGCGACCACTTTCTTGCCTCTTAAAGCGGCTTGGTACGCAGCCGCGCTTCCAAGCACTCCAAGTCCGACAACCGCAACGTCGAAATGTTCCATTGTGTATAGTTGTGTTCCGAGTGACGTTCCTGCTAGATCAACTCATGGGGATGATTTCCATTTATACTCTCGGTGATCTATAACCGGGTATGACGGGGACGGGCCGCTCACGTGCCATTGCCCCTCCCCAAAGATATTAGAGAGCCAGCTTGCATGGAGGTGGGCCCGGGGTTGACGGATTGAATATTAGAATGTTGGAAGGGGATAGGTGGGTCGAGGCAGCATTTTCTCCGTTTATTTACACATAAATACCGTGATCAGACCTCTGAATTGTGATATCAACGCTTTCTTATCTATTTCGTACATGTTATGAGATCTATCGCTTTGAAAGGAAACGGAAAGCAACGAGCTTCACAGTCTCGGTACCATCCACCTCGGTAAACTCGCGGAATCGCTCAAACCCGCATTTCACCAGTACCTTCTGACTTCCACTATTGCTTGCTTCTGTGATAGCGATAAGGTGTCCATCCACTACACCTTCTCCAATGACCATTTCTTTATCAACACTGACCTCCCGCTCTGATCGAGGTAATTCTGACCAAAACCGGAGCCAGGCCGTCAAGAACTCCGTCGCGAAGCCTTTTCCCCAAGCGTCCGTCCGAAGCATATATCCAGCTTCAGGCCACCCATGTCTTCCAGGATAAAGATGGCAGCCACCAATACCGATAAACTCGCCCGTTTCCTTCAGGCAGATGGCGAAATTGGCGGTGATAAGATCGTTTGGTGGTAGGAACGGATCCAGTTTGGATTTGGTCTTCTCAATGCTTTCGTCGATGCACCTAGCACTCGTCCATTTCATGACTTCTTCTTGTGTGCGCAGGATGTGTAACGCTTCTAAGTCGGTTGGTTGGAGGGCGCGGAGGAGTAAGCGATCCGTTGTTATTGCTGGTCGCTCGCTATTTGCGGGAAGCGGGACTGTGGGCAAGAATGCCTTCACAGTTACAAATTCCTCCTTTGTGGCCATGGTGATACTTGCTTTCGCTGATATCCTAGGAAGTGCCTGTGGTGCGGGTGACTCACTGAAAACCCTGGAATCCAATCTGACATTCAAAGTCCACCAGTGTGACAAATTCACCTCGGCCCCCGGGTCCGAAGACCCACTTGGTCTAACGATCTATGAACTGGGACTCCATATCACATATCGTAGATTATAATACTTGCTAAGTCTTATCACAGTTTATATCTTCAAATTCAAATTGTAGGCTGTTGCATATTATGGGGCTATTATGTATATGTCTCGCAAGACCTTTAGTTTGTCGAAATGGATCAGAAAGGCCCTAGATCCAAGATCTGGAATCGAAATAGTATAATGCGTTAAGATTACACCTAGAATATGAGGACCTGTGGGATTGACGCCGAAAATGACCGCTTTTGAGGTCAGAAACGGCTGCCTTTCCACCCGTAACTTTGGGACGTCCAGCCGCCCCTTGACCGCCCACTGCACTCTAACACAGTGGCACTATTCTGCACTCGCCCAGCAATGTAAGTCATCCTCCGGTCCTGATGTTGAGCAAAGCGATTACGAGCTCGGTGATTTATGGCCTTGGTGATAATTCTTTTTACTTGTCTATTCGGGTGCAATTCAGAACGTATCAATAGATTGATTGTAGATCCAGGGTCCAGTAGACGAAGCTTCATATCTGATGTTCTTTGATAGCCAACTTTTCCAAGATTAAAAGGTTAAAATTTTCCTTTTTTTCAATCTCACACAACTTGACCTCTTTGTCATTTTTCCCCATCATATTCTCATTTTCTCTAGTTAAAATTGACTCAACATTAAAGTTCATGTTACGAGGCTTCCATCCATTCTCTAATGCTTGTCTGATGGCCAGTCGCGATACGTCAGCGAAGGCATCTTTCCAACTTGCAATAAAGTCTTCTGCTTCTTCTTGGGAGCTAAAAGCCTCATAGCAGGCTTTTGTTCCTTTGATCGCTTTTTCTGCACTCCTATTCTAATTAGATATCAACTTTACTTACGAAAGGAATGAAACTTACTTCCAGTCGGTGAAAATGCCAGTAGCCCTGCCACCAGCTACAGCCCAATGTTTGCTTATACTCACTGGCATAGTATCTCGCTTGGCGGAAATTTTGATGGGCATATCGAAGTCTTTGATTCCTCTTTGAAACATTCCATTGCAAGCGGCCTCGAGTGTTTTCAACTTTTCATGATCAGCGCCTTCGCATCCTGTCACTCTTGGATGTGCTTGGCTCCTAGACAGATAAGATATCAGCGAAAAAAGCGCCACTTTCCAGATTTGATCACATTTACCAAGAACAATATATAGCAGGTTTGTCAACACGACCTTTATAAACCGCATAGTAAGATGCTTGTGGGGCCATGGCTGAATTAAGTTATTGTGAAGAACTGATATGCGAGGGTTTCGATTTCAAGTCAGCCAAGAAAATAAAATGGGATTAAGAGTTAGTATTTATACCTCAAAAGCAGCGTGGGAGAGGGGAGGGCCAGTCCCTGGGTAGCCGGCATAGGGTCCTAACTGCCAACTCATAAATGAGCTGGTGTGCCAGAGCGTTAGTGCTTAGTCGAAGCCAGAGGGGAAGAGAGCACCCGAACGGCGTCCAATCAAGAAGTTACAGCATTGAATAGTCCATAAATTACGGTGGCGTAGTTCTAGCACTGCCCTCTAGCCTCGAGTAGTTGGCTGTCCTTACTGCACACTGGACTCGCGTCGGATTCATAATGCTGAATGTATCCGTAGATGGGGACAGCGTATTCAGAACAGTAATCAATATTCAATAAAATTGTAGTCGACTCTAGATAGAAGACGTAGTGCGAGGAAGCAAAAGAAAGGCACCATGTGGGTTCCGCAGATCATATCTCCAAACATCCTGTATGCTTCATGTATATCACTGAAACAGGCTGGAATGATTCCTGTAGGAGACTTGGGGCTGCCTGGGTATTAGAAAATGGGCGTTGCTGTTTGGCCAATAATTTCAATAAACACGCCAGTTCTTTCACTGCGTTCACCAAGAAGCCGTTGAGAAGGCCCTGGACTTATAGGCTATGGCCTTAGGAAAAATGACTGCGGTTTTGGGGCCAGTATCTAGACAAGCCAGTGGTCCAGTGACGCACGTCCAATGCCGAGGAGCTATAGTGGGAGAGCTATGGTTCCATAGACAAGGGCCCAGAGCAGCCGATCTGGGTCCAAGTACTTCGGGCTGTGTATTTGAGTCCAAGCTGGACGTACGTCCACAGCTCTAGGTCTAGCTGGGCTCCAGGTCCATTGACTGACGGCCGCGACAGCCCATTTACTGTAGTGGCTCAAAACTTTCTGACTACGCTCTTCAAGAGATTGAAATCCTGTGAGTTTAGTCTCCTATAATTTATATATACTATAGCTAGTCTGTTTTAATTGCTATCTGTTTGTCAACAATCTTTTCATTCGTCGACGAGCTATGTAACGTGAAACAGTTGGCATCTCTGTTTCCGGAGTTCAGAGTAACACTAGTTCAAAAAATAAGACCCAGTCACGTTAATAGCTGCCAATCACCATCCAACACGAACGCGGGAATCTGACCAATACACGGTTCTCATACTACCGATAACATTGACACGAATCACCCTTCGCCACGTCGCGCAGTACCGGAGTACTTTTCGTTCTATGATGAACGGCACAGGGAGATAGACGTCCTAAAACAATTGAATCGCGACCTTTAAACAAGATTAATATGGGCTCTGTCATCTCTACAGTACGGTAGCAGTCCTGGGAGGGTCCATGTCAGTTTCCCCAAGTGACGGACTTCCTTGGGACTTGGCAACGAACGGGAATCGCAGTGGATAACAGAGGCCAAAGCTATAGAGAAACAAGTAGCTTACTAGGATATGTTCTCTATGGCGTCATTACAGCCTTCTTTTAGATGCAAAAGAGATTCAGACAATCAGGCACTTACCGCCATTGGCCGAATAAAACGTAGTTACCCCCCTTCGATGAGCCCCGCATACATCACGTGTATCTCCTAATGCCCTAATACACCCCAGTGTTTGCTGCGTGAAATCGTTTAATCCTCTGTCGTCAATTGACTTTCTGCCACATATTCAAAATCAGCTAGTTAAATGACTAAATAGTTGAGTGTTTATATAAGTTTTTCGGTAAACGTTCAGTGTCTACCGTTAGACTATGTCGAGCTTCTCATGGGGTGGCAAGAAGATGTCAACAGTGAGGTCGTTCCAGATCGAGTATCTCAGAGGGACTATACATGAAATGCAACGACCACGAACTTCCATCCAAGAGGAACTGGCTTTGAGGGAATCTTCTTGATAGGAAACAAAGTACAGAAATGATTGCTTCACTACGACTCTTTACTCCAACTTGGGATAATTGATGACCCTCATTGGCCATATAGGCATCAATCAACTTGTTCTGCTGATTTACGAACGCTGTGAAAGAATGGTGGGAAAGAATACTCAGCAATCCCTACAACTATATCCATTCAAAATGTTGGAATCGACTCAGATATCAAAGCCTAACAAGCTCCAAGCTTCTATAATAAAACCATAAAGATTTAATCGACACCATCCTCATTTGGAATTGGAAGACCCATTGTCTCAAGCTTGCTTATACTTTTAGTCCTCCTTTTGCGGTTGAGTTTTTCCCAATCGGCGTAAAAGGCTAAGTCCGCAATTGCGAGTTCGAAAAACGGATATTAGGGATTCTGACGAATATTCGTATTCGCAACAGCCCTAATGATCATAAGGGCTACGGCCAAGCAAACTTATGCCGGTGATTATCCTAAGTCTATGGCCGAAAAGAATAAAAAATAATTCATTCACCCATTCTCAAAAAGAAGTAGGGTGCTTATTGAATATTATTGGTCACTCAATAGCCTCCACTCCAAATCACGCGCAGTTACGAATACCCAGGCACCAAGTCAACTGCAATATTGTCACGTGCAGCATCCTAAGCCAGACATAATAAGTGAAAAGAGAAACCAAATCATGCTCAGTGAGCAAGAGCATGAGCTGTTAAATCCTCACTCCACCAGTGGCGGAATCATCAATCTCAGACTCTACGCTGGTCCCACTGGGAAAATAGGGAACGTCATAAGGGTTGAATTTCGGGTCGATGTGAGGTTTTTGAGGACCACGGCCGGCCCCATCTTGACGATCAAGCGTCTTTCGTAGTTCGTCAAGGGAGAGACAAGCCATGGATGGACTGAGGTCGGTTTCGATGTCAATAATAGTTGAGGTGCCTCCCGCTGTCGAGTCCGCGAAGCCCATCCGCTTACCGACACTGGTAGCGATATCGTTTCTTAAATCCCTCCTGACGGTGTCGATCATGCGAAACAGAACACCCTGTTGATGCTGAAAGCGCGTCGCGGCATTCTGTTCGTCCGTGCGGACATCAGGGAACCGCCAATTCAGGTAGAGCTTTTGGTGAGAAGGGGGGCTCGCATAGCCTCTCGGATGGCAAGAAATGAACAGGTGGCAGAGATAGCAGGCTGGCTTGCTGCATCCAATGTACCTGTCCCTCTCGTCGAGGAATCTGCCGCCCGTCTGCTCAAAGTGATCGAGAATTAAAAGTTCCGCATGCACGCGCGTTTTGCCTTTACAGAGATCCTTGGACAGCACCCGGTCCAGTTCCTTCTCCGAGTATATTTTTTGCAACTGCCGTAGGAATATATCTTGCTTCGCCGGATCAGAGAAAATACGATGACTAATGTTCTGAATATTGCAGGTTCGGGCCAAAAGAGGGATTAGGTTATCCCGTGACCCCCCTATCGTCTCGATGCGCAAGCCTCGCGATAACTCTAAGCGAAGCCTGATAGTGGCCTCAATTAGTCGCTTACACTGAGCCACGTGTTTCCCCAGTTTGTAGAGCAGCTTATGGAGCCGCTCGAAGTTGCGGGATAGCTGAAGGCTCCCGGTGGTGTGATGCAAGGCCCTGAACACCTCCCGGTCCCTGTAGCTGGAGAGGGCCAGACTTGGCATGTCGCTTTCCTGAAGCTGCATACTGCTCTTTGAAAGGTGCGTTGCAATCCAGTTGCGGAGGTTGATGATGCTGTCATGATCTGCTCGTGGTGGTAACGCTTCATCAGCTTTGATGTCCAGCAAGAGCTGCTCTCCTTACAGACAGGGCTGCGTACCTTTCAACTCAGACTCGGCATTCAACCGTTCCATCACCGACGAGACCAATTTGTTCACCTGCTGATAGTACTCGAATATTTTGGGAGCGTTGAGGTCCAGCACGTAGGCAGTCAAAATTTTCATCACCTCTCGGCCCTCATTCGTGTCCAGTCGAACCGTAGGATTATCGATGATCCATGAAAGAATCATGCAAACTTTCTCCAGAAGAGTAACCACCGCCGTATCAATGCCATTGTTGGCAGCCAGCAGAACCACTATCGCATCGGGGGCCTCTTCTAGGGCCGCCGCGGTGACATAGCCAGGCTTCTTCCGGTACGCACATATATAGGCGATGGCATCCACAAAGGATCGATAGCATCTGGGGGCAGTCAGCCCCGGGCCTTCGGGGGATATATCACCGGGCTTGATTCGATCCCCTCGGACTTCGCTTAAAGTGTGGAGCAAGCAGAGAGGCTCATAGAGCAACCGCATTCTCTTAGGCTGATGGGAGATCAGCGAAGCCTCCGAATATCCCCCGCTCATTTCGTCTTGCTCGAGAAAGTTTGCAAAATGATTATCACAGATATACCAAGTGTTCTTTGTCTTTGAGTTTGCCCGCCGCGAGCTTGATATATAATCTAAAGCTCATCCTCTCAGCCCCGTTGCGTTTTTTTCTGACTCACTGCGCTCTGGTAATCTCATCATTTATCTTTGCTGCCCAACGCTAGCCATTACTTTGTTTCTCTTTCGCTCCCTTTTTTTGCTTTCCAATTGTTTCCCCCCCGGTCATTTTTCTGCGGCTACCAATATGTATCCCTTTCTTTCGGTTTCTCTCACTCGCTACATGACGCAAGCCAGATTGAAGCCATGTCACACTGCGTCGATCGTCATGCAAGCCTTGGAGCTGGAATTACCGCGGCTGCTGGCACCAGACTTGCCCTCCAATTGTTGATGTTAGTACGCTGTACACAGATATACTTCTGCTGCAGTGTCAAGGTTGGGAGTTCATGTTAGCCATGCATGCGTATCTTTGTACTTATGCGGAATAAAATGAACTTGTGTCTGCCACGGAAAACAGCTGACGGGTATGGCCGACCCTGCATGGACAACACATTTTCAAAAATATGACACGTCACGCTCTACATCACTTCCTCGTATACTTCTTTCGAGGGCCTGTAAATGGATGAATGAGACGCCACGTCTACAGGCTAGAGCCTTACGGTGAGTCACAGTTGGGAGATTTGCCATGTTGTACTGGTTTCATGCTTTTGTAGGAACAATCTCAAAATAAAGGGAGTTGGGGGACCATACATGGAGTTCAATAATTCTCCAACTTCGAAAACCTAAGATACTGCTTTGCCATCAGTCCGAAGCATTAGCATGGCCAGTCGACGAGACAACAGTCAACCCACCAGTTCCGAGGGCAAGTCTAATGACCATCTGTCTCCCATCTGCATCCAAACTAACGCCACATGGTTTATAGATCTTCTCATCGGCACCCTTCTCTTTCAAATATCAGTTATCTCGTCCCTCGCCAGCTCTGAAATGTCGCGCAAGGAGACTGAGGTTAGCCCGCTAGTTCAGTCATCTCTCGCCGGCGGTTAGGCTCACGCAGTTACAGGATTATTGCAACCATTCTTTTCAAACGTTTAACTGGACGGAAATAAAGCGTTCTCTCAAAATCGCTGAAGACCCACAAACAGTTATCGGAGAAGAAAGCGGTGCCCGGAATCTCATAGTCGCCCTACTAGGGCAGACCTATAGACTCTGCCCTGAGCCGGAAAGACTTCCACTTCTATGGAACCTCGCCGACATATTCTCTCCAATTGCTCCCGGAAACGCCCATCGTGGCAGCCATGTAATGACGAGTGTGGAAACATCCTTATCGAGACCCCCCAGTCCAGGTCACTCGCAACCTGGACGAACTACTGCTCATGCAGTTGCTCTCCATCGATATACCTCCGCGTTGCATGAGAGGGGCCAGAGAGAAAGCAAGAGACTTGAGCGAATTGAGGAGCAGACAATCACACTGGATCCGCCTTTGTTCAAGGTAATTGTCCAGTATGGGAATGTCACTTGCTCTGGCATGGCTCGAACAAAGAAAGAGGCTGCGCACTTGGGCGCCAAGGAAATTTGCCGCCAATTGAATGAAACCATATGACTAGACTGAATAGCGAAGAGGGAGATGCTCAATGGCAGTCTGACAACGAGTCTAGTAGACAAGGAATCGCACACTCAGCAACGTTCTGTAGCAGTGGGAAAGCAGCAGATATCACAGAAAGAGCATGAGGTCAAAAAGAGCGTATATTTAATAAATCGATCAATCTGGCTGATGCCTGTAGGAGGTGTCTGTCTTTGTCCGAAACATAGAGAATGAGGCACCAGTAATGACTGAGCGCCCTAAAAAGCAGGCATCCGGGCTGATACAGAAGAGGAAGCAGAGGCTATTTGCAGAAAGGTTCTCGATAAGCAGCCTATTTCACAAAGATCGCGTATTGTGCTTACTCGACCTCCCAGCTCTCACGATTTCTCTGCGTTGCATTTTCCCCACTACAATAGAGAATAATTGAAAGGCTGAAGCTCAGCTCAATGATCAGAGATAGGGAGTAGACAATCTGGTATATGATTCTAGGTATGTATGAATCAAGGATCTTATGGACAATTGGCCGACTCATTACTAAAAGTAAAGGCCATGTTGATTGGCAGCCTCTCTAGCTACCAGGCATATGAATCATCAAAAATGAATTGAGATAGATAAGCAAACGTGCGTGTTGGACTTTCATTGGAGGAAATCTGCTCTATTTGAAAGCAAAAAAAAAAAAGTAAAGTTGATTTATCTCCCACAATTATCTCTCTCTCTCCCCCACCCTGAACTACGCTATTTTCCTTTTTTACTTTTTGAAATATTCAGGAACTGCGGACCCATCAATCTACAGCATGGTACTCAACGATAGGGAGAAGTGGCCGATACAGGAACGAGCCTACCAAGTGGAAATGTTACGAGCTAGTCTTCAGCAAAACATTATTGTCTCGGTAAGATTGGGAAACATTCCGTGGAAATGATTGGACAATAATGCTAAATAGGCAATCCAGATGGGCACCGGGACTGGAAAAACTCTCATGTTGGTCTTTTAGATGGGTTGACCTCCTTCTCAAAGCACTGACCGATGCTCCAGAGCGGTCCTTCGAATCCGGGAAGCCCTGAACATTAATCCAGATAAGGTAATGCAGTTTTTTATCCCCTCTTCCATTGCCTCTAGCATTCGTGCGGAGGTGGGGGCTCACCCAAAATATAGCTTGTCTGGTTTCTCTGCCCTACTATTGCGCTGTGTGAGCAGCAAGTCAATGTTCTCCGGTCCCACCTTCCCTACAGCCGCCCTCGATCCTTCACTGGCAAGGATCAAGTCGACCACTGGGGAGAAAAGGCCGTTTGGGATGCCGCCCTGTTCGGCGTGCGAGTCGCAGTCTCAACCTATCAGGTCCTGTTGGATGCCCTAACGCACGGGTTCACGAGAATTGATCAATTTTCATTGCTGGTATTTGACGAAGGTAAATGGGAATATGTAAAACCTCGGCTGTTTAGATATTAATTGCCATCGCAACTAGCTCATCATTGCACTGGAAACAGCCCGGCGAACAGAATCATGAAAAACTTCTACCATCCCTACAAACAGACGATCCCGAACATCTTACCTCGGATCCTAGGTTTGTCGGCCTCTCCAGCCCATTCGGATGTTTCTAGCCTCGAGTAGGTCTACAATTGAGAGTGAGAGGGTGTGAAAGGGGGAAGCGCTAATAGCCCATATAACAGGAAGCTAGAGAGTGATCTCGACAGCAGGTGCATGGGCCCAAATCGATACTATCAGCAGCTGTTGGATTCAACCAATCGTTCTGAGGTGTGTATTTATCGTTTCTTAGATGATGATGGACTCCGCATTAGTGCCGAACCCCGGCTATTGAGTTGGCTGCGTGGCATTATCGATCACGCAGAGAGGTATCATCATCAGTCAAGGACCGCGCAGCTTCGCCAATTTGTCCAAACTTCTGAAGCCCTTTATCACGAGCTCGGCAAGTGGGCGGCGACTGAGTACATGTCCACATCCATCAGGCACTTCAAAGAGCACCAACGCTCGCATGCCGAGACAGAGTGGTGCACTAATGCTGTCAAAGACTTCACTATGAAGACGCTCTGCGAGCTCGGCCCGCTGGAGCGGCATCCCATATCGCCTACTACACCTGCTGATCTCTCCCCAAAATGCCGGGGGCTTCTTGAAACCCTGTCCCGACTGGTGAATCGAGACTTTCGGGGGCTGATATTTGTGGTTCGACGAGCGACCGTGATGATACTAAAGTCACTGATCGAGAATCATCCCGATACCAAAGACAATTTCCGCTGCGGCGCTTTCGTCGGCATGTCAAAAATGCACGGCCTGACAGACCTTGGGAAGTGGCACGATAACATCCGTGCGCAGGAAGAGACACTGACCAAGTTCCGTATGAAAGAACTGGATTTAATCATCACCACTAATGCACTGGAAGAGGGAATCGACATCCCAGCCTGCAATACTATCATCAGCTTCGACCGACCTCTCAGTCTCAGGTCCTTCATCCAAAGACGCGGAAGAGCTCGCCAAAAACAATCCACCTTCATAATTTTCGCTAATAACAAGCAGGAAGAGGAAGAGTTGAGGAAACTGATAGAATTAGAAGACAGGCTGGTGCAGACCTACCGAGATGGCACACGAGCTGTTCCCAACCCACCGTGTGAGGCAGACTCTTATTTGTCACTAGAGGTGAAAGATACAGGGTATGTATGGCTGCAAAAAAAGAAAAAAAGAGCATGAAAGGATGTTTTATCTAATATATGATAGCGCTCGACTGGGCATGCTGGATGCTGTGAGCCATTTGAACACCTTTTGTGCAAAACTGCTGCGACAGCCATATGTCATCAATCGGCCCCTATATCATTACCAGGAGAGTCCTGATGGCCGGGTTCGAGCCACAGTCCTCTTACCTAGTGCTCTCCATCCATCTCTTCAAGAAATTGAGGGCTTGTACTGGTGGTCCAGTAGAAAACATGCGAGAGCCGACACTGCACTGCAAGCATATCAGGCTTTGCGGGCGGCAGGCTTGGTGAATGACCATCTACTACCATCTAAGCCCTCCGACCTCATCAAACCGGCCTTACTTTCTTGCAAAGCCTTCCATCTTCTACCGGAACCATTCAATCCTTGGGCTGAGGCGGCTGCTCAGTGGGATACCAGCGGGGGGAGCCTGTACGCCCATCGTCTGGAGATCCAAATCCCGGGAAGGAACAGTCTCGAGCTGAGGATGATCATCCCTCAGCAGATCCACAAGCAGACCAGGTTTCCCCTATTCTTGCATGACGAGACCACCATCATTGTCCGCCTGTGGCCAGGCTCACTAGTTGCCACTGACCAACAGAATATCTTGCTCTACCGTCGGGTCACGCATCTGATCCTCCAGTCTGTGCATGGGTATCTGCTACAGACTCAGGATCGAAAAGACTTTGTTACCCTTTTCGTTCCAGATGCTGCACCTGCTGCGATGCAACTTTTCCTGGAGACATGCTCTGGCAGGCTTCCCCTCAACGAGGCTTTGAAGAGCGAAAAACACACGCGGGAACCAGGCCTACTGCGTAGCCCTACGTGGCCTTCCTACCCGTGGATCATAAATTCATGGCACTTGGAACTCCCATGCAGCCTCCAACGCCTTCGGGCACACATTTACCCTCTACCCCGGAGGCGAAACTTTCTATCTCGCTGCCCTCCCGGAGGTTCGAAACCGGGAAATCCGGCGACAGGCCATAAAGGCCGGAAGGCGTTCTCAGAGGGCCAGGAGCTTACCATGGATCGACTACCCCTTCCATGGGCCCTGGCGGCTCTGTATATTCCCAGTATTACCCATGAGATTGGTATATGTCTGGTTGCCGAACGACTACGGGAGCAAGTCTTATCAGGCATGGCCTTCCGCCGGATGGGTCTCCTTTCCCTGGCAATTAGACCAACCTGCTCCGAGAGACCTGATCGGTTCCGGTCGTTGGCCTTTGTGGGGGCCACCTTTCTGAAATTCATCACCAGCGAGCAATTGTTTCTGCACCACCCCACCTGGCATCAAGGCCTACTATCTAAGCTCAAGGAAACTGTTGTCTCAGACCAGGGGTTGGCCCAGGCAGCCAGGATGTGCAGGCTGGGGGAATTCCTCATCACCAGACGATTCAACGGCCGGAAATGGAAGCCCGCATGGATTTCCAGTTTTCTGTCACCGCCGGGCTCCATGGAGCCACGGAAGATCAGCGCTAGAACGCTGGCCGAGATGGTAAGAGCAATTGTGGGCGCGGCCTATATGGACGGCGGCAGCAAGCAAGCGGCGACCTGTGCCGCGACTCTTGTGCCGGCAATCAAGACTTGGTATGCCGCAGCACTGAGTGACGGTAGCTTTGAGCAAACTCGGCCAAGGCCCGTGATATCGTACTTTTCAACGCTGGACGAGATGGAACAATTGCTAGGGTACACATTTACGGATCGCAGCCTGCTGGTGGAAGCATTGACGCATCCTTCCCACTATGCATCCGGAATGCCTCGGACCGCTGCCTACGGGCGGTTGTCCTTCCTGGGGGATGCTGTGCTCGAACTTGTGGTGACCCAGACTCTACTCCACGCTCCTAATCGGACTCTGGATGTGGACCGTTTGCAAAGTCTGCGAACCGCCGTGACTAATAATATGTTCTTGATGTTTCTATGTTTGATGTTCCACATGGAAGTTGAAACCCATGTCGGAGATGCTACCCAGCCAACCCTCAGCCGTGCGGAGGAGACTCTGGACGAGGTTTATCTGTGGACCTGTCTGCGTTCACACAGCATTGAGCTTACCACTGCCTTGGCCAAATTTCGATCGACGTCCCGGCGCAACTGCTGGAGGATTCAACTGGCTTTTCTGAGGAAGACGCAATACCCTTGGGCTGAGCTAGCCGCGATGGGCGGGCACGCTGTCCTGGGTGATATTGTAAAAAGCGTGTTGGGGGCGGTGTTCCTGGATTCTCAAGCCAACCTGCGGGACTGCCGGCATCTGGCCGACAGGATGGGGATTCTCCCTCGTGTCAAGCAATTTCTTCGCGATGGCGTAGTCACAGACCATCCCAAAATCCTCTTACAGAAGCTGCATCCGAGAACAAAGATCTTCTACCAAGGCTATACCATACCCGCGCCAGACAAGCCCTTCTGCTGTGCAGTCTGGGTGGACGACGAGAAATTGGTTGATATTCAGGGATGCCCCAATCGAAATGTTGCCATGGTCTCTGCCTCTCAGGTTGTAGCACAACTTCTACAAGAAAGACTCAAGGCCCGGTGAGATTTGATGGACATATAGATCGATATTGAAAAAGCTACTGAATACCTAGCCCAATTAAGATTCAGGGTGCAGAGGTATTACAGTAGATTGCTCAACAACGATGAAATGTTCCAAAAAGCTGGATGCATCGATGTAACAGATAGAATATCGAGGAAAATTCTGATCTTGAATGGTGCTGTAGAGAATATCAGGGATAGCTAGTCTACTGTAGGCAAGGCCTTACTGGGAAGTAGGAAAACACTGGAGAATAGCGCCTTATTGGCCGAACTGGATGAAAAGACGACTGACCTATCAAGAACTCCTACTATCCATCCCCTATGCTAGTGACAGACGAATCTGGAGCAGGTCGATAACGATACACTGGAACAACATACATGAGGTTGTACAACCAAAGCGGAAATTGCATCAAATCAGAACCTTTGCAATCAATAAATTTATTTGCCATGATCTCGGCCCGAGCCGCGATGTAGGATGAATCGAATACCGCTCTGATGAGCCTACGATAGGAACTTGTAGTGATACGAGCCAAAGTGGCTGTGGTGGCTGAGATGATGAAAACGGACGCTTAGGGAAGGGCAACAACTGATGCTGATGATAGAATAAAGCAGTCAAGTTTCGAACTAGTCTCAAGTCACCAGGCGTCTTTAGCTCTGAGACTTATGGCTTAGCGTCCAGCTTATAAATAAGCTCAATCGTTTGTGATTTGAACTTTTAGGAGGGCAAATTATCCTACCACCAATTTGCAAGATGAGGAAATATACCCTATAGTCCAATAATACTGGATCAGTAGATGAGATTATGACACTGTATGATTATGAGCGAGTTTATGCAGACGCAGGCCATCCTTAACCTCGTAATAAGGCAGCGCTTTCTTCTCGCCACTGATAAATACCATAATTTAGTGACCTCAAAGACACATCCACTGTAAACGGCCCGGAGACCTATAATAATAATTGTGTTACTGCGCCCAGAAACAGGAAGCTGCAGGCAGATCTGCGATACTAGGGGCTATGTAATGCAACGTTAGATTGACCTAGATATAGGAAAGCGTACCGAGCCGACAGTGCTGGTGATTTAGACTCAACATATCCACAACGTTATATCGGTTTAAGAGAGTGCGGTTCCGCATAGTGAAAGTAAGAAGACTCTAGGAGTCACGCGTAAGGCCGACCGTATATACGGCATTTCTCCCATTGGATCAAAGCGTTTCATATTCAAAAAGGTCCACAGACTACCTTACTACGCCTCGCCAGAAGAGGGCCATAGCGAAGCGATCGTCTCTAAAGCGCTACTTAGCGTGAGGATCAGCGTCTAGTCGGGTGAGGCATTATACGCAACTCTAGGGCCGAAAAAAATATAAAGGAAAACTCATATATAGTGAAAAGACGGCTAAAGACTCTTGGGATATGGTGACTGCCGGGCACTCATAAAATAAAGAAACCGGCTAGAAATCAAGGAACAAGCAAGGAGGAGAATTTGAAGGTGATTCGAATTCTAGTTTTGCCATATTGGTGGGATTGTAGCTTCTTTTATAGACGACGACGGAGGCCCGGAAGATGTAATCCTTCTTCTACTAAGAGTAATCAATCTCAAACAGAGTCTGCAATCCAACCCATTACAGTCGAGGATACTAGACGATACCAGTTTCATAGTCCACAATAAGTTATAGCTCACTAGCAAAAATTCCTATAGTTGCGGTCTTATATTGACCATAAGATGTAGTATCGACTAAGGTTTAGGGCGTGTGCGACATTTTCGCTATTAGCCCAGATAGCCAAGCTGTGATTTCGAGTTTTTACTAATTAGGTGGAGAGAGATCGGAGAGATCGAAAATAACGACAACTAGGTGTTTAGCTAGGCAACTAGAGACCATTTTATAAAGCCGGGACTATATAGTGCAACCTTAGGTAGTGCGGTAGTAAAGGGATATAAGCGTCGAGGGTATACTAGCACATTATAGATTTAAGGGAGGCCCGTATAAATAAGAGACGAAAAGGCGCACTAGCAGAGGGAGACTTAGATATCCTCGTAGTATGGTGATCAGTCACTCCCCTAGGCAAGGAATAGGATCATCGACACGAAAGAACAGGATGCTATATCATCCCAGTGGTTACGCTTCTAGGTGACAGGCATTGCAAGCTGGATATCGGATCAAGCGGCATCTCTGGTAAAAATGAAAGGTGCAGTGCGTCGGCCTGAAAGCAAATGTACAGTGGTCGGTGGGGGCCAGAGTAAAAAAAAGGGAGTGGCGATGAGTGCAAGAGAGAGAGGCAGAATAATAGAAAGTGAGAGAAAGGGAGGAGGAGCAGCGAAGACGGGGGCCTTTTATGTCGGCGGCATTGAAGGTAGGTTACATGACAGCCCATCCCTTGCGCCTGCCAGGCGGCTATAATATCTCACGGTTCCATAAGAATGTTTAAAAATGAACTTAGATTCCAATAGAGCACTTATGCCAACGTTTGAGTTTTGAAAAAGTTCGAAATCTATCACCACTATGACCTGATCTAAAACCAAAGATAAAGGTTTCCGGCACAGGTTACATCCGCAATTAGATCATTTTCGCTCTATATTTCGAGATTCTTCGAATGTTGACCTTCCCCAACACACCACTTTTACGACTTCAAGGGTTCTTTGTCATATTGTATTTCTTTTTCATCTTCTCCTTTGCTTCATTGTTTCAATTTTAGTTAATCGCATTGATCGGGGTTTCTTTGTACTTCTAGCCTCGCCTCGGTCCTAGTTATATAAAAGGCAGCTAGTCAACATTGAATCCCGTGGAAGAGACATACAATACCAATAAGTCTACAAGTCAGCATTTTTACAGACTCTTCTCTATTACTTCATCGTACTAGAGCTTTCGCTACCACAGAGCAAGATGGCCGACAATTACGTTCAGTGGATAATTAGGGGACGAATCCAACAGAAATGGATCGAAAACCGTACAGCGGGTTGCTTGTACCCCATTTCCACATTCACTTTGACGCCCAGACACCAGGACTATACTGTCGACCGCAAATCTGTGAAGCTAGATGCGAAATTGCTAACTGCCCTTAACATGGACAACGCGAATTCCACCTATCGAAAGATCAGCATCACGCAGCGTGACGAAGGTCCACCGGTGTGGTGGATTGGACGCACTGGCCCAGGAGTGATTTTCATTGATGATATCTTTAGATCTAAGAGAAGCGAGGATCCATACATTTCCGAGTTTACCAAGGTAGCCTACGAGATGGATTTCCCCCTGGATAGCCTGAAGAGTGTATTTGTTTCCAATGTCAACGAAAAGAACACCCCATCGTGTGTTAGAGAGGTGTACAAAGCCCGCGAAGGAGTACGTTATCCATCCAGCGCAGAGCAGACCTGGAAGCCTTCCTCGTCTGAGTTCCATGCTCTGCTAGGCATCGGAATAGGCAAACTCATTGCAGCATTTGTTCTGTGTGCGTGGGGTCAAGGGAGAAAGCGAATTGCTAGGATCGTTACTTTCCACATTGGCGCCGACGTTCACAAGCTGTACATGCGGTTTGATCTGGAGGAGATGTAAGAATGTTCTCAGCCTACTTTTGCTAAACTTGTGATTGAATTGTTTTATGCTTAGTTTAAGGTGAATAGATATGATACATTGATTGCGAGAGTTTGATTAGTATAATGAATCCCCCGGTAGGTTTATTTTTTAGGGAGTAGTATCTATATTGTAGAGAATTCTTGCAAACCAAAGTATATACGAAGGACACGGCGAATATAATAATAATAGTTCTAATTAAAGCACCAAACATCGAGAATTCACTGGTGGCTACCCAACTACCACACCACTGGGTAGGTGGGTGCCCGGGTGAGATATGGGGGAAAACTACTCGGGTTGCAATTACATTAACACCGCATGGGACAGTGGAAGTTTTGACATATGAATACAGCTCTAGCTCATTGGAGGTGTCATTTTTGGGCAGAATCTTGTCGGGGGTATCATCATTATTTACAAAGGAACCACCCTTTCCTCTCGGAAATACAGATACAGCAGGCCGTATTGAAATGGCCCGCTTATACTTAGCGATTTATACCCGTAGACTCTCCATCGATGTACGGAGTACGGAGTATAGCAGCAAAGTGCACGAAGCCGCAGACTTGCATGAAGTCGATAGCCTCGAACAGCCACCAACCGCACTTCGGTCTCGTGTGGGGAAGGATAACCCTGGCCTAGCTTTGAAATGGCTAGAATTAACCACAATGTATGGTAGTTTTCACCATGTTATTCTTCAATAAATATTTGTATCCTTGAACCATTGCCGCCTCCACCTCTTCCCATACCTCCACTCGAACCATGCCAAGCCAAGACAGGCCATACATAGTCCACCAATTAAGGTGAACATCCATCCCGGCTCCGTTGCATTCAAGCAACTTTAGAGGAAAGCAAGCCCGGCACCCGCAAGTGAGCACCGGACGATATTGTTTGCTGCCTGCGCAGCAACCGGGGACATGGCGTTCAGGTCTGTTAGGCAGATACTTGCATTAAAAGTGATCGTTATGGCGAACCCTATTTTAAATTGTAGAACGAGGGGAACAGCTATATGCTATATGTTTAAGGCTTCTATAAGTATCTGTCACGATTGATACTTTATAAAGCTGGGTAGATTACTTACAGATCTGGACTGTAATGCCCATCCATATCCAGCAGTGGAGATCCCTGTTGCGCAGATGAAGTACCATGTACTCCTGAAACGAGCTTTTTCAATGGGGAACGCACTTAGATCGTCGCCGTGGGTAGTATCTATTACCAGATTATGGGCAAAGGCTGTGAGGCGGTAGTCACGGTTCATGATTTTATTCTAGCCAAATAGCAGTTAGGTAACATTTACATTTTCTTCTAGTCAGAGAAAAGAAAGACAATGATACCAGAGCAGTATGCGCCAATACAGGACCCGATACCGAAGGGTAGATAAACCAACCCTGCCTTGAGCTGTGAGAGTTTATAGATGTCAATAAAAAGTGTTGACAGGGAGCCTTGAAGACAGCCGAAGTTCATGTAATAGACACCATATATGGCAGCGATGAGAAGACTGTCCCTGGATGCGAGGATCTTCAGAGTCGCGACAGGGTTCGGAATCCGGAAATTGCGGGGGTGTTCTCTTCCTCGTTAAGGGCTGGCAGGGGGATGTGATTTCTCGACTGGTGGTAGCGGAAGATTGGGCGATAGAGAACTGAACCATTTCGCGAACCATTCCCGACAATAGAACGGGCTGTTTCGGGTAGGAAAAGAGCGATGAGCAAGATACAGATCCCCGAGGCTATACAGGAACCCAGAAGATCCAGCCCAGAAGATCCAGCGCCACCCGGGAGCTTCACTCAAGGCTCCTCCGAGGATTGGGCCAATCGCAGTTGCAATATTGAGACTGTAAGACAGAAGAGTTATGGTGTGACTTTGAGATGCCTAATAATGGCGAGCTGGCTGAGGTTACTAGCACTGGATTATCTCATGGGTGATTCGCCTCGAAGAGAAAATTGATTATAGATTAGAAGACGACGAGAAAGTATTGAGAAAACTAGCCAGCTTGTCTTGTCATACATCTTAGCGTTTCTCTTTCTCCCCCCTCCCTCTTATGCTTATTCCCCGACAATTGATCTTTTCGTCTACATACCCTTGTTTCTGATTGAAGTTTTACTTGGGATGTAAATTTCAATTAGACATTCCTGCACGATCGAGATGCGTAAACTAAACCAAAGCATTCTTGTAGAATATATTCGATCGCCGGTCACCACTTTTCCCCGAGGCAAATCCCAAGAATAGACGAACTTCCCCGGCCGCAGTCTTATAAATGGCCAGTCCTTCAGGTTCACGGAACGATAGTGTTGATCCAGCTTTTGTAATGAGGGGACCTTGGACGACAGATCCAGTATTCATGTTGACCGCGGTCACATCCGAATTGACCTTACCGTCGGTCACATCATACGAGTTGCCGTATAAGAGATAGATATACTGGCCATACGCCGCATACCCCTGGAATGTATCCGATGCTGTATCCAACGAAGGATGCTTGAAATTCGCGAGAGGCTTAGAGAAATCCCCATCCGTTGCCTCATCCAAGTTGAACACATAAATGTGTTTACCGTCACTGAGGTTGGCGCGGACAATGAGACGGTTGCTCGCAGGATCAATGGAGCAGGTATGCTCTGTAGCACTAGTAATAGGGGCGAATTTCTTAAGCGACGAGGACGATGACGAGAGCGTAGTTCCGCTAACGAACTTGAACCGAGCAAGTTTCTTGCCATATCCATTCGAATTGGCCTCTACTTCTGTCCATAGGTAGGATGATGAGCCGACTGCTTGAACACCGAAGGAGACGCCGTGACCAAAACTCTTTAAATGCATGTGTCCCACGTAGTCGCCGTTAAAGTCAAGTTGGGTAATGCATAGGTCACCTGAAGTCTCGGAGGAACCATCGCGTCGCTGGGTGACAAAAAGTCGGCGATTGGTATTGTCAAATGCGAAGCCTTGCTGGACAGTCACATCATGCAGGGACTTGCCACGGAAGACGTCGTATGATGGCTTTGACAGATCAAAGCGCTGGGACGTAGGAATCGTCGCTTGCACAGGCTGGATATTGAACACCAGAACAACCAATAAAACTATAAGAGCAGCTGGCTTAAAAGCCCATGTCCAATGTTGGGCAGAAATCATGGCGAGAGTCAGATTTATGAGAAAGGCTTAGACGATAAGCGGGCCAGCCAGTACTTGCAGTATTTATAGAGAGGGGCGCCGGAGGAAGAACGGAAGGCCGAGTAGATCTTTCTCAAAATAGCATCTTGGCCCCCTCGTACTTCATATTAGGTCTGACTATGCAAGAACCTAAATACAAATCTGGCTTGAAACCAGGGGCATTGTTGAACATGAAATTTTGACTCCGAGGTCCCTTTCTGTCTAGGTAACTGCCAGCCTAAATTGCTAGTTATCTGTTCAGGTAGCTCATTGTTGTGGGAGACAAGAAGAATATATTTCTATCTACCTAACTAGCGGAGCTAAGGCCGAAGAAGATGATCATAGCCCGCAACAATTCCCCGCTAAATAATCCGACCAACATCGTCGTTGGTGAAAGATTAAATGACGAAGCGAGAATGCATCCGTCGTAGTCTGATCTGCCATAAAACACAAAGAACGCAAATAACGCGCCGAAAACAATTGCAGAAACGGAAGTCACAAGTAAAGCTGTCCGGTCCCAGATATTGACAATGATTAAATGTAGATGAACGGTTGCCCTAGGTATCATCGGACCGTCCTAGAATTGTCAGTTGACCGATTGTCGTAGGCCGACTTGACTGTTTTGGTCTGTTAGGGACCAGTTTAGTCAGACTCTTCGGTTGCTTGATCTACGAGGGATTGGGGAGACTCGCTGGTTTGTGAATGATTGTCCATGGATTCCATTCCATCATTTGGTTTGAGGTCACCAAGGTGATCGAGATCGTCAAGGCCGTCCAGGTCGTGCTCGCTGTTGATTTCATCTTCGATGGCCTCATCTGATTGTTCAAGGGTCTCTTGGGCAGTGAGCATCGAACTAGTTGTATTTGTGGAAGTCGCCAGCTCATCGTTGTCGTTGTCGTTGTCGTCTGGGACGGCGGTGGTGAGCCCAGTCGCGGTGGCTGGCACGACGGCCTGCGGAGGAACTGAGTCGACCTGTTGCGTGGGAGCCTATTTCTTTGACCATGGCAGAGGGACTTCATCTAGCACCAATTGAAGTGAGGCCTTGAGGTAGTCATCGTCCTCTGCGTTGATTCGCTTGATGATGTCGGCATATTGCACATCGTAGGCAGCTTGGCATTTAGCCAGATCTTTCTCCATTTGTATCGTGTGGCTGAACCACAGAGTGTGTTTGGGTTTCAGGTTATAATCGATCCACAGATAGTTGGTTCTCGTGTCCTCATAGGCTTCTCGAATCATCCTAATGTGGTTTGCTTTGGTTGCAATCCGATCGATAGCGTCACAAGTTTTCAAGAGGCCATCTTTGTACTTTCCGAGGCCATGCCTGATGTGCCAAGTCGGAAACCTCGTCGGCACTATAGCGGCCCTCAGCCGCCTTGACGGGCCTTCATCTAGCTCGACCTTTTGGCGCTTGGTGGCCATTGTGGTTACAGGCGAGAAAAGACGTGAAGGCAGTATAACAACGTGAAATGGGAGAATTGAGTGAACAGTGCTAGTGAGACTGTAGATTGAACGTAAATGATGTGTGAGTGTATTGGTGAATTGATATTTGGGTTAGCGGTAAGAGTACAAGTGAAACACAAGTGAAGTCGAAGGAAGGATAGTGGGTTAGTTATCAAACTGGCGTGGGTTGCTTATGAAGAAGGCAAGTTGAGCCTCTTGGTGATGCTGTCTCTCGTACCTTTGATCTTCATATACCTCAATCAACTGCCGGGGGTGGATTGGCGCATGTGCTGATCTCCAGATGTCCCAGGACCTCACTTGCGACGGATGTACTTCCCTGTCGCAATGGGCTCGCGAGCCATGTAGATCCAGCGTCTTGAAACTTTCCAGATGGCGCTTTACAGCATGTTGATACGACCAAAACTGCAGAGATATAAGTCGGGTATCATGTGTTGATCATAAGGGAGCTGATATTGTAGAGAAAACTAAACAGTATGAAAAGACATGGAGACCGCAATCTCAAATGCCGGAAATGACCATCATTCCGGCATATACAACGAAAACCCGAATATCATACCCATCGCTGCAATTCACAATTGTTCTGGTTTCTATCCAAGGAAATATCCCAATCCGTATCTCATTAAGGCATATGATCTTCATAAAATCATGAGAAGCACCTCGCGCAAAAAACAAAAACAAAGAGTCAATAGAAAGCAAAATCAAACGACATAAGGTGCAGGTCTGCGGCTAGAGCTGCGATGACGCGAGTGCGAGCCAGATCCATGACCACGACGACTGGAGTGACTACGTCTCCGCACAGTCGTAGTCTCCTTAACAACAGTCCGCTCGTTATCATGCGAGTGGTGCAAGAACAGCGCAAGCAGTGCAGTCCAGAAGAAGAATGCCGTCTCCATGATACCAATTGCGAAGGAGGCCTTCAACATGGCACAAGTCTTGTTGATGTCCAGCGATAGCGGATTATCTGTGCGCTGGCCGTAGGACCCGAATGGACCCAGGGAGATCCAGACGGAGCCGCCATGCCAGCTGGCACAGTCGGCTTTGGCAATGAAGCGGAGCTGGTAGACGGCTGCAATGAATGCGCCGAAGAAGAGCATATCCACAAACGCCACGAAGATTGCAGATCGCCTTGTTGTTGAGAAGCGGATTAGCGTGTCGAGGGCCCAGAAGATGGCGATTACGCTGACGATAAACAGGACCAGGATATAAGGTGGTGTCAACTCGTTTGCTTTGAGGTAGCCATTAACGAAGTAGGCCTGGGGTTAGAAAGATCTTGATTAGCGGAGAACTCGGAGGGGTATTGCTGATCGGACTGGATAACAATGGAGTGACATACCAGCATGCCAATGATTGGGATCAGGAAGACGATCTCAACCAGGCGGTTGAATATGAAGAACACACTGCCAATCATCTTGTCGACTTTTTAGAGATAGATTGGGTTTGAGATCTCTGGAATGTGCCACTGTCCCGATGTGCTTTGGTATGTCAGATGTACAGTCCAAGATCGTCAGGCTACACGAGCTTGCAAAGAAAGCACAGGCAGTTGGAATTACAGTGCAGTATGCACGGGGTAGAAGATGCAGAAGAATACAAAAGATAAAGTAAAAGAAAAAAAGGAAAATAGCACAAATAAGAGAGGGGGAAATTAGAAAAAAAAAAAGATATCCAGCGTCATCTTGGGCCGAGGAGGCTGGGCGACTCACAATGCACGATGTAGGTGGCTGGGGTAACCCGAGTCCTCCTGGTTAGTCTCGATGCTTTTTATATATATTGATTAGTCTAGGCACTTGCATGAGCCGTCACATTTTAATCAATGTCTTGCATTTGACCCTTTAGACTGATGGGTTAGGGCATGTAATCGTTGTCAAGCCAACCACATCTAAGTGGGGATTGTAGTACTCCGTACTGGACTTGACTTTATTGTAATTGTAAGTAAAGAGTATAAACTATTATTTCTGCTATTTCTGCTTAAAGAGATAAAGAATTAAATCTACGCTGGATCTCAGGGGCAAAAATGCATATTTTCTTTTTCAACGCCAATACGCTCATAATCATACTAGTACAGAGTTGTATCGCCAGCCACCGCAATAATGCATCGCTTATCATAAGCAAATAACTCCGGGCAATTACCGCTCTGGACTAGACTACAATCATCCATAACGCATCCCATCATTTATCTTTAGAGCGCTCGACCGGGCATATCCGTCAACGGACGCCCAGGACCCGCCATCGCGTCAGAACCATATACTCCCGTGTCAGCCGTCAGCGGCTGTGTCTGGGACACATATGCATTACTGGAGTCATATTGAGGCGCATGGTGACCGGCACCGGAATTCTGCCCCATAGTATGACCATGTCGCATCTCATACCCATTGGTAACGTCGTCCTCGCTGGATGACCAAGCACCGCCATCAGGGTCATGGTCGTGTGGGCGGCGATTGTACATGTTGGATGCATATGGGTCGGAGGACTGAAGGTAGGTCGAAGCGATTGGTCTGGTATGTTCCGAGCTGGGGAGATCCGGCGGGTCCATGCGCTCGTCTTCTTGATTGCGGAGCGCCGTCGAGCTTTCGCCTTTGGAGCCCATGAATCGAACGGTATCAGGTCCTGCAGGGTCAGTCCCCCAGGTTCGGATTGGGTAGGCGCGACCCTTGCGCCAGGCTTCGGTGATCGGTGGGAAATACTGGCGGTATGCGACAAAGCCGCAGACGATGCCAAGCATTGACCCCGTGATCACGTCAAAGGGGTGGTGGCGCGCGTCCATAATACGCGATACGGCCACCAGGGCTGCTGCTAGTAGAGGAATCATGACGAGCAGGGCCTTCCAGGCCTCACCGCGATTGTCCATAATGTGCAGCTTTCCACCTAACCAGAGGGATATGTAAACGAGACCGGCGAAGGAGGCTATTGAAAGGACGGTGTTAGTAATAGGAAAGACCTGGCGAATAGTAAAGGGGTATACACACAGCTACTGTGGCCTAGATGAATTAGGGTTAGCTTTTGCGACTCTCAAGAGCAAGTTTGTTCATACCGGACGGCCACGACCGAAATCCATCAGTCAATAAGGCGGGGTCACCTGTACATATCGTTGAGTTCGACAATCCTGGGAACAGGTCCTTGCTACCAGGGCGTGGTTGACAACGATCGATGAGATCGGGTCTGGGCTTGCCACATGCGGTCTTCAGCGCCTGTGTGATGACAAACGCGAGTCCCTGCGCCAGCAAGAGTCCCAAAACACCACAATTGAGCTCCCAAAGTCTGTCCTTCCAGCGATGGGGACCTCTCAGCTTCCGCTTCCCAGACGCCGCATCCTGTGGCTTATGGTGCGAAAACAAGCCATCGAGGATCAAGGTATAAACGATAATGAGGGCAAGTGGGAACGCAGCGGAGATGCAGAGGGCGTAAGCCATGGGGATTCGTTCGTGTACGGCATAAGGATATTGGATAGAGATGTTGTTGAGGGAGAAGTGTTGGTGGAAGGGCTCGATCGTGTTGAGAACTGAGAAGCCGATAGCGCATGCACTGTTGGAGTTAGTACGGCATAAATAAGGGGGGATTGACGTCCGTACATAATGATCACATAGTCAAAGATGTAGCTGTAGAATTGTTAGTTCCAGAGATTCGCGGGGGAAACTGGGGAAACACACGAGATAACAACACGCGGTCGGAGTCGCCGCTTGGAGAAAGGGAGTTTCGCAGGGATTTCCATGACTTCAGTACTTCCCCCAAGAAATTAGAAAGGGAGAAGATCTAAAGCTGGGGAAAAGGGAAATAAACATCTCTGCCTAGTGAAAGGCATTGCTTGGCATCGGCATATTAATAGCACTTGGCGCATGCACCTTCTAGGGTATCTGATTGGCTTCCCTCCGGTCTACCTATAAGTCCTATAAGTATTCCATACAATATACATATAAAAGGAAATAGGTAAAACCTGTAGGAGTAGCATGTAGGACATGTGGAATTCACATTCGTACTAGTAAATGATGAAAGCAAATGCCAATTTTCAATTGGATTTTGTAGATCTCGTACTTGAATAGCGGTCTAGATAAATATCCAAAAACAAGACCAGAATCAAATTAACGGAGCAATTTGTCATCGAAGTTCGATATGGGGTAGTGGTTAACCTAGCGGATTTTCATCTCTTTATAGAGACTGTCCTCCGCGGCCCCGGGTTCGATTCCCGGTATCGAAGTATCTTTTTTGTGTTTGATTTTTTTTGTATTCTTATTGCCAAAGTATGAAGGGTGAGCAAGGACTAGATGCACAGTTGAAGCAGCTTGAATGCAGTCTGGATTGGAATCCCATCCTCGCCTGGATGCAACAAATGAGGTTTAGGCTTGAATCCATCCCAGAACATGTTAATACGAATTAACTGGGGTTCTCAACGGACTCGTGCTAATTGAAATATCAAACTGAAGGAGTGAATTATACTAATACACAGGCCGAAGGAATGTTGACGCTATGTGCATCCATTACAGCATCAGCCAGATATGGCAATGTTTTCCAATCCACATCGGGCAGAGTCAGCTTTCGAGAAAGATTACTTCCCTATGCATAATGGACAAAGAAAATCAAGTATAAAAGACCAAGAAGATACGTGTCGACGTAAAAGAGACATGAATGGAAGTTTACAAGCCATAGGATATGGCCCTAGAAATCACATGTCCATAGTTGCAAACTGCCAAATTGCACAGAGGTTCCTCATTTAGCAAGTAGTGATGTACAGACCGAGACTAAAAGGAGTGTTAGCTGATATACAGACAAAATGGAAAATCGAAGGGAAAACCTACGGAGATGGGTTCCAGTCCTCGAAGAAGTTGAAGTTGGTGCTGCCAGCATTCTTCATCTCATAGGCGACAGCCTGGCCAGCCGGGCAAGAGAACGTAGAGACAAGGTATGAGTTGCCAGGGGAGACGGTGATGATGCCGAGATCCTGGGATACCGACGGCATGTTACCGAAGTTTGTCGAGGAATCGGCAGTAGAAGAGAGCTTGGCGAAGTCAATCTTTCCATCACCGCTAAAGCTGTAAGACGAGGTCTCGAGATCCTCAAGCTTAGGGAAGAGGAAGATCAGGCTGCAAGTCTTGCCGGCGTCGGCGTTCGGGATATCGAAGTTGAATAGGCTCGACTTAGTCGAGCTCACAGTACCATTGAACCCAGTTCCTGCGGTAGTACTAGGCGAGGAAGAGTCGACAGGGATGATAAGGTGAGGGATCTCGTAGTTACCGGAGAGATCGGTGGGACAAGCACCTCCAGAGGTACCAGTGGCCGAGGGCTTGGAAGTGGCAGAGGTAGCAGGGACGGATGCGCTGGCAGAACCGGTTGAAGGAGGGCCACCACCGGCGGAGATAGGAGGCACACTAACAGAGATGCCACCACCTCCGCCGCCAGAGGGAGGCACACTCGCTGAGGCACCAGGCTGCGAAGCGCTACCACCGCCACCGCCTGGAGTAGATTGTGTGCCAGACGGCTTGGTACCACCGCCGCCAGGAGCAGGCGCACTAGGAGAGGCACCGGGCTGTGAAGCACCACCGCCGCCGGGAGCGGGTTGTGTACCAGAAGGCTTAGTACCACCACCGCCACCAGGAGCAGGCGCACTAGGGGAGGCACCAGGCTGTGAAGCACCACCACCGCCGCCGGGGGCAGGCGCACTAGGAGAAAGGCCGGGCTGCGAAGCACCACCGCCGCCGCCAGGAGCAGGCACAACAGGAGAGGGGCCGGGTTGTGGAGCACCGCCGCCGCCGCCAGGAGCAGGCCCTGGACCAGAAGGCTTGGTTCCAGTACCGCCAGATGGGGCTGGCACGCTAGCAGAGGGCTGTGGCGCACCACCGCCGCCGCCAACAACACCCCCACCCCCACCACCAGGGGCTCCAGGGGCTCCAGGGGCACCGGAGGTAGGGCAGCTACAATCAGTGACAGTGATAGTGACGGTTTGAGTGCCGGGTGCGGGAGCAGGTGCAGGAGCAGGGCCAGGACCACCGCCTCCAGTGCCAGGACCCCCAGCGCCAGGACCCCCAGCGCCAGGACCCCCAGCTCCAGGGCCACCACCTCCAGTGCCAGGACCAGCGGGACCGGGGCCTCCAGTGCCAGGACCCCCAGCACCGGGACTAACAGGGCCAGGACCACCAGCGCCAGGACCAGGACCAGGGCCAGCAGCAGGGCTGGACTGAGGAACTGGAGCAGGCGATGTGCTAGAAGCGGGTGGTACACCAGCCGGGGATGAGGCACCATTGCCGCCACCAGTGCCCGTGTTCGAGCAAGCGTCGGCAGACAATTGAACATTCACACAGCCAGTGACGTCAAGCTTGTTAGGTGTAGTGTAGACATTCAGGCCACCATTTTGGCCGGTGGCACAGGCAACGAAGTCGGGGCTGTTGTGGTACTCGAGTTTACCCTGTGAGTTGACAGAGAAACCGGGTGTAGCAGACACACCCTCGTCACACTGCAGTTGAGTGGTGGGAGCTGTCATACAGTCAGATATACATTCTTTGGTAATTGATATAGAGGGAAGTAGTTGGTTTACTTACGGGTGAGGATGCATCCACGGCCGCTGGAGTCGGTGATGGCGCCATTGAAGTCAATGCAGTACTGTGCTGGCTGTAGACTATTGTCGCCAATGCGGTTCTGGCCATCACCTAGCTGGCCAAGTTTGCCGGCAGCACCGCCGGAAGAGGTAAGGCGGAAGCAGCAGCTATCACTACGGCCAACAAGGGCGTTGGAGCCAGCAGCGAAGGCAGCGAGGGTAATGAACTTTCTCATAGCTGCTGTTCAGCGAATGCGGATGTGTTTATCAATTAGCGAATGAACACAGCGCCCTTTTAGGAAGATCGTGAACAATTGGATGGCCTGATATCCACCGCTATAGTTGTGGTGGCAGATATGGCTTTAGTTGAGGAGAATGTTTTGGGGAAGAGTAAATCTTTATAAGAAGCGGTGGGTTAAAGCTCTAAACGAATCATGAAGAGATATAACAGGCACACATCGGCAAAAGTCCCCGAGATGAAAACATAAAGAGACAATGGACACTGCATGTTGTCAGCCATTCATGCTGTTAAGCATGGGTGAGACCTCCGATGGACCAACTGTCCTGGTGTCGGAGAGTAGACAGTAGTAGGTCCGAACCAGCCGGAACGAGATGCGTAGCAACCTGCACAACGTCATCTTGAACAGCGCTCCAATTCATTGAGATGTGGATTAAGATGGAGTATGAGAATGTGTTTGTTTCTCCACTTAAAACCAGTATCTGAATGATGAACAATGGTGACTGGCTGAGTATGAGAGGGATGTGGGCTTACTTTCCATGGTCCAGGCAACCTGATTGAAAGTGGCAACGTACATTTTCCCATGGATCATTACCTCTTGAGTCCTCCGAGAGGCTGAAATCGTCCAACATTGGATGATACGGACTCTAAGTCCCATTGATACTACCAGGTAGTTGGGAGAATACGGGGCAAGATACTAATATTGCAGTTTTAAATCCAATAAATATTGTCCATATATAATCAGCCAATTGTGCGTTCTTGGATACTTTGTATCTAGTGTAATATAGCTACAAACCCCGAACTTGAACCATCACATTGAGTATATTATAAAGTATAAGAAACTAGAAATAAGATTTGATAGGGCTAGATGCCATCGTAATTGACAACGGGATCTATGACTAGAGTCTCTTGTAGGCTGTGTATATGACATACATAGTACATTGTATCCTTCAGGTCATAGGGTTGAGGTAAAATTGTGACATATAAAAATGGTTGCTATGTATGTTTTACTATGTTATACAAGGCGGACTGTGTAACACATGGGTAGAGGCGCAGCACAAAGCATCAAGTTCATAAGTATGATAAAAGACGAAAAAAAGAAACAAAGAGATTGGATCGGATTGTGTGAAGTTGAAAATTAATCATCATTGTACAATGGAAGTGCCCAGGTGGAAGTGGAACCCGAACCGGCCAACAACAGTGTTCGACTATTTTTATATTTAATGGCACATTTATACGATCTCCTTTGGATTTATTACCCACGTCATGCCTGATATTTGCACTATTATACACATCGCGCCGTACAAAGTATGATGTACAACTGAGTTTACTCAGCAGTGGATATGCGTAAGATCCTACGGCGATGCGTGTCTATATTAAAGCATCTGATCTAGGTGATCATCGTAAAATAAGGCCCCCAATCGGAGATTCTAGAGTTATAGTCCTTCCATATGAGAAACATATGTTGTATAACATATGTTGTACAATATAGTCCATAGACTGATGGTATTGATAGGGTAAAGATCCCTGGAGGAGCTGACACAGAGGCAGTGTCCCTGTGAAAGGGCAAAGTAAGAAAGTGCATAGAATCAGGAAGCCTTATTACATATGCAACCCGATCAATCAATCGCAAATATGCATCGCTCATACCAGAACCGATCGCCTTGAATTTAATATTATGACATGAATTTGGATATGCAGGATAAGTTTAGGATCAAAATATCGAACTTACAATACAATATTTAGCAAGGCAATGCTTTCTTTGACCCCGTATTTATTACTATGCACTATAGCTTACGGGGTGGGTTTCTTTGCCGTTAAGCCGATCGCCTTCACCCGTTAGTATTGTAGGTCAAGTTGAACTCGACATACCACGTCGATCTCAATATGGGCACGGCCGGATAGCAAAAGTGGGGCTCAACAAACTATTATATTGTCGGGATGACGAAAGGCTATACATAAGATCAATTGACATATCATGCGTCATAATGTCGAGGGTTCCAAATCCAAGTAGACCCATGCCGAGACCGGTCATTAATTACTACCACTACTACATAGACAGAAATGCAGTATCCGACTCAGCAAAGAAATTGTTCCAGTCCACTGTTCCCGAGTCCACATTGTCATCGAATACCTGCCAGAGGTCACCTAGAGCGGGCAATGTGGGGTCCATTAGGAAGTCATCGATGTTCCTGTCTGTCGGATATACCATGCTTGTAGGCGCCGTCGAGGTGCAGGCAAGTCCCGGCGAAGCCTCGGCGTCTTGAGAAGTGGATTGTGTTGTTGTATTTTCTTCAACGGCCGAACCCGAAACACTGTGCTGGCGAAGAGTCGTCTTGAAGGTTTCAAGCAATCGTCCTGCTAAAGGGGATTCCTCTTTGGCCGTTTCTAAGATTGAAAATGCTCCCAAAATTTCCGTCAGGTCCTTTTCCTGCGAATGACCACTCCCACAAAAGTCTATGAGAAGAACAATGATCGCCACGCAGACGCAATGTAGCAAGCCTGAAAGTTTCAGCCGCGCTGAGATGAAGGGGATCATCTCTAGCGAGAGTTGGCGTTCAGTTCGGACCACCATTCGGGCTGCTTCCAGACATGCCTTCCGTGAGTAATCATATGCAGAATCCTTAGACGCTCGTGACAAGTAAGGCAAGTGAAGCCTGCACCTTTGAGCATGAAGCAGGAAATTGAGGATGTATCGTTGTATGATTATTCCCGGGGATTTCCGAGGATCGGATTCTGGCAGCTCGTCCGACCTATAGGCCAACGACAACGAGAAAAACGAGGGTAGACTCTGGGCGAATTCGCAAATTTTGCCGTCAATCTGTTTAGTGTGCTCATAGTCCGGGCTTCCTGGATCGGAAATACCAAATGGAGCACAGTCTGTGATTTCGCGGCAAAACTCGCCCAATCGAATCCGTTGGAGACAGTAGGACATCGATGTAGGTTGGGTAAGTGGCTTTCCAACCCCAACCATCCCGTCTGAAATATCTTCATCATTCGCGTTGCAAGGTTTGTTGGTCATCATATGGCGTGGATCAATTGAATATGTGCCCTTTTGTGGACCGGACATTTGCGACATCTGCCTGTTATCCAATGAACTCACATTCTTGAAAGAAGGCGAGAGAGGAAGAGGTAACTTACCAATCAGTCGCCACGAGATACCACCACACTCTTCTACATATCTCTGCTTTTGCAGAGGACGGTGGAGGCACGTCTAGGTTGGAATTATAGGGATGGTCGATCCGATGCAAGGATAGTTCTCTTCCAACTGAGATGGCAGTGGAAATCATATGCCGAGTTTGGGATGTAAACCCCACGATATTAGCAGTCACAAATCCTATAATGATCATCGCTTGGATATCCTCTATTGACTCGAAGTGTCTGTAACGCGAGTAATCAATCACATCTATCGCAAGTCTCATCCACTGAGTAGACTGCCCAACTGCTTCCTCAACAGTCGTAAAGATGGGGTTGCACATGTCGCGTTCAGTCCAGAAGGACGTGGTACTGGCAAGAATGCTGAGGAGCAATGAAACATACCCAATCTTGACCGGCTTGCTTTCTCTCAGGTCACAATAGAGTTCATCTACCATGTTACGCACTGAGGGGACATGAATCACATGCTGGAGGAAGGTGATCTCTGTGATGTATTTTTCCATAAGTATTTTCGCTTCGTCGTGGAGTGGCAGCCAGATACATCTTTTCGCCGAGTTGGCTTGATGTGCCATTGGTCCAGATCCCACTGCAGTGCGAATGGGGCAAGTTCTGAATTCAATTTCATGCTTCAAAAGATTACCCTGAACATTTTTTGTCAGCAGTCGATTTCCCATAATTTGGATCCGATCAAATTAGGCCTACCGTAGAGCCCGATGATGTGATCTCGCTTTCCAGCAAAGTCACAGCCTCTGAAGATGACTGTCCTTCATGAATCACGTATGATTGATTTGATTGTCGAGCAGGGGTAGAAGGAAGCGACGAAGCCTGGGTAGTAGCTTGTCCCAGGGGACTAGACGCTGGTGCATTTGTGATTATCTCTTCCAGCCTCCGCAAGCGGGCCAGTACACCTGTATTGTCATTACTAGACAATTCATCAGACTGATACTGAGGACTGTCAGGCAATGTTGTAGTAGGATATAGTTGACAAGCCATGCCTCGACTGGTGCAGTTGGAGCAAGGAAATAGCCGACTACACTTCAGCTTCCTCGATCGACAGAAGTGGCAAGATACAGGCCGCGAGCGTGACGATCTTACACGCTTTTTCTCAACTCGATACATTTTTCCCCTGGGTATTATTTGACGCAGTGTGTATTCAGCTCTGGGAGTTTCTTGGGGGCAAAATGGGGGTTGATGAAGTTGACCAATCAAAGGCCGGCGAATCCGCGGAAGTTCCGCGGTCTCCGTGGATTCCTACTATGTGAACCATGTGAGAGACACGAGGTATATAAGAACCTCTTTTCACTAAAGAACTCATAATAACCCATCAGATTGGCTTTCTTCTTCTCTTTCTCCTTTGATCCAAGAATATTCTTATATCATTTTTGCTAATATGGACTCCATAATTGCTCAGATTCAAGCCATCGCCGAAAACACTGATGAAGCCGGCCGGTTGGACATCATTCAGTCTCTCAAACAAGTGAAAAATGAACTTCAATCTCCGAAAGATGCAATCATGGAGCTTGCAGTACCGGTTGGTGGTCCTATACTACAATCATTCGGGGTTACCCAAAGTGCTGACAGCTGTAGGGGTTAACGAATGCAATGCTCCGAATTGGTGCAGATATGGGACTCTTTCGCTCCCTCACGAGAAGTGATGTATCCTTGACTATCATGCAAATTGCGGAGATAACAGGAGCGTCTCCTCCACTCCTAGGTAATGAGCTTTGAGACGACCATACTTATTTCAAATTCTAAAACAACTGTTCTGTCCAGAGAGAATTCTTCGTTACCTAGCCACAGAAGACGTGATCAAGGAAAGCGGAGTCAATGAGTACACTGCAAACAGCATCACTCATGTTTTGGCTGACTCCAAGGGCGAGGCCTTGATATACCACGGGTAAGCTATATAGTTTCCTCCGCCTCTGACCTAGCCATCCGCCTGGTAAACATCCCTACTGACCTAGCTTCCTTGATAAAATCTTAGATTCGACACAATTGGACCTGTCGTGCAAGCAATGCCTGCCTTCTTTGCTGAAAACAGCTATCAAGATGTCACTGTCAATACGAACACTCCGTTCCAGAAAGCCCACAACACCAAACTCACATCATTCGAGTGGCTTGTCCAGCAGCCAAAGCACTTTGAAAACCTGCAAAAGATTATGACTGCACTTCAAGGATCAGAATGGACGGAGGGATTTGACCTTTTCATCAATGATGCCCATAAGGTTCCATTCAAAGTTTCATCCGCTGCCCCGGAGGAACCCTTCTTCGTCGACGTTGGTGGCGGCCATGGCCATCAATGTATTGAGCTCGGAAAGAAGTATCCCAATCTTCTAGGTCATCTTGTCCTCCAGGACTTGCCAGAGGCAGTGAAGAATCTCGCCCCCATTGATGGCGTGAGGACTGAGGCTTATGACTTTTTCCAAACGCAGCCTATCATTGGTCTGTCTCCATCTATCAGTCTGATACAAGATCTTATCAAATGCTGACATTTCATTTGATTAAGGTGCCAAATTCTACTATCTCCGCAGAATAATGCATGACTGGCCTGATGACAAAGCCGCAAAGATCCTCCGCAATGTTCGCGCCGCCATGAGCCCCGACTCGCGGATCTTGATTGACGATGCCGTGTTGCCGGATACTGGCGCTAACTGGCGATCAGCCATGGCCGATCTTGTCATGATGACATTTGCTGGTAAAGAACGGACCAAGCATCAATGGGAGTCACTTGCAGAAAGCGCGGGCTTGCGCGTGGAACAGATTCATACTTATGTTGCTTCAACTTATACCGCTGTTCTCGTTTTGGCTGCTCAATGACCCAAACATGGCCATGGGCTGGAATTTCGGCGTATCTAACAGAATATAAGGTCGCTCTCTTCTCTTTATTTGTATCCTGCTATTACTCCGTACTTATGGATGCGGGGGCCGTCGCACAGCAACAGAGTTGTGCATACCTAGCATCTTGGACTCGTAAAATGCAGCTAAAATACCCAGTCTCATAAACAGACAAACATTAGGAGCTGTTGAACTTATTCAATCCATTAATGCTCCTGCCAGGCCGTTTGAATATAAATTTAATCTCTCAGCATATCACCCGAGGACAAACCAGACTGGTACCTAAAGGAAGTCAAAAGCATTAACGAAGGTGCACAAAGGTTATTAGAGAGCTACAGCGGACTTGAAGTTCTCCCACATGTTCTCTCGTTGGTACATGGTCTACCTTTCCCGAGTGGACAGATCACCATACACTAAGAGACTACAGCGCGATGAAGCCTTCAAAATCTACCACTACGCCTGCATCGGACAAATTCGTTTCCTATCCTTCAATCTCTCAAGCCTCCCATTCTACAACAAAGTCCTAGATCGCCTACGCTCAGACACGACAGCCGGCTTCCTCGATGCAGGCTGCTGCCTTGGCCAAGAACTTCGCTTCCTGGCCAACCGAGAAATTCCAGATTCGCAGCTCTTTGACTGCGATATTGAGCAGGTCTTTGTGGATCTCGGATACCGGCTCTTTCGAGATCGGGGGCACCTGGACGCTACCTTTGTCGTGGGGGATATGGCTGCTGTCTCGGGACAAGATGGTGCGTGTCATCTGGAAGGCAGGCTTGGTGGCAAGATTAATATTGTCTTTGCTAGTTCACTGTTCCACTTATGGGATTATGAGACGCAGGTCCGAGCTGCTGTGCGGTTGGTAAGGTTGTGTTGTAGTCAAACTGGGGTTATGATCACCGGTCGACAGATGGGGGGTGTATTGGCGGGACATCATGAACTGAAGGGGATCGAGGATGGGGCTATGCAGTATCGCCACAATATCGAGTCTATGAAGGGATTTTGGTGGGATGTTGGCGAAGCGACGGCAACGCGGTGGACACTAGAGGCGGGCTTTTACTTTGCCGAGGAGCTCGAGCAGACGAAGAACTCACCTTCGGCTGATTCGAACCTTCGCATGATTTGGTGGTGTGCGACGCGGTTGTGAATGCGTGGATCGGCATTCAACACGGGCTCGAAAGATGTGGCGGACTGTGCTCTGTACATGCGTGGGAAATGGCAAATATAAGTCAAGTGCATTTCTGCTCTCCATTTCCTATATATATTGGATGTTGTAGATACATTGATCGCAGAGATCCCGTGATATATCTGTATGGGTAATGTTCTTCGCTAACCACCTAAACTCAAAACGCCTTGCTCGCCGAGTAGATGACATGAAAGGGAAAAGGCGCTGGGGAAAAGGACAAAATCAAACGAGTGAAAGAAAGGACTAAAGCCCCCAAAACTAATGCTAATACAGGTCGTGAATCATGCTCATGCTGAGTGATATATTATGAGGAGCTTCTTCTGGTAAGGTTCATTCAATGATTGCTTGCAGGGGTAATCGAATCATTGAGGTTGGCTGGGTGGTGGAGCATGGCGGGTTGTAGTCGTCGATTCTGCTGACACCATTCGGATTCCCGACGTCTGCTCTGTCGGGGTTGGAGGTTCATCATTATTGATACTCTGGAACTGCGACTGAGTTGGCGTCACGGGAGACACAGTCATGGGGCTGGGTAAATTGACGTGGATCGAAGGCAAACGATTGATGGTTGGTAGCTGTCGCTCGTGTTCATTCTGCTCCGTAATAGGACTTTGGTACGCAGGGGCATCACCCCAGTCCAGGTGCTCATAATCGGGAGGTGGAGGAATGTTGAGCGTCCCGAGATCTCCGTCGTCAGTTTGTGATACTGGTCGGCTCGAACCGCGTGTCGTGGTTGGAGTTAACCCTAGTGGTTCAAGCTCGGTAGCAGGATTGGATTCGGTCATAATCGACGAAGAAATGGACTGTCCTCGAGAGTTGACGTTGGATAGTTCGAAAGAGGCCGCGGTGGAGCTAACAGCGTCACTTTGCAACAGCGGTCGGCGATCCGAATCGTGCGAGTCAGAATTGTGCGAGTCGGCTCGAAGCCGTGACCCATCATGGCGAACACGTCCGAGTTCAGCATAGCTAACACTAGCGATGCGTCGGTCTCGCTCTCTCGACTGATGCTCGGCTAGGACCGCGGTTACGTTGACTGCACTGTTGGTTCCTGCACGGCGACGTTGCGTTCGGGCGCGAGTTTCGGCATTCAGACGTTCTAGACGAGCGGCATCCCCACGCGCCTCGGCCTCTCGTCGCTCCCGACGGCGTGCCTCGCGATCGGCTAGTTCCTGGCGGCGCTGCAGGCGAATCTGGTACAAAGAGTCCATTTGTTCCTCGCGGCGAGTTTCCTGTTCTTCCGCAGTCTCGGGATATTCCACGACCATATCCATTCCACCCCGTTCACCCTCCCGGGCGATGACTTGTTCGGTCGGCTTTGGGCTGAGGGAATAGGGGGGTAGGGTCATAATAGAACGAATCGATGTATCGCGGCGGACGCCAGTATTGGTTTGCATCTCTGGTGCTGTGCTAGCTCCACGATAAGAGGTATCTTGGCCACCTTGATTTGGGACCTCACCGTATGAGGCGCTCCCTGTGCCCCATTGTTTCCATTTCTGCTTGAGGAATTTCCCCGGAAGGTATTTCGGTTCGTAGTTACGTTGTCGTAACTGTCGGGATAGGAAGTAGGCGCCCACTCCGACTGCAATAGCAAATATAATGCTCACAGCACACTAAGTCGAGTCAGCACAGGGGAAGAAGGTTAGAAGGAGGGGAGATACATACAATAATAAATATGTGATTCTTGTTCGTTTTGTCATCTTGACGTTTCTGTGGAATGTACATGTTGGACAGGTTGCCCTAGAGATACTTAAACGAAGGCATGGAATAAAATCCCCGGATTTCAAAAGAGTCGAGGAATGTGAAAAAAGGACAAAGCGCGTCAGCCTTGGATACTCAGGTGGCTGGCCGGCTATTATTATACGCCAAGCAATGAAACGCTGGCGTGAGTGGAGGCTGGTCGTTTGGGCTCTCCTTCAATCAAAATCAGGTTTATTTGGAGACTTGTCGATCTCTGTCTGCAATTGTCTGCCAATCACTTTCTTCTCATCCTCGTTTTAAATCGTTTCCACAGCGATCGTTTTGCCGAGAGATCCTGTTTGGACCCTTCCACTCTGAAATCTCAAATCTCCAAAAATTTATGCATTATTGACTTCACTATTGACTTTCGATCGTGGGAGATCAACTGCACGAGTCCCTTTGCAGCAAGGGAAGACGTTCAACAAAAATAGATACGCCCTTGCGTTCGGGAACAACCGGTATGAGATCGGTGAGACATCTGGAATATCAACCTTGGAATCGCGAATCGTCAAATCTCCACCGTTAGGGCTCATTAGGATCCGTTTGTGATGTCAAAATAAAATCACCCTAACCTCAGCCCGAATCGTGGGATGGAAATTCGGGGAATCCTGAGATTGAAATGTTGCTTCCTTTCAGCCCTCCTTACCATCTCTGAAACACCCCCTTCTTTACAGCTCGGCTCCACTAGCTTGTCTCGGTGGTTATCCGACAAACCGTCAAATTCCCCTTGTTTTGTGGATCGATGCCATCTCGCATCGTCTACCTCGGGAATACAGACACGGATGACAGCGGATATCCCCTTTAGTGCGCCCTCTTGCTGCTTGACTTGGTCCCGTCGCAGCCGATGCCCGCCACACAGAGGAGATATGATAACATGTGTTATCGAGTGTGAATCTCATGATACTTTGACCTTGTCCTCAACCTCATATGTGTCGCTTAGTCCAGAGCATGGCGTGATACTGGAAGTATGAAAAGACGCTAGCTCCCGAGGTCTACATCAGCATAGCATACGGAGTAATAGTAGAACGACATTATTCGGGAGCATTGTACTCCGTAATGCTTCTGTCGACAGAGTTTCTCGACAATCATTGGACCCTCATCTTATTTCCCTCGATATTTCTGAATGGATGTAGTGCTTGCGGTGGCTAGTGAGGCGCAGTAAATGATAGGCAAAGAACGTCTGATAGGGTGAGAGCCCAACGTGGCCTAGGGGGTGGCGAATCATTGCCCTAGAGGCCCTAGTAATTTTTCAGCCTCAAGTTTCACTTCTTTATTGTGAAATGGCCGTTGTCCTGTATGGTATCTAGCAGAGATGCCGCGGTAAATCCCCCCAATGAAAGAGCCGTCTCGCTCTCGACCATATCATACTTTGGTTTAACCTAAGTGTAGATAAATAGTGTGCTTTCCGGGCACGCCGCAGAGCACGCGAATTCTTAGCCTAAGCTTCATGTCCGACGTGTTAGCAAACGATGGATTTTATACTCCGTAGGTGTGCATAGGATGGAAGTCCTGGCAAGGCAGCTTGTCGAGACAAGACAATGCTAAGTGCAGACAACACGGTTGTTAGCCCGCCCCATTCCCTCCTACCTTTTGAGCTAGCCAGAATTATATGGACACACTTGTCTCCTAAGCATGGCTAAGCCCCCCGCCAGATATATTGGAGATCATGGGGGCAGAGAAAGTCCCTGCACGTCAGGTCCAAAGTATGTTTTTCTTCCATGCCCCCCTGCCCATGGATTTTAACTTCGTGGATGTAGAATGGGAACTCCCAATGTCGGTGATGACGACCCCTCGTCCACTATAATTCGAGCTACTACTGCCAAGTATAAGGCAACCCGTATGTGCTATAGTCCTGCATAGTATACGCGTCATGCCGTTCCAGTAAAGTTGATCACGATGTCTACTGTGGGCCCGCTAGACCGAACAAAGTGTGAATTTCTCATTAGTGTTGATGGCGATATGGAACTACGGCAGTTGTTATTAACAGCCGGAGTATCTAACAAACTAAATGCTCGGCGCAATTAAGATCAAATTGAAGTGTGATTATGATTCCTGACTTGGCCCTCGGTTGACCATTGTCGTACAGACACCAACTTTGATAGACCGCCACTTATCAATCTTGGTAAAGGTTCTAGGCATCACTTTACTTGAAAGGTAATCCTGGGTGGTGCGTCAATCTCGCCTATTCAGATATATATTGAGATCGACATATACTCTGGCTAAGGAATGTGCCACACTCGGGCCAATTGAGCGTATGGCTGTCGGATGGTTTTGTTTTGAGGTATGATGGCGTAAGATAAGACACGCGGAAGATAATTTCTCTCATTTGCTACTTTTGGATATTGCTAGACAATGGCATGTGAGTGAATCAGGAAATGGATTGTGGTATACTGGACCTTTGGTATATCCTAACCTGTTGCCTGAATACATACAAACGCTACAGAAAGGGTTCCAAAGAAAGTGAGATCAAATACTTCACACGAAGCTCGATAGGAGTCCTGGGAGATCGGATATTTGACTTGGCCAAGAGAGAATAGATCGAGCTGCTAGGATCTGGTCATCTTATGTCGTTTCAATGCTTTATCGCCGCGTGATAATATTCCCTTTCTCTGGCAAGGGTCCATTTCTAACAGCAAGAGCCTATTGAAGCCATCAAATCAAATAATTCTGTGCAACAATGTTCAAAATCCTACGCGTAGGGGCGTCTGTTGTGCGTGGTGAGGTTCTTCAGCCTCAGGATTCGGGGTTGAAAAGCCCACGATTAACGTCGTCATATGATCTATGAAAAGAAATTCCCTGTACTTTTTTTTTTTTTTGTTAACAAAAGTCTTACTTATCGTCTCGTGGCAGTATATGAATATCAAATGGTTAGTATTGACCAATAAAATAAATGCAAGGATGACCCGATGTTGACCCAATGGCCGAGGCTCATGCGTCCCCCTTGACTGAGCGAGAATATCGCAGGTCAGATTTCTCAACCCTCAAATATTCAGCCTTTCGATTACCCAAATGGATTTTTACATAATGTTCAGCTCAAAGTTGCCCCGCACAAAGAGGCCAAGATCGACACAGGTTGGAATTGGATCACCTGGAGACACGGCATGATCGTGCCGTTCCGCGGAGGCTTAGATCGACATTGGTATATACTGTTGTCGATATTGACGCGCAGCTTGTTCTAAACTGTGATCGACATCTCCGTTTAAATCAGGTAGCCGGCCCAATGGGGTCAAAGCTATCATCGCCGAGAAACCTGAGGTCATCGCCACGTTGCATCACAGGGTCTTGTCACCCTGCCCTACCTAATGCCATGAGGTTGGTACCAATTCAACAAAGGACCTTCAGCGATAGTATATATTATGGTCCCTATCGCAGACTAAAATGTCGATAACAGCTTCAAAACCCCTTGGCAGCCTTGTGGATCTTGATACGGCTTTCTTATTGGACTTTTGCGCCAATCATTTCAAGACCTCAGCCCACTTGAATTCTTCTTCGGACCCCTGAAGGCACTAATATCGCGCAAAATGGCAACATTGAACTTTGATCTGAAAAACAACACCGGGTCTAACACGGTCTACGCATACATCACAGGCCAGGCGCTTGATAATCACAATGCGCTTTTCCTCTTGCGATCCGATGGCAAGACGGCTTACTACCCGACCTCACCATCATCCACTATGACCAACCTAAGCCAGGAATGTGCGATTCCGCTGGGTGCACCTGGCAGTACCACCACCATCACTATTCCGCATCTTGCAGGCGCGCGGCTGTGGTTCGCGCAAGAGAAGAAATTGACATTCTATCTGAATCCTGGCCCTGCCCTTGTTGAGCCTTCGGTATCCAACCCCGCAGACCCTAACTATAATTTGACCTGGGCCTTTTGCGAATTCACCTGGAATAATGACCAGCTTTATGCGAATCTCAGCTACGTCGACTTCGTGTCCATGCCTATCGCCATGACCCTAACCAACAAAGCCGGTGCAACTCAGACCGTCAAGGGTCTGCCAGCCAATGGTCTCGACCAAGTCTGCGATGCTCTCAGGGCGCAGAACAATAAGGATAAGGCCGGCTGGGACAAGCTCATAATCCAGCGAAACGGGGTCAACTTGCGAGCCGTTTCTCCAAACACGGGAAGAACCCTCAATAATTCTTTGTTCAACAATTACTACGAGGGCTATGTGAATGATGTCTGGTCTTACTATGCAAACAGCACCAACAATACTTTGACCGTCAATACGCAGGCTAGCGCCGGTGATGTCACAGCCAAAGTCGCCTCCAATCTCTTGTCCTTCTCAGTTCCAGGTATTTCTTACACCAAGCCGTCTACTGGAGACATCTTCAGCAACAGCTCTGGGTCCTTTGCCGTTTCTGGGAATGGCACCAAAGACGCCATTACAGCTCGTCTCGCGGCTGCGTTCAATCGCTCAACCCTGTTGATAAATAGCAACCAGCCGAATGGGGAGTCGGTCTCAAACTACTACAAGAACCCTGTGACAAACCACTACTCGCGCATCTGTCATGCTGTGAGCCTTGATGCCCGGGGCTATGCATTCCCCTATGATGACGTTGCGCCTAACAATGGCCCCGATCAGTCTGGCAGTGTTTATGATGGCAACCCAAAGCTCTTGACAGTCACTATTGGCAGCGGCTCTAGTAAGTCTCTCAAGAAGTCCGCCATAGAAGAGGTTGTTACCCCAGTCCAGCAACCCGTTCCACAGAGCAAGGAGAGCGAAAAGAAGCCGAGCCGCTTCCATGAGCTGAGGAGGTTTGTGGATAAGCTGTCGCGCAGGAAGAGCGACACCTGAGATACATAGGTTTGCCTCACTGCTCTTTGGTCATGTTGTCGTATATTGTACATGCTACTGTATATACGTCCTTTTCGGTTATTCTCTCCTTTGAAATTGTTGGAAATAGCTCAATATGATTTTATATTTCTCCCTCTATGAGTAAGGTACTTGCAAATTGAATGACGGCCTGCATCATTGCGA